AGCTATAAACTCCCCATCCCGTTTGGTCGGCTGTGCCTCGAGACCTTGTGGCAGCGGCTGGGAAATCCGATCGAGGACGCAAGAAAAACCGAGTGGCAGTGGCACCCCAGATCGGGTTACTCCGCTTTCGGCAAGACAACACTGAGTAACCTTTTCTTTTTTCTTTTTCTTTCTTTTTCTTTCTTTTATTTTCTTTTTACATGTCCGTTCATGTACCTTCCTGCCCACTTGCCTCGCTACCGCCCTTTCTACCCCGACCGCTCTCCTACAGCTGGCACTGCAAGAGCCGGAAGAAGGAAGCGACACCGCAAGAGAAACCACGCTCGTGGCCGGCATCACCAGTTCCAGCCTAGCTGGAACTTTGCCCCGGCGACGGTGGCCTGCCGCGGGCCGCCGTTGTCGGACCCCAGGGCCTTCCCCCCAGCTGCTCAAAAACCCTGACGCCAGGCCCCATCGCCGCAGGTCGTGTGACGATGGTCACGGAGGACCCTGAAGCAAGGGTCCTTGGGGCATCACTTGACCCTCTTGTCGACATTCCCTCGCCCGCCGCCCCCTGAGTGATCTTCAGGGTCCAACGCCATGTTTCCCAGGTGTCGAGATTTGAAGATGCCGGTTGAGCCTCGTTCTCTGGGAGGAGCTGGATCGTGTGAACTACATGTCCCAGGGATGACAAACCTTAGTGCGGTGGATGCAATATACATTTTTTTTCCCCTCAGAAAACCGAGCCAAACTGATGTACCATCAGGATCCGCTGTACTAAGGGTTGTGATCCCTGGGACCTGCCTAGGTAAATGGCCGACGGCTGCTGCACTTGCCACCCGCGACTCGGTCGGTTTTGCAGCCCGGCAGCGGCACCCTTGCGCGCGCGCGGGGCAGGTGGGGACCATGCCATGCCGGGTTTGCTGGCAGATGAGGATTCGGGATCGTGGCGGGCGTAGCGGGCTGCCCACAGGCAAGCTCCGTGGTCCTGTTGGTTCATCGTGGCTTTATTTCCCCTGCCAAGCGCCGCCAGCGTCATGTGCCGCCTTTTAGTGCCGCCGAGGCACCAAGGTGCTCCATTTCATGTGCGATCCGAGGGGCTTGGGACTTCCTCAACGCGAATCGCACCGCCGTGATTGTTGTGTGCCATGTCCAGAAACGCTGCAGTGAAACCGTCCCAACGGCACTTTTTAGGGTATCTATTTGGAGACGACCGCCCTCTATCACAACAAACAAAGAATATGCCATCCCAACACCTCTATGCAGGTTTAGATTCAAACATGTGCCGATCCTATGGACGCCGGGTATCCACCAATGGAAATACACTGCCTACTGCCCTCTTCGTCACGGCTCTCAGCTGAGAAAAAATGCCGTCTTTATATGTCCAGCCACGGTCGCTTTCTTGAGGTGCGGGTGGTTCTTGCGGCTTCTTCGGCGCCCTCGGCGCGCGCTTAGCCCGCATGGTGCCCGTGGAGTGCGCCTTTAGCGCTAGGCCTAGCGGCACGTCCTTTAGGGAGCCGTATTGCCGGTACAGATGCCAGCGCCTCCGGAACGGCACGTACTTCTCCATGACCGACTTCTTGAAGCTGCCGACGAGCCTGGCGCTCTCCTCGGTCGCCGCATCCACCTCCATCGCCAGTGCCACAAGCGCCTCCTCCCCGGCGAGTCCGAGATAGAGCTGCCATCGCTCATGAGCCGCCTCGGGCAGGTCGGGCGTGTAGACGCCCAGCGATGCCGGCACGAATCCGGCCGCCGAGATGGCCTTGGCGAACTCTTGCTCGCAGCGCTTGGTCCTGAGCTGCAGGTCCTCGAATCGCTCGCGAACGATGTGGAATGCCGCCATATCCCACCACCTCGCCCGCAGCGCCGCCGTGTTTGCCGTCGACTTTGCCTCCCTCTTGGCATGCCTTCGGATAGTTTGCAGTGAGCTGGTGGCGGTACTAGTGTTTTCAGGCTCTATTGATGTGATTTGCCTGCCAAGGACATGTATCAGGTTCGCTGTTTTTTCAGCTTGGTCGTTGATCTCCTTGATCCAGAGCGCCTTCAACAGAGGCCCCGATCCAGGAAGAAGCTTGTCGGCCTCGTCGAGACTCTTACTCGATGGAAAAGTGTCAGTGAGCAGAGCGGCAAGCCGTCGGCCGCGGTCGGCAGCCCCGTTCTCGGCGTCACCGCTTCCCCATCTCTTATGCAGGAGCCGAGAAGCGTAGAGATCGAGCACGCGTCTCAGCCTTGGAGGAATCTCCCTGGGGCATTCGTCTTCCAGCAGCATTGACGTCAAGTCGTCGACGTTGGCGCAGAGCCCACGGACTAGCACGCTCGCGGCGCCATGGTCCAGAGCGCCGACAACCAGAGTCAGCAGGTCGAGGAATGTCTGTGTGGTGACAGGGAAGCCGATGCGGAGGGCCAGCGCGAGGATCTGAGCGGCGTGCTGGCCTTGCTCGAAAGCGACCAGGCCGCGGATCAGAGCCTCGACCACTTCCGATGTCAACGACGCCCGCTGAATCAGATAGTCTGTGTACATGGTGATGTCGGCGGTGCGTAGCCAGTGCCGGTAGGTGCGTCCGAACAGCTCTGCTTCGTCCGCCACTGCGCGCCGTAGTTTGATCCCAGAACTGTGGTTGCCAATCAGCCGGCGGATCACATGGTAGAACCCGGCGATGTCGCCCCGTGCCTGGTAGGCGCGAAGTATACATATTATTGTTTGAGGCGTGGGGCGCAGGAGAGTGTTGCGAAGCAAGTGAGAGACCACGATGCAGGCCAGCCAGCCCTCGCCCACCTTGATGAGGCCCGCTATCAGGGTGTTGAAGGTATGTATGTCGGGCCGGGTGGACTGAGCGTGCAGGTTAAAACAGATCCTCCCGACCATGAGCGTGCTCAATGGCGATTTGGGACGCTCGCCGTTTGGTAGACATCCGTTCTTTAATATGCCGGCCTCTGCTTCCTGTGCCACCTGCCATTTGTCGAATATGACTCTCATAACCTGGTTTGAGTGCCTAAGATCTCGAATTGCTGCCTCGCCGTCAGGGTCAACGTCGTTTTTGTATTTGGGGTGGCCGTCTGATCTAAGCATCTTGATTCCGTGCCATGCGCCGTCTAGATTCCCAGTGGCGTGGTAGAAGCCGTCCAAGTCCCCTCGGTAGGCATTTGTGAAGGTGGCCATCATGAGATCGTCGCTTAAGGCCAAGATGCTGTCCGTGGACGCGGCGACCTGCTGAAAATTCACAGGGTGACGGTATTCCCCGGAACGCTCTGCCTCCTCTGCGGCGACGGCAGCCTCCAGCTCCGCAGTGTCAATCCGTTTAGTTGCCTCGATGGCCTCTATCGGTGGGTATATCTGGCGTGGGTGGTACAGTTGCAATAGGTATTGGTGGCGGGCGCTTCTGCGATTGTGATGGTGTTTGAGCTGGAATTGTGGCGAGCATATTGACCAAAGGGCCTCTGCGATGCCATCACGGCTCGATTCCACGTCCCATAAGCCCTCGCGGTCGTCCTCAGCTCGCATAAAGGGCTTGAGTTTGGCGGCCGGGATGTTGGGTTCAGGTTTGAGACAGGGCAGACTCGGGCGGGCATCGCTGAACACAAGGTCGAGCATGTCGATCGAAAGCGCGGCATAACCATCTCGAGAGTGCGTATGCGTGAGAGCTGCCGCAGGGCCAGCGCAGTGGGCGCCTAACCTCCTCCTCGGGTCGAAAGAGGGCGTGTTGGCGATGTGGAGGGGGGTTATGGGAAGAGTAGCAGCCGCGAGGCATGCTCGGCAATGGCTGGCGCCGTATGCCTGAGCAGCCCGGGACCAAAGCAACTGCATGCTCGCGACATTTCGATTCGGGTTCCAGGTCGGTTCGCGAGGGGCGAGGGCATGTGTAGCCCAGGAGTATGGTCTGACGCCTTCTGCGAGCGCAAAATCTCCAATTGCCTGACTTTGACTTGAAGCTCCGGCTGCGGGGACGTGACGGGAGTCTGTGATTGGTGCGCGAAGCGAGTGTGGGTCAAATCGATAAGAGTTTCTCAAGCCAGCCCCACCTACCCCAAACAGCTTGAATGGGTACCTCCTACGTCGTCGCTGAAAGACATCAGCTTTGAAGGCGGGGCTGCGTGGTCGAGTTTGCCCAGAACAGCAGATTGTTTGACTGCTTCGGCCAAGATTTAGTCTGCATCTCCAACTCGACCGGCTTCCTATCGATTAAAAGGCAGCACAAATCAAAGGTCAGCTCTCAGTAGTGCCAATACTCGACCAAGAGCAACCTCTCAGCACAATGTTTGCCCTGCTGTTGACCGCAGAAATGCAGGGGTGAGTTCAGAAGGGGCCCGGTTCGCAGTGTGTCAAGGTACCTATCGATCTAAACAGCGGCCATCAGGGTTACAAACCTTCGTCCCAGCGACACTGAAGAGAACCCGTTCTGGTACACCTTCAAGGTCCAGTGCACGTCATGCCGAGAGGTTCTTGCCAACTGGGTCGGGGTCAACCGCTTTGAGACCAACGAGATGAGCGGAAGCAGAGGGGAGGCGAACTTTGTGTGGAAATGCAAGAACTGCAAGGTTTGTGAAGCACTGAACAGAAAGTGTGAGGCTCGTTATGTTAACGCCTCGGGACGACAGAGAGAGTCTTCGGCCTCGATAAAGGCCGCCCCGACTGCATACGAGGCTTCGGAGCCAGCCAAGGCACGCAAGATTCTCGAGTTCGACTGTCGTGGCCTGGAGTTTACCGAGTTCCAGCCCGAGGTGTGTTTATATGACTTGACCAGGATCCAATCGTCGAAGCCGCTGACAGTATGTGCTTGGCGGACTAGGGTGACTGGATGGCTGAAGGAGCCGAGTCTGGAACCAAGTTCACCGAGATTGATCTAACGGAAGGCGAGTGGTTCGAGTACGACGAGAAGGCCGGCGACGAGGTCAGCATCAAGGATCTCAAGTGGGATATCCAGCGATCGTAGGAGGGCTCAAGGGAGAACAGGGAGCAAGGCAAATCCAGTCTAATATCAGCGCGATAATTGATATGGAGATGAAATGTCTACTGGCGCGTGCTTTTGTGCTTCCAACGGATTGAGTGAAGTTTGATATGTCGTCAATTGGCGACGCCAAATATTAGCGAGCTCCAGGCGGCCCAGCCACTGAAGGCCCCACCTACAAGCGATCCTACTCCACACTTGCTTGCCGCATCGCTTCAGGGCTGATGCCTGAAGATTTCGTGAACTGAGAACGACATGACATGAACAGATCGCAGAGCCTCGAACTGCACAACGCCATCGACGCGGCCGCATATTTCAAGGACAACCGCCACCAGCATGGCGCAGCTTGACCACCTCGCCGGCCAGATGAGCTTTCTGACCGACGCGGCGCATCTGCTGGCCAAGTCGGCCCCCGAGACGTCGGCCTATTTGATGAGCCGGCGCAACGCGCTGCTTCTGTGCCACGACATTCCTCTCTCAGACGTGCAAAGGCAGCACGTGTGCGCAAGCTGCGGCCATATAATCGTCCCCGGCCACGGAGACGCGCTAAAGGTGGAGGCGGCGGCGGCGGTACGGTCCAAGAGGAAGTCCCGTCAACGGCAAACCCCCAATGCGCCAGCACCTCTGCCAGCTGGGCTCGGTGCAGGCAGCAAGGAGCGGCAGGGCTCTTCAAAGAAGTATACCTGCGGTATGTGTCATCGGTACACCACCATCACTCTTCCGCCTGCACCCGTCGTCGTGCGGAGGAGACAAAATGTGGCAGCAGCGTCAGCAGCAGCTTCGTCGTCAAAGCCGACGACTGGGAATGCAGAGGTGGAAAAGACCCAGCCGTCGGCAAACTCGAGCAGCAAGAAGCGGGCAAAGAGCCGCAAGGCAGGGCTCCAGGCCTTGCTGAGCCAGGCACAAAAAGATAACGTCAAAAAACCGGGCCTGTCGTTGGCAGACTTTATGAAAAAATGATGCGGAGGAGATTGGCCATATCGTGTGTCGCCCCATCTCGATTTCCTGACAAGCGCCGGGATGGGCCAGACGGCTACCTTGGTTGGTCGGAGTTTTAGGCCTTGTTGGGCGCTTCCGCCACCTGGGCGCGCAGATTGCAACACAAGCGACTGGGCTCGCCGGCAGTTCGCACGCGATGCCCGACGGCAGGGGTCTGGAGCGCTCACGCCACTGCATGTGTTGGCGGCAGCCGGCTCGACCGATGCGAGAAGCAGCACCGCAGCGAGTGCCCTTTCTCGGATCGACGTCGGACACTCTCCAATGCCAGTCAGACTCGCTCGGAGTTAACAGGCCGCAAGGGGTATTTTTGGACGGAAAGTCCGTGGATCTCGCGACGGCGATCGCACTCTACGACCCAATGAGATGCGCCACTGTGCATGGCCTCACTAGCATAGGGGTGCTGACCCCTGGTTCCCGCGCCTCCGCCAATCTTGCGCCCCTCCTGGGTTCTTCTGACCTGAGATGTTTGGATTCGGATCCTTCTGTGGCTGGGCGTGCAGGCAGATGTCGGGATCAAAGGCGCAGTCCGTGTGGTCCCTCCCCAGATTTTTTTTTTCTCCCATCGGTGTCCTTGCTGTCTCATACCGGGTTTCACCACGCCAACCGCTGGTGATAATCAGCATCCTTGGATACTAAATTGTGGCTCTCAGTGTTTTCTTTGGGTTTGGAATAGGCAAGATCGACTTTTTTTCACGTCTGCAAATCAGTTGGATAGCTGCCGGCAAAAGTACAGCCTGGCCTGGCCAGTACCTATTGGGACACTCTCCCCTTACGAGTGAGGCCCAACGGTCGAAACCCACCACCCGTCCCTTTGGACATAATCGAACGAAGGAGGAAACAAAGACACCCAGCTAGGAGGAGAGGGCAGCAAATCAGCCAAGATGACGGCACCAGACCCTGTGGCGTATTTCGGCAACTGGCAGTTCTCGACCAACACGTCCAAGTTCGCATGCCCCGGCATGGACAACGCGCCGTGCCGGCCGCCCACCAGCGCCGGCGCAAGCGACGGCGTCAGCGCCTGCGCGACCGACCCCAATACGGGCCAGCAGTACTGCTGCGACGGCCCGCCGAGCCGCGGGCGCGTCTGCTGGGGGTTCGAGTCCCCCTGCAAGTCGGACGGCTCGACCATCAACTGCACCGACGGCCAGCGCCGGTTCTGCTGCCGCGCCGGCTTCGAGAAGTGCAGCGAGACGCCGGGCCAGGCTGCCGGCATCTGCTGGAGCACCCACCACGACCCGCTCAACAACGTCAGCTACAACCACCTCAACAGCATCTACCGCAGCCTCAGCTCCAGCCGGCCCAGTGCCACCTCGCTGCCCTTTGACCTGCTATCCGTCGTGAGCGCGACCGCAACCGCGCCCTTTGCCACCACCTCGGGCCCCGCCAAGACGGCGTCATCCACGGGCGGCACCGGCACGTCCACCCCTCCGCCGCCGCCCGCGGACCCGGCCAGGTCTTCTTCGTCGAGCATCTCGGGCGGCGCCATCGCGGGCATCGTCGTCGGCGCCGTGGCCGGCGTCGCGCTAATCGGCCTCGTCGTCTTCTTCATCCTCAGGAGGCGCAGGGCGGCCGCGCATGCGTACGAGGCGCCGCCGGACGGGGCTGGCTCCGCGGCGGGCGCGAACGAGAAGCACGGCGCGGGGTCGTCGCCGGTCGAGGTGCCGGCGAACTCGGCAGCGGCGGCGGAGGTGGCCGGGGGCGACGGGTCCTTTTACGGAAAGCCCGGGGCGCCGCCGCAAGAGCTCGGCACCGACGCGCACTCGCGGTCCGAGCTGCCGGGCCAGACGCCCCAGGTCCAGGAGCTCCCCGCCAGCCCCGTGCCGACCGCGGGTGTCTCGACCATGACCACGCCCAGCCAATACCACCCCAGCCCGTTTACGGAACCCAGGAGTCCGCCTTCATGATGGGGGGTGATGGGGAGGGTGGGCGAATGGTTGTTTATTGGATTTCTGTCGAGGTGCGGTTATGTACATGTCTTGATACCGCACTCGGGGCATCATGCCTCTTATTTTCTCTTCATCGTAGAATAATTTTATCATGCTTCCCTGTTAAGAGTATTTGGTGAGTGTATCTGATCTGCGCGTAGGTCGCAGGTGCCAGAGCAGCGCGGTGCCCCCTGTTCCCGGATAGTGCTTTCCTGCATTGTCCTTTTCTTTCCTCTCCGTTTCGAGAACAATCTCGGTTTCCCCAGTCTCTTCCAGCCTCCATTCCAGGCGGCAAACACACCGACCTTCTCTCATCTCCAGCAACGGCCTACACCGGTCCAGCCCCCTCATCCGCAACCAGCAGCTCCATCACGGCAACGCGCAACCTCTCGCTCATGTCGACAGCCCCAAGCCGCGCCACCATCTCAACCCTCGACAGTTCGTCCCCGTCGTCGCCGCCCAGCGCCGCCCACACGGCCTCCTTGAGCGCGTACTCGATCTGCGCCGCGTCCAGCACCGACCGGATCTCGTCGCGGGGGCTGGCGCGCGTAAATCTCGGCTCACGGCCGCCGTCCAGCTCCACGACCAGGTGCGCGCCCAGGGGCACCTCGTGGATCACAAGGCCGCCACCGCGCCTGTCCTTGACCATGTCGAACCTGAGGGCGGCGGCTGCCGCCCGGTCATTCTGCAGGTAGACGACGCAGGCGCCCGCGGCTCGCCAGCCTGGGAAGACCAACTTCCAGGTCCGGGTGCGCCTCCCGGGCGCCAGGGGCGAGCGGGGAGGCTGTTGAATGTCGACCCTGCCCTCGGCTTGGCTGAAGCGGATCGAGGTCGTGATCAGGTCAAGGCGCGGCTCTGGGATCTGCGCGAGGGGAGAGGGTTCGTCGTCGTCGTCGTCGCTATCTAGACCCCCGCCGCCGCGGACGACGAGGTGCTCCGACTCCTCCTCTTCCGGCTCTTCGTGTAGGTCAAACGCCCCATCCGCGCCAACAAAGATGACCACCTCGAGCGCCACGGGGTTCGCGGCGCCGTTGCGCGGCACGGCGGCCCCGTCCATGGGCACGATGGCGCCAGCCCTGGCAAAGACGGGGTACAGCGCTAGCGGGCGGCTGACCCACACCTCGCGGTCGCCGCCGTACAGCGTCCCCTGGAAGAAGTCGACCCACGTCCCCGGCGGCAGCCACCCCTTTGTCCTCGCCAGCCCGAGCTCCGCGTCGGCGGGCTCCGCGATGGGCATGACCACCAGCCCGTCCCCAAACAGGTAGCTGTTCTCATACGCGTACGCCTCGTCCCGCTCCGCGTGCTCCCAGTACAGTGGGCGGACGAGCGGGACCCCCTCGCGGGACGCGCGCACGTTCATCGAGTGCAGGAACGGCAGCAGTCGGTGGCGCAGCCGCAGAAACACCGTCGCGGCCTCGCGCGCGCCGCCGCTGCCGCCACCACCGTCCACCCCCCTCAACCGCCACGGCTCCTTGGCGACCCAGCCGCTTCGTGTTGAGTGCAGGCGCAGCACGGGCGAGAAGCAGCCGAGCTGAACCCAGCGCGCCGTGCGCTCGTCGTCGCGCCCGCCACCCATGTGCCCGCCCACGTCGTGGCTCCACCAGCCGTAGCCGACGTTGGCGGCCGTGGCGGTGAAGGCGGGCTGGAACCGCAGGCTCGCCCACGACGCGACCGCGTCGCCCGAGAAGCCGACCGGGTGCCGGTGGCTGCCGGGGCCGGCGTAGCGCGAGAGGATGAGCGGCCGCTGCTGCTTCTGCTTCTGCTTCCGCTTCTGTCGCCTGGCGCTGTCGGCCGTGTGTAGGTGGTTGAGCACCCACAGCGGGTCGACGCCGCGCAGGCGCGAGTGCCGGCCCTGCTGCCAGTCGACCCACCAAAAGTCGCAGCCGAGCGGGCGCAGCAGCACGTCAAAGTAGGCGCGCGCGTACCGCCTGCTCGTGATGTCAAAGGCCACGGGCTCTCCCGACGCCGGGTCGCGGCCGACGGCGCGCGCGAACTCGGCGTACCGCTCCTCGTAGCTGTGGACGCCGTCGGCCGGGTGCTCGTTGAGCGTCACGCGCAAGCCGCGCGCGCGCAGCCCCGCCAGGAAGCCCGGCGGGTCCGGGAACAGCCCCCGGTCCCACGTGTAGCCCGTCCAGCCCGTCTGGCCGGCCTCGGCGACGCGCCGGTCCGACTCGGCCGTCAGGTGCCAGTCCATGTCCAGCACCGCCACCGACAGCGGCACGCCGTGCGCCTCGAACTCGCCCATCAGCGCCGAGTACGACGCCGCCGAGTAGGCGTGGTAGCGGCTCCACCAGTTGCCGAGCGCCCAGCGCGGCAGCACCGGCGGCGCGCCCGAGACGAGATACAGCGCCGCGACGGCGGCGGGGTAGTCGTGCCCGTACGCGAAGAGGTAGCCGTCGACGCTGGCGTACCCCCTGCGCGACGCAACGCCCGTGCCCCAGCCGGCGCGGCCGTCGACGCCGTCGAGCGTGCGCGCCGTCCCGCCCAAGTTGGCGTAGTCGTCGTCCGCCTCGCCGTAGCGCCAGAGGCTGCGCGTGTGACCAAAGACGAGTGCGAACAGGCCGTGCGCGCTGAACTCGCACCCGCACTCGTACGTCAGCCGGAGCCGTGAAGTCGTAATCTCTAGCCAGCCGTCTTCCGTGGTCTCGACACTAAAGTCGCTGCAGCCCGCGCGGTCCCGGCGCGCGGCAAAGGCGGACGGCCGGTCCTCGAAGCGGCCGTCGGGCGCCCACTCGTAGCGCACGAGGCCGTCGGCGAGGACTTGGAATCGGTACCTGTCCCCAACGACTTCGTAGTCCCTGCGCTTTAGTTCCGTTAGGCTAGCGGGACTGGCCGCGCAAGATTCCGAAAGATGCCATGTCCCCATTTTCTCTCTGGTAGCCGGTTTGCCCTTGGAGATGTCTTATGTGTGCGGCAGATGCCAGCCACTGCCATGGGTGATCGAGGCGAGTGTGCCAGTGTAGTGGCGCGAGTCGGATCTGGGTGACGCCTGGTGGTCATCTCATGCACAAAAAAAAGGTTGGCGCTGGCACCTCCAACCTGCGCTACTCTCAAATAGAGTTTGGGAAAGAATATGGAACCGAGACATGGGATGAGGGTAAAGATTCTGGAATAATCGAGGCAGCCTGGCAACGCTTGTTCGTGACGCAGACCTCTGTCGCTTTGTACCCTGCCTTCCTGACATGGGCGTCCGGACAACCCAAAAAAAAAAGGAGACATAGTCTAGATTCCCGCCTCCCACATCTGCGTTGTTCATAATACACGTGCCACTTTTCTATCCTTCCCAAAGACAAAGGGAAAAGGAGTGTCTAGACGCATGATCCCTGTGTCGGCATTTATCCCCACTGCACAAGCACCTGCTTCTTGCCCTGCTTCTTCTTCTTACCGCCCCCTGCGCCGCCCGCGTCGGCCTCGCCGTCCCCGCCGCCGTTCTGCGCCGAGGACTCACCCGATCCTGCTCCCCACGAGAAACCTGTATTCCTGGATCCACCCAGGTCTCGACGTACCGCCCCCGTTCCGTAGCCGAAGATGGTGGTGAGAGGTTTAGGGGCAGCAGGAAGCGCGGGGAACTCCTGTCCGCCCGCCGGTGGGCGTGAGCTGCCTCCTCCTCCGCCGCTGCCACCGCCACCAATGGCCGTTGCCGCAGTTCGGGCGATAGGCCGCGGTGCGTTGCTCGTGCTGGCCATACTAGCCGACGACGAAGTCCCGCCGATCCACGAGGGCTGGGCGGGGGTCTTGGACGCGCCGCTCTTATTCCCGCTGGGCAGCGCCGGGAACGCGGCCGAGGAGGTTGTTTGGGGACGTCCAGCCTTACTGTTCGACGAACCCGCAACCCATGTTGCGCCTGGTACCGAAGGCGCGTTGCTCCCGCCCATAGAAGGAGCCGAGGAGCCGGCGCTTGAGCTGCTCCCCCGGCGTGTGCTATTTTTGAGCTTCAGCACCCTTGTCGTGTGCCTCTGCTGCTGCGTCACTGTCGCCCCGCCCAACATCAGCGGCGAGGCTCCGACGGCGCCGGCCCATCCGCTAGACGGAGAGGTAGCACCGTGCATGCCTCCCAAGCCTGGCAGCGAGGGGTAGTCCTCGTTGATAGCGCGCCAGTCCTGCCACGCCTTACGGAGGGCGTCGCCTTTGGCCTTGTCCTCAAACAGGTCCGACACTTCTCGAACGAGCGTGCCCAGCGCATTGGAAGAAGTGTCGTTAAAGAGCGCAAAGAAGCCATCAACGAGCTGCCCGGCTGACAAGGAGCCTTGCTTATACGATGAGATGTCCTCGCGGAATTTGGTCATCTTGGCGGCATCGTTGCCAAGCAGGTTTGATGCACGCTCGATCACTGCGCCGTGCCGCGCGAGGCGGGCGTGGTCCTGGGGCGTCAGGTTCGTGACACCCGTGAATGAAAGTGTCGCCAAGGCGTCGGCAGGGGGCGCGCCGCCCCCCTGGCCCCGTCCAACCCCTGTCGAGGCCCCACCACCACCGCCGGCGGCGCGGGATGGAGCGGGGTTTTGGCTCGAACCGGGTGTGGTGAGCTGCCCACCAAACGTCCTGCTAGTAATCGATTGCGCAGAGTGGATGGCCATCTGGCGCTGGAATGCGATCTCGTCTCTCCGCATGGGCTGGGCGGTGCTTGCCGGTATGGGCTCCGCATTGGGATCGCGGCCTCGTCCGCGCCCCTCCCTGCCGCCATCACGACCGTCCCTTCCTCCGCCGCTGCCGCCACCTCCGCCCCCTCTCCTCTCCTGTTGATACGATGGCCTGATGTCGAAGCCGGCCATATCCACCTGCCTCGCGTCCCTCCTCAGGTCCTTGGACAGCGAGTTGCTGTGCTCGCTCAGCTGGTGTGCTTTGAGGTCCATCTCCGAGTCGAAGACGACAAACTTCTTCTCCAAGCACTCCCTGTCGGCACACAGAAAGTGATCATCGCCAAAGTGCTTTTCGAGCGCGTTGTAGTCGCGGTAGTAGTGTGGCTGGCGCGAGTCTCTGCGGTCACAGATGAAGCAGCGCTCGTGCTTGTGCCGGCAGTGCTCGTACAGCTTGTCGTCATCGTAGAAGCGCTCGCCACAGAAGGCGCAGAGTGGGTGGCCGCGGAAGCCGCTCTGGTTCTCGGCGCCGGGCTTGTCGTCGCCGTTGCGCATGTGGTCGCCGACGCCCTTGTCGCTGAACAGCTCATGCTCGTGCGTGAAGACCTTCTTGTTGCGAGTGCAGAGATCGCACATGCGCTTGTTGTGCGCCGACCGCGTGTGTCGGTGCAGGTCGGGCCAGCCCAGGCCGGCGTAGTCGCACGACGCATCTGGGCAGTTGTATCTCAACAGCAGGACCGTGTCGCCCACGATGTCCTCGTTGGTGTAGCGGATGCCGATGTTCTCGTCGGCGCTAGAGATATCCGAGCTGGTGTACTCGTCGAACCGCTTGTTCGCGTCGTCGGTGAAGATTACAAACGGCGCCGCCGTCCGGCAATGCGGGCAGTCCTTGTTCTTATAAAGGGCCCGCATGCGGAGCGCGCAGATGTGACAGGTAATGTGGTTGCAAGGCGCGATCGAGATGTGCGTTACGGGGTTGGCGCAGATGAAGCACACCTCGCTGTCGGCGTCGTCGTCGGCGTCGCCGCCAGCTGGTGCCAGCTTGGCTTGCGCATCTGCAGCTGGTGCGGCCGGGGTATCGCCTGCTTGGGCATTAGAGCCCCCTCGTCCCTTGCCACGTTGCTTGGCGCCGCCTCCGCCGCCGCGTGCGCTCGAGTCGCCTCGACCCCGGCCTCGCCCGCCGCGGCCCCCACGGCCTCCTTTGTTGCCTTCAGCTCGTGCTCTCTGGGTCCCTGACCCGTCGCTTCCGCCAGCTGTCGTGCCGCCGACAGAAGCCATTTGCTGCCTGCCGGGTGGTTGTTTTGGCCGTTGAGATGTCGTCACGTTGATTTGTGTCGATCGTAGCCTGGCCTCCTCTGAAGGGGGCTTTTTTCCCCCGCGTTGGAATTATTCGTTCGGACGCTGGAGTTTGTCGGGGGTTGCTCGTTGCTTCTGATGATTGACTGGATATCGTGGGCGAAAAGGATATAGGTAGGTAGATATGTGTTCTAGGATGAGGAGCAAGCAAGCAAGCAAGCAAGCTCAGGATTACGGAGGGGTTCTGGTGAATTTCAATCAAGCAGAGGGTCGTCGCCGTGCACTGGCGACAAACCACCAAGCCAAAGTTGGTTGAAGGCAATGGGTGATTTGGCAGCAGCCTTTGCCCCACCTCTGTGTGACGGATAGGTTGCGCACCTGCTAGTGTCGTGCACGGCCCCAGTCGACCAGGGTAAGCAGCCACTTTTGCTGGGTGTCACCGCAACGAGCCAAGCGCCCAATTGAGAAGAGTCAGACCGCGCTACCGGCAAGCCTCGCGCGGCTCAGCCACTTGACTCTCTCTCAAAAGGCCCAAAAGGGGAACTCATCATCAACACTCATAGTGGCAACATGATGCTGTGAACAAGCGGCGCTTCATTATCCCCACATTGAAGAGGAAGTTCGACTAAAAGCCCTGGAGGTATTTGTTATGATCCAATGTACTTTTTTTTCCTTGGAACATGGGGTGGGATGAGTCTGGCCCCCTGCAACAGCCGCAGCTGGGGCCGCCCTAGGGTGCTATGCGGTCTGGTTCGCATGCTCTGCTTTTGATGCAGGCTTGGCCCGGAAAGCGACGAGAGCAAACAAGCAGCTCCCTTTCTCCCCCAGATCCTTCCTAGCAGCCCCCGGAAGCATAAACGTGCGTCTCGTCCCGTTCGTGTCCGCAGCATCAAACGCCATAACCCCCACCATGATAAAAAATATAAAAAAACGCTTGTCTGTGGCCAGAACCTTGGCGTGAAGGCCACCGCTCGCGACTTCCTGGGGAACCCGAGCAGCCCCAGACGCCTGACTGGGCGAAAAAGCCAAAATGAAAGGAAACAAATGAAAGACGATGGAAGGAGTGTTGGACGACGGGGCGTGTGTGTGAGATGCTCTTCCACCACTCGGCGGCCCGTCGGTCCAATGGAAATGCGAATGAAGCCAGCAAAGCAGTCCCGGCCGACGCAATCATGTGCGTTGCGAATAGAGGGCAATGAAGGATTGAAAAAGGAGATGCATCATGATACCGAGTACGCCGTTCCGGCTTTCCATCCGTTCAAGCCCCTGAATTGGTTGACAGTTTCCAACTCAAAGGGGAAACGCTCCTGCGCCTGTAAAAGAAGGGTTCGAGATGAGTAGGAGCAGAGTGAAGAGACAAGATACAACCAGTTGGTGCTTCTACTCCTCTTCGACGGGGTAGAGGTGGTTGCCAATCAGCTTGTTCATCTGGAACATGTCGACCTTGCTCTGTTTGAACACGGCCTGCATCATCTCGTCGCAAAGGATCTGGCGTTTGTCATTAGGGTCCTGGAGGTCGTTGCCCTTGATATGCTCCCACAGTTTCTTGACGACCTGCGGCCGGGAGAGCTGTGCGCCGTGGCAGATGGTTCACCAGTCAGTCCATCTGGGGGTAGGCATGGTAGGGGCAGGGGAAACGTACGACAGGCTCTCCGCAAAGAAGCGCGAGGTGGTGGCTCAGGCTAAAGGGCTTCTGGAAGCCGCCGCCGGCCTTGCGCTTAGTCTTGGCCTCGCCGCCACTGCCGTCGACATCGCTGTCGTCCTCGGCCTTGACCTTGTTGCTGCTCTTCTTCTTTGGCGCCTTTTTGCGCGGCTTGCTGGCGCTGGTGTTGCCATTGCTGCCCCGCGTGGCCCGCGCCGACGCGCGCCGGTTCTCCTCAGCCTGCAGCTGCGCCGCTAGCTTGGCGTCGTCGTCGGTCGACGATTCGCGCTTCTGCTTCTTCTTGGCCGGCGGCAGCGACACTTCTATCTCGCCGCCGTCCTCCTCTTCTGCCTCGTCGTGGTCGTGGCCGTTGGTCATCTCTGACCGGTCGCGCTTCGGGGACGGGCGAACATCGTCGGTAGGGAACGATAGCGGGGGAGGGGTGGGCATAGTGCCCGAAGCCGAGGTGATGGCATCGAAGCGTTTGCCGATTAGTTGCTTGATGGCGTTCTGCAGAAGTGAGAGTCAGTATTGCCGGCAGAGAGGCATCATTGTGAGGGCCCGGCGGCGGCGCATTCCGAAGGGTTGGGCTGCGAGTATAGCAAGGTATAGTGTGGATATGGATCATCACAACGACCAGGCCCACTGTCCTTCAAAAGATCCAAGTGAGGCTGTAGGGAGTAGCATCCCACTGTTTGGTTGCAGCAAGACAGTGTATGATTGCAGGGAACCATGTTTGATATCGCTGTGTCTGCTCTCGACCAGCAAGCAATCAAGCGCGATGGTAGATGCGCATGGGCAAGGGATTGGGTACGCAGATGGCGACGGAGGACATTTGAGTGCCAGATAGGTAGTTGCGCTAAAGGGGTAAGGGGCAATGGCAGCTCCCGTGCGCACACGAACCCACCTTTTGGCCAGAGAGGTCCTTGTCACCCAGGGCTTTCTGAAGGCCTCCCCTAATGCTCTTGATGGAGACAGTCTCGAGGTTGGCGGTGGCGAGAATGGCATCGATGATGCTGGTGTAGTTCTCCTCCTCGGCGGCGGTCACTGTGGTATACGGCAGTCCGGGAGTTAGCTCTGATATGGACACGACAGCAAATTTCGGGGCGCGGACATGGTCCGCGCCGCATATCGGCTGCCGGGGGGCAACCCGGGGTGGCTGAGGCATACGCGGCTCCGACATGGTGTCTGTTCCAGACGGCTCGGGTCTCCAGCGTGGCCGGGGACGGAGGAGGCTTCGGTGCGAGGCGTGGATGTGGCAAGGGGCAGCGGGCGAGTCGCCGGCGACGAGGAGACGGACAATGGGCGGCAACAGCCAGGGCAAGTCAGCGACAGGCAAGCGAGGGCGACGGGCGGGCGGGTCGAGGCGGGCGGGAGGTGCCGGGATGCTCGCGACGGTCGGGGCTGGCGTGGGTGCTTGCTTGGTTGCTTGCCGTGGGTGCTGTCGGTGATGCCGCTGTGCTCGCCTCGTGGAGTGGAGGTTGGGTGCGCTAGCTGGTTTGGGCCTGTGCTGTGTTTGGATTGGATGCATGAGTTTTGGCGGCACGCGGGTAGCAGAATAGTGCAACCGCTTCCGGGAGTGAGCCACTGACAGCATGCCCCAGGTGCCCACTTGGCTTCCCCACTTGCCGCAGCCCCAATTCTTCTGGCACGACACCTCTTCGGCGATCGATCTGCGACCGAACTTTATGTGAACCTTGGGTCCTAGCTCGGGCGCAGTTTGGCGACAGCGCTGGGAATGGTTGGCCGAAAGGCCTCAACTGCTTGATGGAAAAGTAAGAAAAGGGTGCAAGAAATAAAAGGAAATTTATAAAAAGAGCTATATAAGACAGGAAAGTATATGGAACAGACAAGGTAGTTTCATTAAAGTTACCGAGTGTTTTGGCCGTCGTGTGGGTCCGGCTGCGTTTGTTCGTCCGAATAGCGGCTTTTACAGCAAGCGCGGCCAATTGGCGTAGAAATCAAAAGGCTCTACTAAGCCCGACAGGAGTACCACGTGACATCCCTAACCTTCACCACTTACTCATTTTCAACCTCTCAACCCAATTTCGAGAACACAAGTTTAAAATCGCCTTCCGTGGCCGGCTTTGGTTTTCACCCGAGCGCGCTTGATAGACACCACTCAAGGCGGGTTTGCAGAGCAATTTTCGGGAGGTTTCTTTCCTCAGAAGCCGATCAACCCTTATTTTGCTCGTTATCGCGATATCTTTGCACATTGCACCAACTCTTTTTTTTTCGACTTCGTATCTGAGACGCTCATCACTTGCCACTCACCTTTCGCCCAGTCGTGATCTGATCTCACAAGTTACATCAAGATCAAAGCCGATGCCGCCAAAAATTTAAGCCGCTTCATGGAGAACTAGCTCGCATATACCCTTCTGTCTGAAACGCAACGGCACTGACATCTCCCTTCTGTCCTTTGCCATCGCAAGAGCTTTTGCTGGTGCCGGCGTCAGGAACAGACGAGCTACCAGCGACGATGATGCCATCCAGCCCCGTCGGCATCGGCGCGGCTGGCGTGCGCATCTCGCTGCTGAAAATCCTCGAGGGCTTCACCAACCGCGAGCTCTACCTGATCCACCAGCTGTACCAGATCCAGCTGTTCCTGAACTGGCAGGCCGACAAGTTCGGCGCCCGCGGACTACGCGCCGACGAGTGGATCGTTTACGCGTGCGACTTCTTCGAGCCCGTCTTCCGGCTCCTCCACGAGGAGGGCGCCTCGGACTACAAGAACCAGCTGGCCGTCCTCGGCCTCGCGCCGTCGCGCGTCTTCCCTTTTGCCTGGTCTCTCATCCGCCCGGACGCGGCCGACCAAGAGGCGTGCGACCACCTCGCCGACACCGTCGTCGGCATCATATCCGAGTCGGCCCTGCTCTTCCCCGAGATGAAGCCCTACCAGCGGTCGTCGCTACTCGAGGTCGACGGCGAGGGTTGCAGAGAGCGCGTGGCCGAGTTCCTCACCCGCAGCCGGGCCACGGGCGAGCTTTCGGGCGAGCCCAGGGAGAGGCTCCTCCCGGACGGCGAGCCACTCAAGGTGTCCGAGTGGGTCGAGGACGTGAGCCTGGGGCAAGACAGTGTAAACCAGTGGATCGACCCGTCCCCCGTCCCGAGCCTCGCCCATGGGGGGCGCACCTCGCAGGCCAGCGGCCATATACAAACAGACTGGCCGTCGCCCTCAGACTGGGACTGGGACGACCAGGCCGCGGGCCACTTGGCCGCGCGCGACCCGCTGGCCACCTTCGTCTTCGACCCGGAGCACAGGAACCCCACGCACGAGTGGTCCGTGGTCGAGCCCGACGGCATCGAGTACTTCACCAGCGCGCCCAGCTTCTGCGCCAAGCTTAGCGGCCTTGCGGCGCAGGGCGAGCTCGAGGACGGGTCCGGGTCCGGGTCCGGACCCGGCAGCGGCGGGCTGCTGCCCCTGGGCTCCCGGCTGCAGGGCATGCTGCGCGGCTCGGCGCTGTGGTGGCTCGTGTGCGAGTGCGGCGATGCCGAGCGCGACCGGCTGCGCGGGTCCGTCTTCGCCTTCGTCAACGCGCTGCAGCGCCGCTTCCCCGTCCTGTTCGCGTCCGAGGCCCGCAAGGCCTTCAACGACGCCCCGGCCCTGACCGACCGGCTCGTCTGCGGCTGCTCCGACCTGCTGCGCATGCACGCCCTCCGCCTGTGCTGCCTGGCCCAGACGGCCGGCATCGCGGACCAGCCCGCCACATATGTCCGCATCTGGGAGCTCATGGACGGCCGCCTGCAACAGTTCTTTGACCGTCCGGACCCGGAGGCGGGCGACTACGACGCCTTTGTGGCCATCCTGGACCGGGGGCTCCGCCGCGCCATCGTGGGGGAGAAGGGCCTGCTGGATTCGGTCCACGCCCGGGAGAAGGCGGCCAAGGAAGGCGGCCCGGTCGGCGGCGAGCCCGAGGATGACGGCGGGCGCAGCACCAACGCCTCGGTTCGGAAGGGAGCGTCCGTGTGGCCCTGCAGCTCATGCGCGGGGAAGAACTCGGGGGAGAAGACGGGAAAGGGAAGCTCCGGATCCGCCCAGTCAGGGTTTCGTCTCCTCCCTTGGCGCTTCTTGCCCCTGGACTCGGGCGCATGACCGGCGCTCTACTTGCTCTGATTCGACAGGGTTGTCGCTTGACCAGGAATGGCCGCCGCTCTGGTAAGAAGATTGAGGTGGAATGATACAACGAACGAGGCTTTTTCCCTGTACACCCTCGGACTCGCAGCCTTGCCACCATTGTCTTTTCACCTACCGCTAGTTTTCGTCTCTCTGTTCACATGCTTTCCATCTGGAGCCACCATCCTATTTGCGAAGATACTCGGCGTTATTTGTTGCTATTCTTGTATTGCTTTCTTCTTTATCTAGTAGGCACCGATTTTTCCTGCCTGGGAGCTTCCAAGTCATCCAGGGCTGGCTATCACCAGTCCATTGTCACATAGCAGAGCCACATAGTATTCAGATGTATGATCCAACCTGCTCCTTGGTGCGATAATTCCTCTTCTCGTGGGACACAATCTTGTGTTGAGGATATATATAGCCACCAGCCTAGGGGTTGTCAATATTCACAAACATGCCCGTGTGTTCTATAATTAATCTCCTCGTGCAGCTTCTACGGGCTGCAAGCCCTACCTAATTGGGGCATGGGCACCATCCCCAAAAGTTGGAGAACACTCAACCCCTGCCCCAGTCGTGCGGAGCAGTTTGGCTTGAAGGCCGGCTAGCGGCAACTACAACCGCCATAGCGCACCACAAGACATTCGTCATTTGTCACGTTCTCTAACAGCCCAAAGGCTGTAGCTGACAAGAAGTGGCGCGCCTCCTGACCTCAGCCATCCCTCGGACGTCTCATACCGTCACTTCCGCTTCGGGCTGTGGTGGTGCGCCCTCGGTGGAGAGATGATGCAACCTAACCCGAGAATGGCCCCCGGAGCATGACGTTGGAGCTCCGGCCTTGGCGCGACCCTGGGCGCGGTGGCGTGGGCTTAGAGGGCTGCTGGGGCCGCCAATGGGAGGTTTGGGGCGCGCAAAAACCTCCGGCCCGCCATCCCTTCCGGCGTCCCGAGGTCTGCCACTAGACCTGTTTTCTACTGCAACACTCACCCCATCTCGACCACACCTCGCGCGCGGGGCCCCGCGTGCTCTTGAGCTGCCGCTGCGACACGAGGCCATGGCGGTGCCCGCGGTGGGAGGCTGAACCTTGATCCATCGCTTTTCGAGTCTTGGCGAGCAGGATCCGGACCATGACCTTCCTCCCTCGCGCGCGACGGAAAACCGGCATCGGGGGCGACCAAGTAGGGGTGATGGACATGGCTAGCTACAAAACTAGCTATAAAGCTGTCTTGTTCCTCCAGAGCCGGCAATGATCTTGTCGGACATTTACTCCCTCAAGCAAACCCGCTTGCAACCCCAACAGGTACGATGAGGTTCTTTTCGGCAGTCCTCGCCACCGCGGCCTTCTCCGGAGCCCTTGCCGCTCCGGTGGAGGCCTCCTCGATGGATGAGCTTGTCGAGCGATCACCCAACGTCACACTCATGGCCCGCGGCACCCCGTCCGGTACCGGCACTCACAACGGCTACTACTATTCATACTGGACCGAAGACGCCAGCGCCGACGTCACGTACACCAACGGCAATGGCGGGCAGTTCAGCGCCACCTGGCGGAACAGCAAGAACTTTGTCGGAGGGAAGGGGTGGATGCCTGGGAGCGCGAGGTAGGTGATTAGCACTTAAAAGGCGCAAACTTGTTTTCAAACTTGTTGTCATTCCCATTGAAGGCTACCCAGATACTCAACCGGCAACCCCCAACAGGACCATCCAGTACTCGGGCAGCTACAGCCCCAACGGCAACAGCTACCTGGCCGTCTACGGCTGGACGCGCAACCCGCTGATCGAGTACTACATCGTCGAGAACTTCGGCAGCTACAACCCGTCGAGCGGCGCGACGCGGCGCGGGAGCGTGACGAGCGACGGCGGGACCTACGACATACTCGTCAGCACGCGCGTCAACCAGCCCTCCATCGACGGCACCGCCACCTTCCAGCAGTTCTGGTCCGTCCGCACCTCCAAGCGCACCGGAGGGACCGTCACGACGGCGAACCACTTCAACGCCTGGAGGGCCGCGGGCCTGAGCCTCGGCACCGAGTGGAACTACCAGATCATCGCCGTCGAGGGGTACTACAGCAGCGGTTCGGCCTCCATCACTGTCGGCTCCAGCAGCGGGGGCGGTGACGGCGGTGGAGGGGGTGGTGGTGGAGACGGAGGGGGTGGTGGTGGAGACGGAGGCGGCGGCGGCGGCGGCGGTGGTGGTGGTGGTGGTGGTGGTACCGTAAGTCCTATATACCTGCTCCTCTGACGGTTGATCCTTCCAACCAGTCCTCAGTGTTGACTAACACTTCCTTTCTCTCTAGTGCTCGGCGAAATGGGGGCAATGCGGGGGACAGGGATGGAACGGGCCGACCTGCTGCGTCTCTGGCTCGACTTGCACTGCTTCCAACCAGTGGTACTCGCAGTGCACCTAGATGATGGTGATTTTGGACTTCTTGGGGCAGATAGAGCCTCCGTTAGTAGCTCGGGTCTTTGCTCGACTTGCTTCAGGAGCACGGGGTATGGATGCAGAAATAAGAGGCCAGCATGCAACAGTGTTATCTCCTAACGTTATCTCACAGTAAAGCCCCAGATTACAAACACAGGGATAACGGACCTACATACCTGCTTTCTGGCTTTCTTTCGTCCGTCAGCACGTCTTGGCCGAGTAGTTGTCGAGCTAGCCAGTGCTTAGTTGTGTGCGCCAAGGGACCGAAAGGGAAGGCAATCTCTGTCATGCCAAGGGTAATGCAGCGTTGGATGCGTACATGCGTTGTTTATAGACCCATCAACAGGCACATGCGATTCTTGACGCTGCCCAGCCATCCAGCCGGAGCTAGAGGGATACATGGCGCTGTAGTCTCGTGCAAGGCCATCAAGACGAATTAGGAATACCGTGAGTGGGGAGTATCAGTGTTGAGTGGTGCAAAATGTCGATGCTGCGAGGAATAATTATGAGCCATCTTTGACAATACATTGATGCATCAAGGTGGCATCCCCTGAGTGAGCATATGCAACGTCAGCAAAGATATCTCCGAGTGTCATCAGTGCCTGCGTGTGTATTTATGGGAGTTGAGCCCGGGAAGGCATCGCGTCTTTACCTGCCCGAGGTCTTGTCGTTAGCTCTCTCAAAGCCTCGACGCTTGTTAAGGCATCGACAGCAACCAGACTAGGTAAGATGTTCTTCGCCACCAAACTACCCTTCATATGCCTCTAGATTGTGGGAAGGGACTCTGCCGTCCTTCATGATGACCTTGACTTAAATCGAGCCAGACTTCCCTCAGGATAGGAAAAGGGGAGCTAGGAAACGTACTGAGATATGCCAATATCAAGAGCTGACATCGTCTGATCTGTCACGTCTGGGATTTGATTATTGCGTTATTTGCAACACATGACTGTTGAACTTGTCCCGAAAGCTAACCCGAGTTTTGGCAACATGGATCGATTGTGTTGCATTTAGGAAACCACGGTGATTCAACCACAGCGACTAGGAACACGACCAATACTTTCTCTTCTCCGTCAACCCCCCAAACCTGTCCTGTTGGTCGCACTAGCTGACATGCCCATCAGATCCCTCAGAGTCGCGGTCTGCGCCTCCTGGCGCGCGAGCCGCAGGCGCAGCTCGTCACGCTCCTTGGTCACCTCGGCCAGCGCCTCATCAAGCTCCTTGATCCTGTCCTGGCGCTTCTGCCGGTACCTGCGGGCCGCCGCCGTGTTGCGCTCCCGCTTGCGGACTTTGAAGTCAAGAGAGGATAGTGCAGGGCTCTTGGACGAGGCGTCATGGGAAACCTCGTCAGGGTTGAGATGGGCATCCGGGGTGTTGGAGGCACCTGGAGTGTTGTTGGAGGTGGGACTGGCGGAGGACCCGGCAGATGCTGAGTGCACAGGATTGAAGGCCCCCATCCCCATGTCCGCTAGGATTTACGAGGTAGTTAGTAAAGAATAATGGATGGCGTACCAACCCCTGGGAGACGAGAACACCCGCCGCAGCACCCACCCTGAAGTCCCGAGCCCAGGCTGTGGTCGTCGACGCGGAAATCAGACAGGTCGGGCAGTGCCATGTCCCCGGCCAGCAGCCAGCCAGCAAAGTCAAGGCCGGCTGTGGCCAGGGGAATGCCGTGCCACGGTGCGGGCACGGACGGCGGAGGGAGGAAGGCGGCTGGGCTGGCGGGTGCCGGGACTGCTGTCCAGCTGGCGACGGCGGCCTCTCCCCAGAGCGAGTCGTCAGCCGGGGTCGGCGAGATCGCTCTGCTGCTGCGCCGTGTAGAACCCGACGGGGGTCTCGCTTGGCTGGTAGTGCATGACGACGATGGAGGAGGGCATTGCTGCACTGCGGGGCGGCCTCGCCCTCTACGAGGCCAAGGGCAACGTTTCTGGGGGTTTGAATGGGGGAGGTGTGTGTAAGTGATGGGTTCTTGGCTTGTGATTTGTCGAGCGGTGCTGTTCGACTGTCAGCTGAGCCTGAGGATGGAAAGGAGGAGGGCTCAACTGCAATTGCGCAGAGGCGACGACTTATGAGCCTTTTCTTATCCACTTGCTGCTACGGTTCGATACATTATGATTCATTCTGTATGCACCGCATCCACCGCCGGGGAGGGGTCATCCGGCACTGCCGTAAGCTGCAGGGAGTAGCGGCCCTTGACTTGACCTGCAGGGATTGGCCAATGCATTCTGAGGCACCATCAATTCCATTCTAGCTTTGAGGAATTCTAGCTTCGAGGCGTCCACCAGTCCCCGTCCATCCTCCTCACCGACAACGTGCAGATAAGCGGTTGACCACCCGCACCAGGGGCAGCCACTCAGAATGCCGGAACCAGAATCTACATACCGCCTTTGGGTTGCCGGGAAGGAACAGGATGGCCGAGGCAACCTGTGAGTGTCCCCTCCATGCTGGTGAACTGGCCAAGCCGTGGCGCCAAGAGAAGCAAACCATCCCCTCCTAACCCGACCATCACCCATCAGAATCCCCATAGAAGACCCAGCCACAGGCGACATTTTTGCACAGTAGGCACGGCCGTCTCCTCCTCCCCCTCCTCTCTCCCTCTCTACGACCGACCTCCCTGACGCATGCAGGTAGCTGCCACGCTGCGTCGGCCTCGGACGTCGACTCGGCGGTTGATGCCGCCCACGCCGCCTTCAAGGCCGGCGCCTGGTCCCGGGCGCCGCGCCAGGCCCGCGCCGACGTGCTTGACCGCGCGGCCGAGCTGCTGGGCTCGGCGCTCCCGGGGCTGATCGACCTCGAGGTGCGCCAGACGGGCCGGGCGGTGCGCGAGATGCGCGCCCAGGTGCCCTCGCTCGTGCGCTGGTTCCGCTACTACGCCGCCCACCTGCGCACCGAGCAGCGCGCCGTCCTGCCGACCACGGGGAGCCTGCACAACTGGGTCGACCGCGTGCCGCTCGGGGTCGTGGCCCTCGTCACGCCCTTCAACCACCCGCTCCTCATCGCCGTCAAGAAGATCGCCCCGGCCCTGGCGGCCGGCAACAGCGTCGTCCTCAAGCCGTCGGAGCTGACCCCGCTGACCTCGCTCGCCCTCGGCCCGATCCTGCGCGACGCCGGCGTCCCCGACGGCGTCTTCTCCGTCCTCCCCGGCCTCGGCCCGGAGACGGGCAGGGCCCTCACGTCGCACGGCCGCGTGCGCAAGGTCGACGTGACGGGCTCGACGGGCGCGGGGCGGGCCATCGGGGCCGTGGCGGGCGCGAACCTGGCGCGCTTCAACGCCGAGCTGGGCGGCAAGGCGCCCCTCGTCGTCTTTGACGACGCCGACCTCGACGCCGCCGTCAACGGCATCGCCTTTGGCGCCTTCATGGCCAGCGGCCAGACCTGCATCGCCGCCACCCGCATCCTCGTGCACCGGCCCGTGCTGCCGGACCTGCTCCCGAGGCTCAAGGCCAAGGCCGCATCCATCGAGCGCCGCATGGGCTCGCCGGCCAACCCGGCCTCCACCATGGGGCCGCTCGTCTCGGCCCGCCAGCTCGCAGGCGTCGAGGCCCTGGTCGGCGAGGCCGTGGCTGGCGGGCACGCCCGGGTGCTCTGCGGCGGCGCCCGCATGGCCGGCCCCAGCGCCCTCGACGGCCTCGACCTCTCGCGCGGCTACTTTTACCCGCCCACCGTCCTGACCTCGACCTCGGACGAGAACTCCTCCTCCTCGACCACCCCCAGCAGCAGCAGCAGCAGCAGCAGCAGCAGCAATAGCATCCTGGGCGCGCGCATCTGGCGCGAGGAGGCCTTCGGCCCCGTCGTGGTCGTCTGCCCCTTCGACGACGAGGACGGGGCGGTGGCGCTCGCCAACGACAGCGCCTTCGGCCTGGGGGCCGGGATCTGGACGCGCGACCTGTCGCGTGCCTTCCGGGTCTCGGAGCGGGTCGAGGCCGGCATCGTCTGGGTCAACACGCACCACCGCAACGACCCCAGCAGCCCCTGGGGCGCGCACGGGGCCCGCCCCGAGAGCGGGCTCGGGTCCGAGAACGGCGTGGACGCCTACCTGGGCTACACGGCCGCCAAGAGCGTCATCATCAACTACGCCCCGCCGGAGGCCGCCGTGCGGGAGGAGGACTGGTTCAGGGAGGAGGGCGGGGATGTGCGGTATGGGTAGTCGGTGTATGGCTTGGTGGTTGCGTGGTTTTTTGAATTCTGCACACGATACATGTGAGCAACGAACCCTTGGGCCACGCAATCCTACAAGCCTGTCATCTCAGGCATGTAATATTGGCTGAAAATATGGTTGGAGAGTTACAACCTCCTGAGATAAGACTATACCTATACCTATACCAAACAGTTGCTAGCGGCAGTCGACCATTATACCGATACCATGATGTCTTTACAAACAATGGCCCTTCCATCCGCAGCTCCCGCCATCACGAACCGTAATGTAAACAGTAGCCTCTGCCACAGTTATTATGCTCGAGACGAGGCTCAAAGGAGAAGACCGAACGGGAGTTCAAGCGGAGCAAGCCAAAATGCCTGCATCCACATTTGGTCCCAGAGAACGGGCTGGAATCACATAAAATTGGCCCCCAGAGCCTCTCCTTTTTTTTTCTCCGTAGCCCACATTATGCTTATTGCGTGATGGCGCGCCAAGGTGCCTCAATGCATACAAATCTCAGGTATGCCGGCGCCGGCACTGGCGCGGCAAATCGACCGTCCGCACAGGCGTTGGGACCTGAAGCGAGACGGCCCCCGACGGACGCCATTTCCGCGCGATTGGGACACACAAGCGGTAGCTCGAATGGCTCGCATCTTTAGAGCAGCAATGACGCTTCATCGCCCAAGGATACATACAGCTCACGTGCAATGACACCATCGCGTCTGGGGCGGTCCTGACTCGGGTGCCGACCAAAAAGGACCAATATCCATGTCTGTCCCAGTCGCTCGCTCGCCGCCGGGACATGTCAGGCCCCAGCGAGCCGAGATGCCTCGGGTGGTTGCACACATCCATTCCATTCCTTCCTGGGTGCGGGATTCGGTCGGTGTCTCGTTGCAAGCGCGGCGGGTTGGCGGCGAGCGGCAGCCAAAGCAAACGCCAAGCAAGAAAAGGGTCGGAGGAGGACCTACCTATCTTGGAAAGGCGACCTTCGTTAGCGCAGCCCACCGGCTGAGCTTGGCACGGCCAAATCAGGCCCAAACAGCCGAGATGACCAGTGGGAGCGGGCGGTTGGGCAAGGGAAGAGGAAGCGTTGTCCGACTCGAGCAGGAGTCCCGTCTCTCATGTGATGCCCGGGTCTTTTCCCCCTTCCCTCCTATTTTCTCCTTTCTTCCTCCTTCCGTGCGGCATCCCACCCATGCTTAGCTCGCGCCCGCACGACTTGTCGTACAGAGATGGCTTGCTACCAGTTAATGACTGCCGGCCGTTTTTAGCTAATAAGCGTTTTGGCGAGCACCAAGGCCGAGGTATGTGGCGGGGAGCACGTGCACACGAAAGACGGGAGTGACGGTGGTCTGTCATGCCTGTTGTCCGTGTGTCTGTTGTTTGTGTGCCTGTCCCGTCCGTTGATGGCCCAAGACGGCGGCGGCGATAGCAACATCGTCTCGATTGCGAGGCCCACCGCCATCATGCCAGTTAGGTCTTGGACAGACAGCACCCACCCCCACGGCAGCCGTCGGCCGGCCACGGGCTCTGCAGCGACCCCGCACCAACAGCTGACGGATGGCGGGCAGGCTCACCCTATCGGGTCCTGCAGCGAGGCAATATTGGATACAAATCAAGGAGGTATCGACGTCGGGGCCAGGCATCAGCGGGTATTTAGATGAGCGGACACAACTTCCTTTCGGGGCAGGCAGTCAGGCCTGGGGTGCTGTGCCGGGGACGGCGGGGGGTGGGTGTGTGATATGGTGAGATGTTGGAACCTGGGACCGGCCTTGATAATCCTCCAAGAGGCGGCCCTCCAAAGGCGCTGTTTCTCGGGGTTTGGCGACGAGTGGGCCACTCCTCAGCCAATCCATCCGTTCAAACAAAAAGCAACCCATCAACCCCACCTCCAAAGCTCCCCTGTGGCCCACAGAGATCTTGGCACTCCTGCCCGCCGGCCTGTGCGCGATTGCAGGCCCTCCCAGACCCTAGCACCCTAGCCAGGTTCCCCGCCAGCAAATGAATCAAGGGTGTCAAGGGGTGGTTGTGCATGGACAGAACGGAATCCTACCAAGTCACTCGATGGAGAAAGGTTGGCCTTGAAGGTCTTGCTGACAGTCGTCAAACGCTGGGATAGCGCGTCTTTGGGTCGATTCTGCGAGGAAGCCTAGCCAATGACGGATCTGGAATTTGGAATTCGTGATTGATCCGGGTCTGCAAATGGAGGTGGTTGTTCGATCCCCCTCCCTCCTGGGACCCTGTCGCTCTCGGTCAACGGAATGGGTGCTATCTTGGTGGGGTTGGCGAGTTGGCGCGGGACAGAAGCTCGCAGCCAACGCGCCAACCTCGTCAATTGGCTGTTATCTCTCGGGCACTTCCTGCTTGGTGCTTCTGGAAGGCACGCTAGAAGTTGACGGGCCCCTTGTTGTGGTCGTCAGCTGAGGGGGTGTTGCCGCAGATATGCAGTGTGGGAGGCGACAAGAAAGACAAGGGCAAGAAAGGGCTAGGACAAAGTCAAGCACTGGCAAGCACCCCAAGCACGGCGGGACAAGCACGACAAGCTGGACGATCCAGGAGGCGCAGCGCCCGCGCACAGGACAAGCAAACTTGGCGCGTCGTGCCGCCTCCAAGAGTCGCCTTGGTCGGCGCCAACGCAAATCATCCGTTAGGCGACGGGCTAGGCGGGGTTGAGAGGGTGTAAAAATGATATAGATTGGTTTCTGGAGGAAGCAAAAGACAAAAAGAGTACAAAGCCCAGAGAGATCTGCCGTCGACGCTAATGTGGCATCTGGCGTAATGGTAATGGTGTGCAGGCAAATGCAAAGCACCTCGGCTCCAACAGACCCGGGCAGCTAATTGATTGATTATCTCGCAAATCCCAAATCTCCCCGCCACAAGCCAACCAACCCTCGCCGAGAGTGCATCAGGCGATGGCCATTGGCGGCCCAGTCGTGCGTATCGGATACGTACTGATATCGAGGGCAGAGAGAGGCGTGGGTAAAAAAAGGGAGACAGAGGTGGCAAAGGCAAAAGGAAAGGCCGAAACATCAAACGATGGAACCCGATGGGCTGTTCTAGGGCGGGGGGTGAGAGGATGGAGAGCATCGCAGATGACCCAATCAATCACTATCAGGGTGTGGGCATGCGGTTCCGACCTTCCTATTCGGGCTGGCACTTCACGCGCCTGGGCTGGAACCACAACGACGACCACACGCATCGTGCTCGAGCTGTCCGGCCGGTTGCGAGCGCGGCGCTTTGCCTTCTTTCTGGCCTAGCCGGCTTGGCGGGCGACGGATTCGCCGGATTGGCTTGTCCTGCAAAAATTCCCCTTGGGATGATCTGCGGAGAGGAGAACTTCTCATCGCGGGCACGCGACAGTGGGGAAGGCCTCGGGGTGGCGAGTCGAGGGGCGAAGCAGGAGGTGATGTACTACCTAGTAGATGGCTAAGAGTTTGGTCCTTCTCCTTCGTGGCCAGGCCGTGTTGTATTTCAGAAATAGCCGCCATCTATGTGTACCACCTCGGCGCGTATAGCAGGCGTGGTATTGTATGTAGAGTGCATGTTGTCTCTCTGCGTCTGCATCCCGCCGGTGCATCCATCCACCCGTCCCATACCATCCCCAGAGAGCGACGTTGCGACTCTGGCCCATGCTTGCTCGCTCTCACTCCCACCCCACACCCCCTGTCGTACCGTATCGCGACATGCACCATGAACGCCCTCCTCCCCATTCTGGCTTGGGCAAACCCTGCTGAACCTTGTCTGGGCCTCTCGCCCCAAAGGGTAGGTGGTCACGGTGGTCTCTCGTCCTGCCGGGTGCCATTTGGAGGCGGTCCACCGTGATCCATGCCCTCGAGCTCCCCTCCTCCTGTGCTACCCTACCGTGTCTCTGGGGTGAATATATAGAGACGCCCACTCCCCGTCTCCTCTCTGCTCCCACCTGGACTCTGCACGCGCTCTTCAAGCTCCCGTCCGCGCTCCAGTCAGAGAGACCCGGCACCAGCGTCGAAGTCTTGATCCCCCCCATACTTGCTTCACATCTGCCTCACTCCCTCTCCACCACCAAAAAAGTCTGCCCATCATGAGCAGCGCACCGGCGGCCGCGGATGAGGCCATCGCCAAGGCCCACGTGCCCGAGGCGGCCATCCAGGGCACCGAGAAGGAGATGATGGCGGGCAAGGGCTCCATCGACGTGTCGATGGCGGCGCCCCTGGACCACCCGTCCGACTCGGACGACTTCGAGGACAAGCCGACCGAGGAGGAGATGCACAGCCTCCGCCGCGTGTCGGGCAAGATCCACTGGGGCATCTACACCATCGCCTTCGCCGAGCTGTGCGAGCGCTTCTCCTACTACGGCTCGGCCGTGCTCTACACCAACTTTGTCAAGCGGCCCATGCCCGAGGGCTCCACCACGGGCGCCGCCCCGAGACCGGAGGACACGGCCGGCGCCCTGGGCATGGGCCAGGCCGCGTCGCAGGGCATCTCGCTCTTCAACGTCTTCTTTGCCTACCTCATGCCCCTGGTCGGCGCCTACGTGGCCGACGCCCACCTGGGCCGCTACAAGACGGTGCACATCGCCATCGGCATCTCCACCATCGGCCACGCCGTCCTGAGCGCCGCCGCCGCGCCCGATGTTCTCAAGAACCCCAACTCGGCCTTTGGCGCCTTTATCGTCGGCCTGCTCATCCTCTGCGTCGGCACCGGCTTCTTCAAGGCCAACATCTCCCCCTTGCTGGCCGAGCAGAACAAGGACACGCGCATGCGCGTCGAGGTGCTCAAGTCGGGCGAGCGCGTCATCGTCGACCCGGCCATCACAAACACCCGCATCTTCCTGTGGTTCTACTTTGCCATCAACATCGGCGCCCTGGCCGGCCAGCTGTCCATGGTTTTCGTCGAGAAGTTGCACGGCTTCTGGCTCGCCTTCCTCCTGCCCACCATCCTCTTCTTCTTCTGCCCCATCGTGCTGTTCATCAACCGCAAGAAGTACCACCTCACCCCGCCCACCGGCTCGGTCCTATCAAAGTTCTTCAAGCTCTACATCTTCTCCGGCCGCAAGTCGAGCTTCCTTAAGCCCGATCTGGACCTGGCCAAGCCCTCCAACGTCCCGCTCGACCAGCGCCCTAAATGGATGACCTACGACGACGCCTGGGTTGATGAGGTCCGCCGTGCCCTCATGGCCTGCAAGGTCTTTCTGTTCCTGCCGGTAAGTTTTTGGATGTTGCCTAGAGTTGAATATGTTCCCCTACGTATATCGCCTACACAAAAAAAGAAAAAAAACAAAAAAAAACAGACGCTAACATCTCCCAGATTTTCCACCTCGCCTACAACCAAATGACCAACAACCTGACCTCCCAGGCCGCCTCCATGGTCCTGAACGGCGCCCCCAACGACGTCATCCAGAACCTAAACCCCATCTCCATCGTCGTCATGATCCCCATCTTCGACAAGATCCTGTACCCCGGTCTCCGCCGCATGGGCGTCCAGTTCACCCCTATCAAGCGCATGGCCGTCGGTTTCATCGTCGGCGCCCTGGCCATGGTCGCCGCCGCCGTCATGCAGTGGTACATCTACCAGATGTCGCCCTGCGGCTACGGCGCCTCCGAGTGCAAGGAGCCCGCCCCCATCAACGTGTGGGCCCAGTCCCTGCCCTACGTCTTCATCGGTATCTCCGAGATCTTCACAAACGTCACCTCGTACGAGTACGCCTTCTCCAAGGCGCCCGAGAACATGAAGTCGCTCGTCATGAGCATCAACCTCTTCATGTCGGCCTTCTCGGCCGCCGTCGGCCAGGCCTGGACCCCGCTGTCCCAGGACCCCTTCCTGGTCTGGAACTACGCCTCGGTCGCCATCATTGCCGGAGTCGCCGGTGTTGCCTTCTGGTTCTTCTTCAAGCACTACGACGCCATCGAGGACGACCTCAACAACCTCAAGAAGACAAAGTTCGTGGGCTCCAACCAGCCCACCGCTGCCGACCAGCAAAAGTCGCAGCCCCCCGTTGAGGAGAAGGTCTAAGGGAGGTGTGCCCGTGTTTGCCTTTTGTTGTAACGAGGCCCTTCTCTTTTTGCAAAAGAGAAGATGGACACAGGGGATGTTTTTTTTTTCGGTGATGACTGTAATGGGATAGGACGTGGTGTTTTGTTTTTGAGATTCCCCCAACGGTTTAGGCTAGTAATGAAACTGGGATATGCAAACGCAGTCCATCAGTTTTCTTAAGTCCAATATACCAAAAGTGAAGTGAAATTTTCCAAAAAGTCGCTAGACACAAGAGGAAGAAAATGACGCTAGAGTTTAAACACGCTTCTCTGCCTAACCGGCTGCCTCACCTCGCCCTCCAGCCCAAACCCATACGCAGACGGGTCCAAGCTACTACCAATACTACCCGCACTGGCGCTGCTCGCCTGCCTCAGCGGCACCGCCGCCCCCGCCCCATCCCCGTCCCCGCCGCCACCGCCACCGTGCCGACCGCTAACGAAACCCCTCCCAGCCCGCTGCGACGGCGGCAGCAGCCCGTACCCGATGCGAGCGGCCAAGACGCTCGGCGGCAAGCGCCCCTCCCTGCCCGCGGCCCACGGCACGGCGTCGAGGGCGGGACCGCGGGTGGAGGCGACGATGCTCGAGAAGCGCGTGTTCCTCGCCACCCTCCCGCCCTGCCCTTGCTCCCACAGCAGCGCCCACAGGCCGGCGGCGACGCCGAGCAGGACTAGAAGGATGGCGACGCCGTAGACGATCCACAGGTCGCGCGCGTGGTAGACGTAGACGTTTGCGGTGCGGCTGCGCACGCAGGGGTGGCCGTAGGCCGAGGCCGGGACCCCCGCGGCCGACGCGGCGGCCGAGGCGCGCCGGTCGCCCGTCTGCTCCGCGGGCCGGGCGGCCCAGACGACGGGGGCGAACTGCGGGTAGGAAAACATGGAGAGGATCGCGTCCTCGTAGAAGCCCTGGACGAGGTCCTGGAGGTTGGGGAAGGGGAAGTAGTTTGCGCGGCGGTCCAGGAGCTTGGTCTGGAGCGCGTCCGTGTTGGCGATGGGGTTGACGAGGGGCGCGTCCTCGGGCCCGCCCATCTCGACGGTGCCGTTGAGGAGCTTGCGCACCATGAAGCCCATGCTGTAGTGCGCGGCCGCGCGGCGGTAGGCGCCCACGTCGCCCGTGGGGAGCACGTAGTTTGACGACGGGCGCGCCGTCGTGTTGTCGGCCGTGCCGTCGTTGGCCTGCACGTCGGGGATGAAGGTGGTGTTGACCAGCGGCCGCAGCCACCGCCGCGACGCCACCGTCGCCCACTGCGCGCCGTCGCTGTGGTTGAAGTGCACCTTGTAGTCGGCCAGGTAGTGCTCGCACGCAAAAATCTTGGGCACAAAGGACGAGTTCCACGCCGGGTCGCTGCGCGACTTGGGGTCCGGCCGGTCCGGGTTGGCGCGCACCACGTGCCCGATCCAGATGAGCGGCTCGGTGCGGAAGGCGCCCATGTTGCGCGGGTAGGGGGGCTTGCTGTTGGGGATGCCGCCGATGCCGACGTCCCGCATCTGCGTCGACGAGTACTCGCCGCCCGTGTTGAAGGCGTAGTAGGCGAAGCGGCCGCGCGGCAGCAGCATGTCGGTCCCGAACGGCGCCCTGGCCTCGAGTCCCGATTCGGGCCGCAGGGGGCGCGGCACCGAGCCGACGCCGCTGGCCAGCTCGGTGCACTTGTAGCCGGGCGCCTGGAAGGCCACGTCGTAGGTGCAGTTCCAGCCCGACTGGCAGATCTCGACCGACGAGTTCTTGCGCTCGATGGGCGCCTCGAAGAAGGCGCCCAGCGTCGCCGTCTGCACAAACTTTGGGTTCGGCCCCGTGTAGTAGTCGAACCAGCCGTCGGGCGGCGGGTTGGCGCCGGCCGGCCGCGTCGTGTTCCAGAGCGAGAGCGGCGTCTCGTAGAGCGAGTCGATGACCACGGGCTTGCGCCAGTCCATGACGTCCTCGAAGCTGAAGTTGAGCGTGCGCACGTCGTTGCAGGTGGACGCGTCGACGACGGTGCGCAGCTCGACGAGCAGCGTGTTGCCCGTCAGTATGACCACCAGCGGCGCGGCCCAGACGAAGAGGGCCAGGGCCGCCACCGTCTTGGCGTGCCTTATAAAGTCCCAGTGGAACAGGGCGAGCAGGTCGTCGGTGGCGGCGAACATGGAGTCGACGGCCGCCACCGTCATCAGGCGCGTGCGCAGGACCGCCCACAGCTTGAGCCGGTAGGCCACGACGATGGAGGCGCTGAAGCCGGCCTTTGCGCCAAACGCCAGCACCGTGCCGTACCGCAGCATCTCGATCTGCTCCGTGGCCGCGCGCCCGTCCAGGTGTTGGTAGAAGGCGTGGTGCCCGACGGCGCACGCGAGCCCGAAGACGCCGAACGCAAACATGTTCCACCACGAGTGCCACCGCAGTCCGCCCAGCCTGCCCCTGCCGCCGTCCCGGCCCGGGGGAGGGGGAGGCCGTGGCGGCATCTGGGCCCCTTTGGACGAGAGATCGGGAGGCGTGCCGAAGGGTCGGCCGCTGTAGAGCAGGGCCGAACGGGAGTCGTACGCCTTGGGCGTGTCGGGATAGGGAGCGCCGTCGACGCCGGCGTACCACGAGCGGCCGTCGTTGTCGACGGCAAAGGTGTGCGAGGGTGGCGAGGATCTGGACGCCATCCTGGCGTGGCCGCTGCTGCCCAGGGCCTCCTCCTCTTTCCAGCCGTGACCGTGAGCCCTGTCAGGGAGGGCGATATCCACTGGCGGCGGCGACGAGGCGGTGCTGACGCTGTTTGGAGCGCGCGATGTCCCAAAGGTGCGCGAGGTGTTTCGCGAGACGGCGTCGCTGATGCCGCGCACACCAACTCCAAGGCCAGCGACAATGGGCGGTGCTGGCGCCAGCTCCGTTTGCTTAGCGGCGGTATCCACGTTTATTTCTTTGAAGCTGCCGCCGCGGGCGCCCACCTGCACTAGTCGGCCGCCGTCTACGTTTGCGTTTGCGTTCCAATCCTGCCCCGCCATTTTTTGTGCTTTTCTTTTTCTTTCCGTCTCCAATTTCGTCCGCTTCTAGTCGAAGGCGCGAATGCCTATGACGGCAATGGCCAAAAAGGGGGGTGGTGAGCGAGCCTAGCGTTGCGCCTTGCAAGAGGCTCGCTCCCGGCTCGGGTTACCTGTTGCTGCTAAAAACACCGCCAACAAGCATTATCGGGTTAAAGAGTGGAAGCAAAGAAAGGGAGAAAATACGAAAGAAAGTCGTCAGATAGACGGTGTAAAGAAGTAAAAGAAATCAACAGAGTACACGGACGCGTCGCTATAAGGGAGAGATCAGCACAGCAGCCCAGCCCATCTCGCCTAGTCGAACGAGCGGGCTCTGACGGGCGCGGCCGATCCATGTTATCCAAAAATGCCCCAGCCGACACATGGCGAGGCAACAGATCGGGGCCAGACCCCCCAGCCCTACGCATGCGGCTCGCTCCCCTCCCCAGACCAGGTACTGTGTAAGCGGATGAAGGAGGTGGGCGGGCGGCGTATGCGACATCAAAAAATTGCGCCTCCCCCGGCTGTCACGGTTGCCCAAAATAGTATGGCCCGCACCCCTGGAACGTGCCAGCTGCTGCCAGGGCTCCCAGTGGGGAAAAAAAGTGTCCCTGAGACGAACGTTGACTCGCTGTCACGCGGCCGATGGTTTTCTGTGATTGTCTCAGCGCAGATGCAGGGCCCCGTGCACGGATCTGGGGGTTTCTGGGAGTGTTGGTCTGGGAAAAGGTGTGGCACGCTGACGGCAAGAAAAGAGCTCGGTTGTTAGCTGACGAGACATCAAGCGCATTGAGTGTGGTGTTGGTAGCAGACATTACACTCTGCTCCTGCGCAAAATTCGGGATGTTGCAGTGCTGGCCAATCACCTTGGCGTCCTGCATCCTGCTAACCATCCAGGAGGATTCACCCAAAAGCGGAAAATCTAAAATGTCCATCCGCTGTCAGCTGACGCCGGGTCGCTTTGTAACTGGCCGCGGTACTATCATGGTGGCCAGCTTTACGGAATGCCGTCAGCATCTACACGTTTGTGATTACAGCTGAGCCATCATATAACCTTGTGCGGTCTCTCACAACACATCGTGCTCTTCCTATCGTCTCGGTTCGCGCGGGGAGTGGACCGGTAGCCAGATATCTCAGTATTCCGGTAGTTCTAAGCAGTCGCATCCAAAACATGTCGACGCCCCCCGTCATCAACCAGTCAGCCCTATATGCCAGCCCAGGCTCACCATATAAGCGATAACATAAGAAATGCATTGGCCGCGTATCCTAGTAAACCTATAGTACAACCAGCATATGCAACTCCTGGCAGGTCCATTCTAGGGTCTATACTCACGTCCTGGGTCCCTTCGTTGATCCCTTCGTTGAAGCCCATCATGTCGTGCCCGCCGTCCTGGATTTCATGCCCTCCCTCCCTCCCTCCATGGTGTTTTCTATTTCTCGCGCTTGTGGTATCTTGACAAAGCATGTGGTGGCGGTGCAATTTCTCTCCCCGCTCCCACTATCAAAAACTCCTTCGGCCCATACATCAGGCTTACAGAGTCTCCATCTTGTCCAGGATGGCCTTGGTGAACTGGTTGTTGGTAGCCTCGCCTCCCATGTCACGGGTCCGGCACTTGCCCTCGGCGATGACGGCGTAGACGGCCTTGGAGATGCGGTTGGCGTGGTCGTCGAGTCCGAGGTGGCGCAGCAGCATGGATCCCGACAGGATCAGGGCCGTGGGGTTGGCCTGGCCCTTGCCCTCAATGTCGAGACCGACGTGACGGCAGCCGGGCTCGAAGACGGCGACGTCGCGGCCCATGTTGCAGCCGGGCACAATGCCAGGGCCGCCGACCAGGGCGGCACCGATGTTGGACAGGATGCCGCCGTACAGGTTGGGCATGACCATGACGTCGAACTGCTGGGGCCGGCTAACGCACTGCATGCTGGCGTTGTCGACAATCATGTCGTTGGCCTCGAGGGTCGGGTACTCCCTGGCGGTGGCGTGGAAGGTGCTGCGGAACAAGCCGTCGGCCAGCTTCATGATGTTGGCCTTGTGGATGCACGTCACCTTCTTGCGCTTGTTGGCGAGGGCGAAGCTGAAGGCAAACTTGGAGATGCGCTCCGACTTGGCGCGCGTGATGATCTTGAGCGACTCGACGACGCCCGGCACCGACTGGTGCTCGAGGCCGCTGTACTCACCCTCGGTATTCTCACGGATGATGCACAGGTCAACGTTCTCGTGGCGGGTCTGGTAGCCGGGGATGTTCTTGATGAGCGAGATGGAGGCGTAGATGTCGAGCTCTTGGCGCATGGCCACGTTGAAGCTCTGGTGGCCCGACCGGCTGATGGGCGTGTGGAGGATGCCCTTGAGGCCGAGTTTGTTGCGCCGCAGCGACGCGACCGACTCCTTGAACAGGTCCTCGGTGCGGCCCGACGGCGCCGACCCGCTGTCGATACCCGAGACCTCGATCTGCTCCCACTCGATCGGCACGTTGTCCGCCTTGAAGATGGTCTTGACGCTCTCGGCCACCTCGGATCCGATGCCGTCGCCGGGGATCAGCGTGACCGTATACTTGCCGCCGTACTTGGTCGGCTTGAAGATGTCGGACTGGACCGTCGCAAAGCCGCGGGCGGCCTGCCTCGAAGCGAGGCGCGGCTGCTGCGCGGCACGGGCCAGGCTCTGTCCGAGGGGGAAGACGGCGGTTAGTCAAAGTGTTGGTGGCGGCGGTAGCGACCCTTCCCTGCCCCTGCCCCTCCAACCCCTGCCGTCCAGCGTCCAGTCATCCAATGCCACCTCCCTCCGTACCGCTCGAGGCGGGCAAGCGGCAGCCATGGCGATGCATCGAGGGACTGTTTCCTGTGCCTCGGGCGGCGGCGGCGGCAGGGTTGAGAACACGAAGCCAATTGAGGGGGGGAGCAAATACCTGGGCCGTTCTTGAGGATGTTCGGGAAAACATGATTGGGAGGTTCGCAGGGAGGCGCGCAGGAAAAGCGGAATGGGACGCTCGAGGGGTCGGGCTTGTTGATCTCGAAAAAAAACACAGGCAATGCACAAAGATTTGGAGAGCCGACCGAAATACCGCAAAGCAAAAAATGGCCTTGAGCTTGCTCCGGGGAGTGGGGCCCTGCGATAACTAGCCGCGACACATCCCGCGGTTCAATTCCTTTGCTCCAGCCGCGACCCGCCTGCAGCCGAGGAGTTGCCGCCGGGTTTTCTTCGGCTGCAGCTGTAGAAATCACGTGCTCTTACATCATCTCTACGGGCACGGACTATGCCATCTCACCGGCTGATGGCGAGAAATCTGGCCGCGCTGTGGGGCCCAACGCTCGTGCTTGAACGCCACAAACCCCACTCTGGGGCCGCCCGGCCGAACATCAGGCCGGAACAGCAAGCCACCACCTCCAACCGGGCCCGATCAAGGCTCCGGATGGCGTGGACAGTGTGGTGCCCGCGCGTATCGTTCTGGTTGCCGCCTGGGCTGCAATCTCATGCAGAGACCTCCGGGTGACTCTTGTTCATGCACAGCCATGCTGCTACCGACTATATAACACAGAGGTAGGTCATCAGTTGAGTCTGTCTCCTTTCGTCTTCTCCATCAAGCAGTCATTCCCAGACATCAGCATCTCCAATCTTAAGCATCGTTGGTCAAACTAGTGCTTTCTATCTACCTGTATCCCTCCGAGCCTTCCATCATCCATCATTTTGCTGCCAAGCAACCCGTACACCATCTCTTCTTCCACCCCCCCTTCACACACTCCATACAGCAATGTCTGCCCCCAAATCCATCCTCTTCCTTGGCGCCTCGGGCGGCGTCGCCAAGACCGCCCTCGTGAGCTCCCTGGCCGCTGGATACACGTGCGTCGCTCTGGCCCGCTCGGCCGCCAAGCTCGCCGCCGCGCTGCCCTTCCCGTCGTACCCCAACCTCACCATCATCGAGGGCAACGCGCGCGACCAGGCCGCCATGGAGCGCGCCCTCGTCGTCCCGGGGTCTTCCCCTCAGCGCATGGTCGACGCCGTCGTCAGCTCCGTCGGCAGCCTCCCGTCGCTGCGCAACGGCGGCTTCGAGGACTCGACCGTGTGCACCGTCTCCATGGCCGCCATGCTGGCCGCCATGGACGCCATCGCCGGCCGCCACCCTTCCGGCGACGGGCGCGTCCCCAGGGTAATCTCTATAAGCAGCACCGGCATTTCCAAGTTCGCCCGCGACGTGCCCCTCGCCTTCGTGCCCCTCTACTGGGTCGCCCTCGCCGTGCCCCACAGGGACAAGGAGAAGATGGAGCGCCTGCTCATCGACGGGCCCGACGACAAGGCCGAGGGCGCTGCTGCGAGGCCCGAATTCACCATCATCAGGGGCAGCTTATACGTCGCCGACAGCGAGGCCAAACAGAAGCTCGTCCGCGTCGGTATCGAGGACCCTGTCAAGGGCGTCGAATCCAAGGCCATCGGATATACCATCTCGAGGGAGGCCATCGGCCGCTGGATCTTTACCAACCTGCTCGCCGATGCTACCCTTGGCAAGCAGTATTCTGGCAAGATGGTCACTCTGACTCACTGAGGAGTGTTCAATACCATCGCTACCTCCTTTGCTTTCATCTGCCTGTATTTTTGCGCCACTTTGCGTCTACGCCTGACACATTATTCCTACCTCTCTCCTTTATGGTGTGTTTCTCACTCTGTCTGCATTATGGGTCTGGTTTAGATTGGGCATCCCAGGGTTGGTTTATTATATTCCTAGAGCCGGTTAGTAGTAGATCCCAGTGATAGTTCCCTTTGTCACATATGCATGCGTTTTTGTTAATCCTTATCGGCAATGGGTATTGTGCATCACAACTTTTATTTTGATAAATAATACCACAACCAACGCGCTACAAGATGTTCGTGTGACAGTTACTCATAGCCTAGGGCTGGACACATGTTATTGACGTGTAACCCCGATTTCGATGGCCCAAGAATGGTTCGCCGTCGACATGCCAGGCGCTGGTGGTTGTCCTACCCGGAACTCGAGTTCTGCAGCTTGGGCTAACATGGGATCACAATCCTTCCCGTTGGGACCTGTTCGTCTTTTCAGCAGCGAGACTTCCCGACGCGACTGTTTAAAGAAAAAAAAGAGGGCAAAAAAGATTAAAATTTGCCTGGAACTTTGCCCATAGTTGGAATAGCCGGCACGCCCACCATAATAGAGGTGGTAGTCCCACCTAGGTAGGTACATACCTACACACCAGAAGGCTGCCGGTAGGCAGCTAAACAAAGATACAAAAATTGTCCATGCTGGTCGCGTTTGACAGATTCAAACCGCGAACCGACCACCCCAAAAACACCCCAAAACCGCCACAATTATGGCCGGCATAGGCGAACAGCCCGATTTCGCGATCGCCCAGCGCGGTATCGAGGATTTCGGCCGACAGCTTGGGCGGCCCTGGGGATTAGAATTGTTGAAGATTAGAACTCCGAACGCAGTGGACGGATTTTTCTTAGGAGTAGGAAAAGATGTTGGATTAGCTATATGTACGAGTATCCGATAGGCGACGTGGGCCTGTTACGTGGCCCAGACTTGCATATAAGGGCCGGCCAGAGGCCGGCCCTTGACAGATAAATCTCCTACCTTCCCATGGAAAAAAAAATTCGATTTACCCCCAGAAGTCGGCATTTGCATTATTCCGGAGTTAAGCCCCCTGTGAGGCTGGAGGTACCGCTTGCCAATAGTAGGATAAAAGCTAAAACAAAAATAGGAATAAAAATATGAATAAAAATAGGAATGGTAAAAGGAATAACAGCAGGAAGAATTAGAATAGGAAAGTCTACATAGGAAAGCCCACATAGGAAAGCTTATAGCACTAGCAATTTGATCTAATCTGTCTATAGGGCCTGTAAAACTGCCATCTTTTTTGTGGTGGGCGTGCCAGGATGCCGTCCATTCAACTATGCATCGTAGCTCAACCTCTCTCGGACCCCTCCTAGCTCCAGCTCTATAGCGATAGAGCCGTCAATATCCTCATTTAAAGATATGATCTTCAGCCCCTCAAAGACCCGCGATGCTGCGACGCGGTGCGAGCCCAACCACGGATTCCGGGCCGCGGGCTCCTTCTTGGCGACGAAGAAGTTCCACGGGTTGCGCACGCTGGCGGAGTCTCGGGGGTGCCCGCCCGCCCTCAGGAGCTGGAGCAGCCTCAGCGGCACCTCCTCGCGGGCCTCTGGGCTCGCCTCGATCTGGCCTAGGTTGCAGCAGACAGCCTCGAACCAGGCTGTCAAGGCCCTGGGACGGCCGTACTCGTCCCCGCTCGGGTTTACAGTCCCTATGCGGCATGGGCGACGCTCGAGTGCACGGCGGGCGCCGGCGAGATCTTCGGGGAGGAAGTGGCCCCGGATGTCCATGCTGCCCTCGCAGGCTTGTTGCAGGAGCGACGCGAGGATGTCCTCGTCGTTTTGTTCGGCAGCAAAGCCAGCGGGACGGTGATACCACCTCATAATCAGCGACAGGTAGTTCTCCAAGCCCACAACATCCGGTGATGGGGCCAGCCTGAGGGCCGAGATGATTTGGGCATAGTGCCCCAGGTCGCCGCCTTTAGTCCAGGACAGGTCGGGGCAACGGCTCAGGAGAAAGTAGGCGGCATCCCAGTTTTGAGCCAGGATGGCAGTCAACAGCCGGAAGGCCAAGTCCCAGGCTACAGGCTGCGGTCCCGCGGGAAGCTGCTGATCGCGTATGCGATAGAACGTGGCGAGGTCGCCAACATGGGGTTTGCGCGGCTCGTCGTCGCTCGCATCGATGTGGGCTCTCTCGGGCGAACTCATCTCGAGCTGGTCGTAGAGGGCTTTCTGTGTCGGAAGAGGTGCTTCCATCAGGATGTGGGAGGCGTACAGTCCAATCGGCAGTATAAGGTTTAAAAACGTGCTTGCATCTCCTCTGATCTGATAGTCAGCATCGAGCCTAAGGACCAAGGCCAATACCTCGGTGTTCTGTCTCATCTTTGCCATGAGCCGTTCTCTTGTGCTAGATTTGTAGAGCCTCCACGAGTCCCAATCGCGTATAGGCAGCCAGTCACCCCTCGCATTGTTGATGAAGTACTGGAAGGCATCAGACATGTCGAGTAGAGCATCTGTTTCAATAAGCATTCGGCAGATGCTCTGGTCCCCGCTCACCAATGCTGCGGCAAGGGGCGACGTGACGTCACGAGCGTAATGGTTATGGTGTATCAGGCAGGAAGGGCAATCAAAATGTGATAGAGGAGAGGGGAAGGAAAGACTGCGCATGACAGAGCGTGGGTATATGTGAGAGAGCCACTCGAAGAAGGTAAAGGGATGCACCCGTCTCTGGGGCTCGGAGGTTCGCCGGTGGATGATGACGCTGAACACTTGGTTGAGACCATTGGCAATGAGCCACGCGAGGATTTCTTCTTTCCAGGAGCAGCCCGCCGGCTGCTCCACAACCGCGACTGCTGCAAGAGCCATTATCCTCGACTGGGACTTTGTAGAGACTCCATGGGCCACGAGCCACTGTAGTGTCTCGAGCGGGCTGCTGCTTCTTGCTTCCCACCTTATGCATTCCGGGTAGATGGCCTCGTGGATGAGCAGGGTGCCATCCTGTGCTGGGTCAGCTCCTGCCGCGAGGAGGAGCTCGAGCATGGGTATGCAGTTTTGGGCTGTGGCAATCGACAAGGGCGAGATGCCGCGGTGGGGGTTGGACAGATCTGTTTCAGGAGCTGCTTGCCTCCTGAGGTTGTGCGGGGATGCTCCAGCCGCCAGCAACCTCTGCATCAGCTCGAGCCTGCGCTGTTCAAACCTGTGCCGGTGCAGCTCCCTGTTGTTTCGTGCGTATGCGCGGCTCGACTTTGAATAATGGGCCAGCGCGCACAGCTCTAGCGGCCACGTCGGGCCCCAGGCGTTGGTGATGAAGCAAGGCCTTTTGACGTCGGCTCCGGCGTCAACCAGACGGCTAGCGATGGAAAAGGCACCGTCGATGCAGGCAAGATGAAGCAGCGTGATGTCGTTCCCGAGCCGAGCGTCTACGTCGGCCTTTTGGTCCAACAGCCAGCAAAGCACCTCCCGCTGACGGTTTACGTAGGCATAGCACAAGGGAGTAAGGCCGTTCCAGTCCTGAATATTTATGTCCTTGATGCCGTCCCCAGCAAGCAGCATCTTGAGCACTTCGATCTGGCCGTGTGCGGCCGCCAAATGCAGGACATGGGACTTCCATCTCGGATCGTCGAGGTCGTGAGCGGCGCCCCTTTCGAGGAGCATCTTGGCCATGGCGCCCTGCCCCTGGCAGAGCGCCAGGTGGAGAGGGGTCGTTGCGATTGGCGGAGGCCCGGTTCCGTCAGAACGGACAAAGTAGCCGTGGAAGTGATTCCGACGGCACAGCAGCAATCGCTCGCATTTGCAAATACGGAGCGCTGGGGCATCGATGTGGGCTCCATGGTCTAGCAACAGCCGCGCCACTGCGATGTGCCCACCCGTTGCAGCTAGATGAAGTGGGGTGAATGTTGACTTTTGGTCCTCGGTCGTCTGACGGAAGCGAGGCTCCTGGTCCCGATCGAGGCTGATCGCGGGAAGCTGAGGGTCGTGGTCCCACCATGACGAAGGACAAAATGGCGCGTCATCGCCAATAGGAACGGCCGGCTCGAACATCTCCAGGTCGGTAGCCCGGCGGTTTGAAAATAGCCCCACGGACGCCGGGCAGAACGACTCTGGCACAGAGTCGCGTTTGCAGTCAAAGTCGTCTTGTAGATCCCTTCCCTGGTGGCAGTATTCCCCCACCTCCTGCCTTGTATTCAGCCATTGCTGATAAGTACCAGACGCGTCGGTACCAAAGGCCAGCAGCTTTTCCACGGTGCCAAGGCGCCCTCGTTTACAGGCCCAACAAAGGACATAAGAGTGGCGCATGGATGCGTGGCGGTAGAGCGCTGCATTGGCGACTGGGTGCGTGGCACGACAGGATAAGGCGAAGGCCGCGATGTCCCTGCAGTCGTCAAGGTTACCGCAGAGCTGATCGATCAGCTCATTGGGCAGGTCGGTCAAGGGCGCCATGCTGGAGGTAAAGGTCAACGTAATGAAGGCGACTAGGACCAGATAATGAAGGTGATTAAGACCAAGGTAACGAAGGTGATGAAGATCAAAGGGTTATTCGGAGAGGGCCTGGATGCTGGTAACAGAACAAGACGGTGGGGGAGATCTCATCGCCGGAACAGCAAGTCGCTTTTCGCCCACAGGCCCTCGCGTGAGACCTGTGGCGGTCGTGGAGGCCGGCGGGGAGGTCGATGGGGAGGCCGGCGCGGTGCCACAGCCCGTGCTGGTTGGCCTAGCCACTTTTGTTGGCGTGTGGGCACGTATACACGCTTAGGAGACCTATGTTTATCTCCGTTCTGGTTGGCGCCTAGTGTTTGGGAGGAAAACTGTCCGAAAAGCTGGAGCTCGTCGGCAAGGGTTTGGTTGACATTTCAAACATCTCAATAGTTCAGTTGCAGGATGCGGAGGGAGCAGTTGTTCGTGGATGGATGGTCAACAAGGCCAGGCATCAATCCAATCTTCACCGCCTGAGCCAAATCCCTGTATTGGGGGCGTTCGTGGCTGCCCGGCCGCGCTTACCATAAAAAATGGGCATTCCTTTTAGGAATAGGAGTGCGAACAGACATAAAACAGGAACAAAAACAAGACTAAAAACAAGATTAAAAATTAAGATTAACATGGGAATCATAATGATAAAAATTTAAAAAGAAAAATAACAATGAAAAGGCGTGCGGCACTGCAGACAACGGCAAATCGCCCATCAAAACATCGTCAATTTTTCCAACTTTATTTAGTTCTTTTCTGATTTCCGATCTTGGCCCGAACTAGTTCCAAAAAAAAAAAAATCCAATTCCGCCGCCGCCGCAGCAGCAGCAGAAATAATAACAATAATAACAACAACAGCAGCAGCAACCACAGCCGCCGCCGCCATGGGCCTGATTGAGGTCATTGCTGGTGTGGGCGTCTCCTGGCCGGGGTTGCCGGCGCTTGGGTGGGGGTCTCCGGCGGGGAGGATCTGCCCGCCCGATCAAGGTCTATCATATGTCCAGCACTGCCGTTCCAGAAATACCCTCCCCTGGTCCCATAATTATCCACAAAGTAGAGAATCGAAGGAGATAATTGAAACCACGAGAGATGGAAAGAGATATTGGAAAGAACATGTATCCCTAGAGATACTGAAAGAAATGGCATTCCCACTTGCAAAAAATCTCAGGGAATAAAATTGCTAATGTAGGAATATTAGTAGAAATAAGAGCAGGAATAACAGGAGGAGTGCCAATAGAAATAGGAATTGATGGTGTCCTGGCAAGACTTCCATCCGCGATGGATTCAATCCGTCGCAAACAAGACAGACTTCCCGCCGAGCCACGACCCGAAATCTGGGAGTGGAACGTCCCGCACAGCGAGCTGGCAATTCGCTTTGTCAATCGCACGGCCGACGCCGACAACCGCCGCACCGGGTTGAGGAGCCACTGGCACAGCTTGCCGAGCACTGGAGCTCCGACGTCATGGAGGCACGAGCGCGGACAAGCCGGGTGCCCCAGTAGAATATAGCAGAATAGTTCCAGTACAGGGGTGGGAGGCAATCTGGCCATCATGAAGGTGTGAAGAATCACAGCTATCGTGCCGGATCCAACCCCCCCTTTTTTTGGAATGCGAACGTTTGCTCTTCGTCACTCGTCAAAGCCAACTACCTGCCTACCACCTTGTGGGCTTGACGTCATCGGAAGCCTCGAGGTTCCCCTGAGCGATCTCGCTGGGCGGCCGTCGTAAACCCGAAGTCATGACGTCTCGAGGCCGGAGCAGTCATTGGTGACCCGAGCTCGGAAATGCTATGTTGACCGACGGTATTGGCTGGCCTCGCCCCATGGTTCTGCTGTTCCATGTCCTTCCACCCATTAGCCCGCGTCCGCATGGAAACAAGGCGCTTAGAGCCCGGGCCCAAGAACTGTCGCCAAAATAAGCTCAAGGTTGACGCCAGCCCCGATTGACCAGTCGGAGATAGGACCGTTAGGAACCTTTCTGGATCCTCGGGAGCGGTGGCTTACAAAGTTCAGCCCCGCCGTTCCTGAGTCACGACCAGCCACCGGCGAGGCTGTGGCCCCAGGAGAGGGCGCCCTGCCAGACCAGCACAACAGCGTTCTGAGCTCAGGCCAAGAAATGTGGTCAAAATAAGCTTAAGCGTGACACCGGCCCCGACTGACCAATCGGAGATAGGACCGTTGGGAAACGGTTTGGGTTGTTGGGAGAGGTGGCTTGCAAGGCTCAGCCTCGCCGTTTCCGAGTAACGACCAACCACCCGTGAGGCCGTTGACTCGGGAGGACCCTACCAGATCAGCACAACGGCGCTCGCAGCTGCTTCTCTTCGGAAACAAATGCTGGCCATGATGGCCCAGGAACACTGTAGAGTAGCTCCTTTATGATATCACCGGCCTGGAAGCCGTGGCAAGGAGTCTGTTTCCTCCAGGAAACCACAATCGTCAGGTCCGACTGCTGTGTTTATCCCAACAGCTGCTGCCCGTTAAACCCGCGTTTCCGCCGAGGCCAAAGAGTTCCACAGCCTGCCCATTAAGCTCTGGCTCACGCCCTGAACCATGGATTCACTGCGGTTACATCTATCCCCTACGTCACCAGGAGGGTTCACGATGGCTTCGATACTTTTCTCAGGGCCCGCTCGTGGCGGGCACATTAGGGTTTCTTTAGGGGACTGCACACATATAACCGCGGCCTTTCTGGGCTGCTTTCCACTCGCCTGTGTTTCTGGCCTGGCAATCCGACACATCTATTTCCAAGCAGACGGATAGAGAGAACAGCAAGCAAGAAAGAACAAAAGCTAGCAATACATGCCCTGCAAGATGACTTCCCAGCAAACCATAGACGAGTGGGACGCGCGCGTCAACCAGATGAACGCAAGCATCGACCAGTGGAAAGCACACATCGACCCAAGCCTGAATAGCACCGGCTTTGACTTGCCCGAGTTCGATTTCGGATTCAGATCACACCATTTCAATGACGGCACCACAGCCCCTGGTCCTCAAGACTCCCATCTCTGGGATAATACCACCGCCCTTGACCTAGAAGATCTTTTTGGGGGCGATGCCACAGCCCCTGGCCCTTCGAATCCCCTGCTCGAGCGACAGCAGACGCCGGCCCTTACGTTCCCCACGCCTCCATCCATCTCAACCGCCACTCTCTCCGAATCTCAACATGAGCAGCCGGACTCTGGCCTTACTATCGATGAGATATTGCTAAGGGAGCTGGACCAAGACCTCAGTCTCCCGTCACGGATAGAGCAGCAGGCTGAGACCCTCACTCGTCCGGGCTCTCCTCAACAAGAGCAGCTGGACTCTGTCCTTACTATCGATGAGATCTTGCTGAGGGAGCTGGACCAAGACCTCAGTCTCCCATCGCGGATAGAGCAGCAGGCTAAGACCCTCACTCTTCCGGGCCCTCCTCCTCCACCAGCCACCGCTCTCCCGTGGCCTATGAAAGGGCAGACAGATCCTTTCCTCTTCACCCCCACGGAGCCTTTGGCAGAGCAGCAGGCACAAGCCCTCACTCATGCCAGGCCCCAAACATATACTCTTCCGAGCACCCCCTCTCTACCAGCCACTGCCTTCCCGGCTCCACCACAGTCGCCCGCCGCTGCCAGCAGCAGCAGTAGCAGCAAAAACAACAAGCGCAAGGCCAACAGCGCGGGCCCGTCACCGGCAGACGCACCTAAGAAGAAGCGTAGAGTGCTCAGCGCCAACAACACCTGCGCCGAGTGCCGGCGCAAGAAGATCGCATGCAAGCCCGCCCAGGATGACAGCGGGCGGTGCGCCGGCTGCGTCAAAAAGGGGGTCGCGTGCGAGCGCAAGGGCCTCGACGGCCGCACCCACAAACACAACGCCGCCACCTTGGCCGACGAGGTCGCCGCCTTCAAGCGGGCCGCCATGAGCATCGTCTACCTCATCTGGCTGTGCCGCACCGGCCGCCTGCACCCGCCCATGCTCAGTACAGTCCGCGGCATGCTGGAGACCTGGGGCCCGCACGTCGCCTGCTCCTCGGCGGCCGGCCTGGCCGGAGAAGGGGGCCCGGACGCGGTCATGGCCTGCGTCGAGGGCGCCGCCGCGGACGGCTCCGGCACGTGGCCGACGTTCGTGCAGGACGCGCACGGCGTCGCGCAGGACGAGAGCGGCGGGGTCAAGCTCACGGACCGCCGTCGCGGCCTCGAGGTCTTCCGGACACAGGCCCGCGACTTCCTCCTGCGGCTGCGCGCCGTGCTGGCCGCCTGCCTCGGCGACCTCCCCGAGGGGCTGCCCCAGGGCGCGCTCGTCGCCGTCGGGCAGGTCATCTGGCCCTACATGCATGACCGCCCGACCAGCGAGCTGCTCGCCCGCTTCGCCGAGGACACCCAGAGCTGCCTGGACGGGCCGGAATGCGCAGGCCACCACAACTGGGTCCTGTTCGCCAAGGGTGTCATGGAAAAGGCCCGCAACCTTCGGTTCAGGGAGAACGGCGAGGTGAAGGAGCTCGCGGAGCGGGAGTGCTTCGCTGGCTTCGGGAGGTGGGCCGACGTGGAGAGACTCGCGGCGGAGCATACAAAGCTCTAGTCTTGAGAGCCTCTCCTCTCTTGTTTCCTTTTTATATTATACATTTGGCTTCAAGCCGGTTGGGAATCTGGGAAAATGGTAACCCTTACAAGGAGGTTAAAGCAGTACGATTATGAGATCCGAGAGCAGGCATTTTGTATTTTCTCACGTTTTGGATATCCCTTTTTGCACCAATTTGATACACATGGCATTCAGCAAGGAGTTTTGAAGCCACTTCACCCCGTGCCCTGTCAGATCTCACTACCGTACTCTATCAGTCTCTCGATCTATTGAGAGAGCTCACCGTGTATCTGGTTTTGGTTTGTTATGGACTGGACGATCGATAGATGGCCTGTGTAGACCTTGATCGGGCAGATCATCTCTAGGAGGATTCTGTGGATCTCTTCCATCGCCTTAATAACTACCAGGGTCTCGAGTTTGGAAATTTAGCAGCGCTTCTCCGCATCACTCAGAGCAGATACAGGTTGATTCTTATTTCCCGCAACAACCCGCGATGACACCGCTCCCCCCGGTGTCGGTGTAGCTGGTATGGGAATTTTCCCAGGCTGTGGGAAAGTTCGCGACAACGCTTAAACGATGGGGCAAGCAGATGTTTTCTTTCATTGCTAGAGTATAAGAGGGCCCAAAGAACACCTCCCGATAGTGATAGCGCCCGCAAGCCTGTAAGGACACAAGCACGTATCAAGACACTGCGGAGATCTGCAAACTTGACATGTTTGAACGCCACATCCTTCGGTCCCGTCACTGGCGTAGCGTGGGTTGACGGCTTGGCACCAACAACTCACAGTATTCGACACCAGGAGGAGAAGGCACGCAGGCAACACGCGATTCGCTTGGCGCGGAGGCTGTTTGTGGCCGGGGAAGGCTGACACGCCATGCACGTACGTTGCCGCAAGTTCATGCGCTGCACATAGATAGAGCGGAACGGAATGCGAGGCGATCTTCAAACGTGCGCCCGCGGCGGCGTTTGCAGCTGTCTGTTTGCACCAGCCGGCATGACTGATCTCCCTCCTCCCAACCCACCCTCCCCCCGGCCAGCGCGTCCGTCCCCGCCCGCCCGCCCGGCTTTGCGCGCTGACCCCAGGAGGGTGGTCAGGCCAGGCCAGGGGAGAGATGGTGGCTGGGGGCTGTGAGCAAGATCCAAAATGTAAGGGAGCATCTTGGGACAGGCTTGAACTCTCAGCAGGACACGCATGTGCAAGCGAACCGACAAGGCAAGGAATCCTGTTTTGCATTGAGATCGCCGACAGGGTGCTGGGGACGAGGAAGGGCCGCCACGACCGCACAGCCGTTCCCCGGCTTTGTCCAGAGGGAGGCTGAGCTCGGACTTGGCCATGGCAGCACTTTCGTCGTGCGTGGTGGTTCGTCATACAGCCAGCCAGGTTGGGAGGATGCCACCAAGGTGGAAGTTCGTTCAGGGCCGCACCACAGCACCTGCTAATGCGGCTGGACGGGCTGGGAGACGAGGACCAAAGGGCCCCACCAGCCCTTGCGAGGTTGACGGAAAGTGGGCTGAACGTGGACTGGTGAAACGCAACTTTGATCACCAAGGCCCTTCTTGCAAAGCGAACCCCTGGCAGAGTGGGATGGCCTCCGCGGCGGTTGGATCAGGACCTTGACGCCGATTTCATTTGTGCAGTGGCAGACGTGCCTACTTTCTTTTCCCATCTTGTGGGCGGCTGGTTGGCGTGTCAGGATGGCCCCAGCAGGCGCCAATCCACATGGAACGCGCTTCATTTACCAGCGCATGCATGACCAGTCGGGCAGAAAGTTGGCCGAGGGGAGAAGCGGTCAGCCATTCACACCAAGATGAGAAGCGATGTGGGAATGCGGAATGGAAATCCAGATGGAATCGAAGCGAACGGGATCAAGATGGTAGAGTGTCGCATCCGGAAGAGATAAGCTAGAAACGTAGGCAGCCAAGCTTTTTGGCAGACGCTCGGAAATTTTCATGACAGACGCGTGCAGAGCTGGCCCGTCGGCTCGCACACGAGATGAGGCTGCCAATCGCTGTACTGTGTTGGCCTTCGCTTCCAAGTCTGAAGTCCGTGCAGAAGAGTGACACTCGCTTGTTAGCATGCGCGGCGGTACTGGAGCCTCTTCGGGACTCCTGCCGAGCGACCTGTGTTGGGACCGTGGCATCCGGCGGAGCCGTCGTTGGACCCTCTCTCCTGGCCGTCGAGCCTTTGCCACCAAGATGCGGCAGCAGGGCAGCATGAGGCTCCCCAAGTGAGGAGCTGAGGCTCGGTTGTTGGAAGGGGCCGTGCTGCGTTGCATCCATAACTCTCCGATGTGTCTACCTATAACGCTCACTAAAAAGACGTGTAACCTGAAGCACGTCGCGGTCGTGGAAAGAATTCGAAACCGACCGCGGCAGCGACCCAACACCATTCCATCCAGTTGGGGTCAAGCATGCAAACAGACAGCCGTGTGTGGCTTGGGATTTGGGAACATCACAAATCCTGCTGGATCGGGGGAGCCCGGGCCACCGACACGACCATCTCAGTCGTCTAGAGGTACCGAGTGGCACCCAGCCAAGGTTGTAGTCGGCAAGGATGACTCGCATGTGCTGCCTTCTTCTGCCCGCTGCCCCGCGGACACTGGCGATCCAAATCAAGACGACGGGATCCAGAAAATATAATCAACATCAGAACATGGCGAGACGGCCCATGGCCTTGCATGATGCCACGAGGGAGGATGAGCGGGAGTAGGGGCCTATAGAGGCAGCTCGGTAGAGTTACTGCATCTGGATGGGCAGGAACAGGCTGGCTGGGCTATGGGACTGTGCTGTAGAACAAGGAAAAGAAGGAGATCAAGAAGGAATACTGGGACCCGCGGGTCCAGGCCGGAGCCGCAGCCGGGGGAGCCGCAGCCTTGGTGGCCGTTGTTGGGAAAGGGCAGAGTGGGCGCGGGGTTTATGTCGTTATGCTATGGCCGTGCCTTGTCCGCCAGGTTGGGACGATGGTGCCGGCATTGGGGCTGTGTTTATGTCGGAGCTTTTTTACCCTCTTTTTTGGTTGTTAGTGTGTCTGTTTCCCGTTTTTCTTTTCGTCCCGCTCATTGCGGATGAAAAAGTCCGACAGGCGTCAAAGGGCGCTACCAAGGTTGGTTGGGATGGAAAACCACGGGATTGAAGAGATGAGCTTCATCATCAGCGCGCCCCTTTTTCGATTTCTCTTTTTTGTTCCTGAGCCCCTGAGCCGGATTGGTGCTGGGTGCGGCCGCTGATTGGCCAGCTGCAGGGCGGCTCACGTTTCGGGTTCCTACAGCAAGCACCGCCCCCTGCCCAGGACCGGCCCCTGGTCCCTCTTTTTTTTGAGGAGCCAGGTTCGGTTGACCCATGGCGAGAGGCAATTGCTTGGTGAGGAGGGGAGGTCATATCCCGGTCCGCATCAACGTCTGCGATTGAGCCGCTGCGGCACAACGCTGCGAGAGGGTGGCTTGCAGAAGGAGCTAGCGACGCCCCCTCTCATCTTGCATCCTGCTGGCCACCTCACTCACACCCAAACAAAACCGTCCACAACAAAAAAAAAAAAAAAACACCCATGACCGATGCCCACATGCGCGCGCTCGCCGGAACGCGGCCAAGTCGCCGCCAGTCGCCAGTCGCATTGCTCAGCTGCAGACCCATTGGCTCCAGCGTGCCCATCTCGCAGGTCCCAGATTGAACTGCCGCCCGCACAACACAACCCAGACAGGCACCGGCTCGGCTGGCAGACGCCAGATAGAGAGGGAGCCTTGGTACCTATGGTCACATGTCGTCCCAAGAACACCACCTGCCAGCCCGTCTCAGCCACGTCCGCCTACGCTAGATCTACGATTAATTGCTGTACGCCCTAGGCTAGCAAGGTCTTTCCTGGGCGGTGAGCTCCGTCCTAAGGTCTTCCCTCGTGCTATCGCCCATGGCCTCCGGCTGCCGCCTGTCGACCTGTACCTACCCCTCCGCACCCGACAACGAGGACGCTCCCTCATGCTGTGAGCAAGTTGGAGCTTGGTGACGTGACCCCTGGCAGCAGGGCCCGGACTCATGAGACGGCACCTGGTCTAGTGCCCACACCCACAACCGAGTCCCACTCACCACCACCCGGGGCCTTGCTGGTCCCCACCTCCCCCTGCCCCTGGCCGCCGGGATGGCTGCGCAACTGGGGTTGGTGAGTGGTTGCTTGGCAAGGCGAGAGGACGCTGGACGTCATTGGCTGCCGCGTCGGCGAGACTAAAAAGGCTCGCAGGATCCTCCGTTCGCCATCATCACTCTTGCCCTTCTTTCCTTCCTCACCCTCACTTTCCCTGTGGTTTTCTCTCTCTCTGAAACGGCGCCGTTCAGGTTCCTCACATTCTTTCTGGACTTCCATTCATTCTTTGATTCTTCAGCCTTGTGATCGCGCCTTTGCGTCATAAGCATCAACCCCTTCCAGCCAGTTCCAACGTCAGGTGACGGGATCAACTAGCTGTTCACTTCTTTGCCTCCTTGTGAAGCCCCTATATTCTTCGTTCTTGAACATATAGCGTGTGAGCAACTGTGTCTGCCACCAGCCAAATTTCGCCCTTGCTTGTGGAATCGACATTCCCTCTTTTTTCCTTGCCAACGTTTGATATACCCCTGCCTGGACAGCGCGCGACCATTCTCTTGGGAGAGATCTCGAAACAACCAACCAGGGAAACGACGAGAATCTCCTCTTTTCCGACTTCCACAAACATCACCAAACACGCTGCCAAAAATACCAAGCAGTCAAGATGAAGTTCTTCACCGTCCTCAGCATTTTCACCGCTGCCACTGCTGCGTACTCGCACCAGCACGCCCACCCGCGCATCAACTTCCGCAACTTCCGCCGCGCCAACACTACTCAAGCCATCTCTAGCTCGAGCTCCTCGTCCACCGCCAAGATTGAGGCGGCCACATCCTTGAGTGCCACTTCCAGCAAGGCTGCCTCTACCAAGGCTGTCTCGGTCTCCAAGGCCTCGACACCTGTCGCTGTCGGCACGGGTGGCCTGGTCGAGAAGAACCGCCCGGCCGTCGGAACCGGATCTGGCGTTGCCGCCCGGCCCGCAACCACCAGCACTGCCTCTGGTGGCGGTGCCCAAATCACCACCGTGGTCGTGAAGACTACCTCTGTGAAGACCATCATCTCTTGCGCCCCCAATGTCACCAACTGCCCCGGTCGTAACGGCACCATCGCCACTGCTAGGAACGCCACCTCCCAGGCTGGCGTTTCCCAGATCGTTATCACCGAGACCGCAGTTCTCACCTCTGTTGTCTGCCCCGTCTCCGATGTCCCCAAGGTCGAGTCCAGCCTCAGCAAGGCTCTCTCGGCAAGCACCAAGCCCGTGGCCAGCACCAAGCCTGCCGTGAACACCCAGGTCACCGCTACCGCCACCTCGGCCCCCGCTGCTACCAACGGCGCTGCGACCACCACCCTTGTCGTCAAGACCACCTCGGTCAAGACCATCATCTCTTGTGCTCCTGAAGTTACCAACTGCCCAGGTCGCAACGGAACTCCCGCCACCATGACCACGCCGATATCTGGAGTCTCCCAGATTGTCGTCACCGAGACTGCTGTCCTGACCACTGTTGTCTGCCCCGTTTCCGATGTCCCCAAGGTCCAGAGCAGCGTCTCCAAGGCTCTGGGAGCTACCTCTAGCCAGCCCCAAGGCATGACCACCGTCGTCTCCACTGAGCTCAAGGAGACCATTATCACCCGCACCACTGAGCGCGTCGTCACTGTCACTCTTGGTGGCGGCGGTGCAGGCAGCTCTCCCAACGTGATTACCACCACTATTTCCAACACTCTGCAGTCGACCTCTACCGCTACTGTCACGGCTGTCCACACTGTTCCTTGCAACGGAGCTTGCGGCAACACCAACGGCGGTCAGGGCAAGGGCAAGGGCAACGAGAACAAGGACAAGCCCAAAGGTGGCAGCGGCGGCGGCAACAACGCTGCTACCACCACCAACACCGCCACCATGACCGGCACCCGCACCCTCACTGTCAAGAAGCCCGGTCAGACTCAGGTCTCTCCTGGTACTGGCAACGGCGGCAGCCAGGGTGGAAACAACGGTGGTAACCAGGGCGGCAACAACGGCGGCAACGGCGCTGTTTGCGAGCCTGTTACCGTCACCAAGGCTGCTGAGTGCGCCCCTCCGGCGACCGTCACCGTGACCGCTGCTGCCATCACTGTCACCGTCACTGCCCCCGCCGCTGCCGCCACTACCCCTGCGGGCGACAACAAGGGCACTGGCAAAAAGCAGGAGGGGGAGAAGCAGGCTGGCAAGAAGAATCAGCCCGCTGCTACCACCTCGGCTGCTGCCGCCACCACTCCGGCGCCGGCTTCCCAGGCCGGTGAGGACGCTTCCTGTGACGCTGACGAGGAGGACGAGACCTCGACCTCTGCTACCAAGGCCACTTCCACCAAGCCCTCGATGCCTCTGAACACCGCTGGTTCCACGAAGCCCGGTGTCAGCAACAACAACAAGACCGTCAAGGCTCACCTCATGAAGCAGCACTCCGGCAGGAGCGAGAACCTCTTCTAAAGGAGCGGGAGAAAAAAAAGATCAACCCTTGAAAAAAAAACCATTGTATTTTTAGCTGATTAGACACGAAATTCCTGGGTAGCCTTTACTTTCCTTCTTTCTGGTTTCTGGACAAGCTGTGATCTCGTCCTTGGGGGTCCAGCTGTATCATCGGTTTGGCTATGGGAACAATTTACGAGACTACATACAAATTCTTGATTCTCTCTCACATTGATGCCTTGTGCTGTCGTTTGCTATGCCTGATTTGCTTCCCTCCCTCACTCTTGCTCTTGACAGGAGCAACCGGATCCAGGAATCATTATCCCGACTTTCCAGGAGGAACTCGCCAGGTAGTAGCCTCCTCTCCCCTCGTAGCAACAATGACTCACTCCCAGTCCCGGCTCAGCCGACACGTAGAGACCCTCACCCCACTGACTACCGCTCTCCCGACTGTCCTTGCTTTTGTTCTTGATTTTATTTTGTTTTTATCTGTGCTCCCTATACGGTTCCTGTTGCTTCCCAGCAGGCGCCCTCTCTGCAACCTTGTCCCACCCAGCTCAAACCTTGTGGCGGGTGTCTGGCGGTGATTGTGTCCCGCAGAAGCCTGCACTCCTCACATGGAGCCACAAGCCAAAAAGCCAGCATCACAAATCAAACAAACCGACTTTTTCAGCAACACACCGACCAGTGGTAGTTGCACCGGGTTCTTTATGGGTTAGGTATTGGGCTTATCTTTTCGAGTGCTGTCAACGCGCAGACTGTTGATCACTTCCATGTTGGCCAATGAGGGCGTTTATTTTTTCCGTGCTTACGACTTGGTGCTATTCCTCCATTTTAGCGGTTCGGCGGGATCCTCGAGAAGGTCGGATCAAAGCATCACTTCCAATGCACAACTTCACGCAAGGCACAGCAATAACGGGCGAAAGAGCTGCCGCAGACCATTCAAATTGGGAGACTAGAGCTCAACCGCGGTATAGAAAAAGTCCAAAACACAACCAAAATCGCCGTCTCAGTGATGATACAGGTTCCCGAAACCCAGCAAACAAAGCGTCATTATGTACAAAAGGGGCCAGAGAGCAAGGAGAGACATGAAGCCGCAAGAGAAGGAGAAGAAGAAAAAAAGAATCACTTGCGGAGCGCCAGACCCATCGAGTTCTTGCCCACGCCCATGGCCTGCAGCTGCATGTGCTGCACCTGCTTCTTGGTGGTGGCGTCGACGACGGTGATGGCGGCCTGGGTGGTGCCGTTGCCGGGGCTGAGGGCGTAGACGAACTTTCCGGCGGACTGGAGGTCGATCAGGCCCGGGTCGCCGTTGGCCGAGAGGTCGATCTGGCCCATGACGCTCGCGTCCTTGACCGACATCTCGACGAGGCGGTTGGTGGCCACGTCGGTGACGAAGGCGGTGCCCGTGGCCGGGTTGATGGTGGCCCAGCATGTCGCCTTTTGCCCGTCGACGGCGCCCTTGCCCTTGACGGTGGCGGCGCCGGTCGCGGCGTCGACCGACAGCACGGCGGCGCCGAACGAGGCGTCCGTCACGAACAGCTCGCGCGAGCCCGGGATGGTGGCGGACCCGAAGAGGACGGCGGTGCCCTGGGGCGAAGACTGGGCGCCCTGGGCGTTCAGGGACGCGGCCTTGTTTTGGGCGGCGGCCTGGACGGGGAAGGAGGCGAGGAAGCCTGTCTTGTTGGCGGGCGGGTCGCCCTTGACGGTGGCGAAGAGGGTCTTGCCGTCGCGCGCGAAGAAGACCTGCGACACGGTGTTGGTAGGGCCCTTTGGCGGCGTGGTCTGGCCCAGGTCGAAGGGCCGCAGGGCGTCCATGGCCGCGAGCCCCGCCTGGGCCGAGAAGGAGGCGCACGAGACGCCCGCCTTTGCGCCCGTGGTGGCGACGCACGCGAGCTTGTTGCGCTTGGAGGCGGCCACCGTGACGGGGAACTCGCCCGGGATGGCGACGGGCTTGCCGACCATGGTGAGCTTGGTCGGGTCGGCGGCGTCGATGGCGAACATGGTGAGCGTGTTGGAGCCGGCGTTGACGGCGAACAGGTTGCTGCCGGCCACCGTCAGGGCGGACTGGCTGAAGAGCGCGTCGGGCACGGCGGGCTTGCCGTCGCCGTCGACGCCCGTGGCGCCCGCGCCGCCCGTGGGGGTACTCGAGGAGCCCTGGGCCTGCAGCATGCCGTCCTGGCCGACGCGGATGGCCACGACCGCGTTCTCCTTTTCGTTGGTGATGGTGTAGACAGCCTTTGCGTTGCGCGCCGCGGCGCCGGGCTGGGAGGGCGCCCCACAGCCACTGTTGTTGTTGTTGGCGGGGAGTGCAAGGACGTTGGAGGCCTGCCCGAGGGCAAGGAGGAGGAGTGCCGAGACGTGCATTATGGTGTTCGCTCTGTGTTGGGGGGCCGCTGGCAGCTGAGGGAAAAGACTGGCTTGGTGGAAGGTGATGGAGAATGAAGCGAAGGGAAGATGTCGACACCAGGAGCCAGTCCGATGAGAGAGTGAGTGAGGAGTGCGGTGTCGAAGCAGTCCATCACAAGTCGGCTAGAAGGCGTTCCCGCCGCCCATATATACGTCCCAAGTCGACCATGGCGAAGCGCGGCGTTCCTGACACGTTCAACCGTCTACTAGTATTCGTTTGCTGGCATGGCAGCTATCCAGGGGCGTACCGGCGTCCGAAAGCGGAAATTCTGATTACGCCCACGAAGCGGACAGAGGGCAATGTCACAGCCGCCAGGGGTTCTCCACGGAGCTCGGTTGGTCGGCAGGCAGTTCAAACACGGACGGCAGGCCCAGGGGGAGGAGCCAGGGAGGAGCCAGGGCGGGGATAGGGGGAGAAAAAAGAAGCATTGAGGGGAACGGCCGTTGCGGCTCAAAACGCGAACTTGACCCAGATTAAACTTAATTGGGGTGATCGGCCAGCCGCCCAGGTCCATCAGCAGCACGGGCGTGGGGTTTCCCCCCAGGCTCGTCCGGATTCGGAAATTCTGTTCTGCTCATCCACCCCCCAGTCAGATTTAAGGGGCGCGTTTGTCGCACCAGGAATCAGAGATTCCAGGCATGACTTCATACGGGACCATTGTGTTTAACCGTGATTCTCAAAAAGACGAGAGAGGCGAGGACAAAGCCAGAAACTTTATGGGGTCACATCTGCAGCGACTCCCAATGATCAATGATTCCACCCATGTTCTACTGTACTGTGTATTCATTTGATAATACACGCTCCCTCTTTTGCTCTCCGACCCCGCGACCCATCCATCCGTCCGCCATCCGAGACTCCTCTGGCCCCATCTTACCAAGTTGATTCCACACGCCATCGCTCCCGTCCCCTAACCAAAGCGGCTACCAGTAAAACAAGACCAACTGCACCATGTCTAGTCACATATTCAGGATTTTCAAGCCCGACGGTGTGTTGCTGGCTATCTTGCTGGCTATCCTTCCTTTTATCCCCCAAAGGGGACAGGTGTGATTGACAAGGCGCCACGACGGACAACGCAACCCGCAGAGACCAAGGAGGACCGCGTCCAGAGGCGCCGCGACCAGCTGCGTGATGCCCAAAAGTAAGTCGGTCCTCCCCGGGTACCACCTTTGCTTGCCAAGGGGGGGTGCATGATGCGGGTCCCATACACATACATACATACATACATACATACATACATACCAGACCGCAGGACAAGACGAACTCACCCTTACCACCCTTACCCGTCAGGAACTACCGGGACCGCAAGACCAGGTACACGCGCTCGCTCGAGCAGGAGCTCTCGCGGCTGCGGGCCAGCGAGGCGAGCCTGCTCCGCGAGGTCGGCCGCCTCCGCTCCGCGGTCCAGGGCCTCACGCTGTCCATGCGCCACAACGGCCTGGACGCCCTGGACGACTCGGACGCCACCTCGCCCCCGGGAAGCCTGGGGTACGGCGGCGGCGGCGGCGGCTCGCCCCTAGGGAGCCTAGGATATGCCGGCATCGATGGTATGCATCCACAGCCCACAAGCCCACACCTGCACCTGCACCTGCACCCGCACCTGTGCCTTCCACCCCAGCCAGCAAGGGGTTCCTTCTTATCCTCCCTCCTTCCCATCTGAACCCCTAACAGCTGCTGACCAATGAAATGCCCCCCTCCCGTTCAAAAAGACGTGATGGGATCCGTCACGAGCGGCACGGCGAGCGAGGCTAGCACGCACTTGGACCAGCTCTCGCCCAGCTTCTTCTCCTCCCAGCTCGGGCCGCCCCGGGGCGGCCGCCGCCCGTCCCCGCCACAGCACCACCACAGCCGCTCGCCCGAGTCCACCGCCACCACGGACGTGTGCCTCGGCGGCTGGGACAGGGGCGTCGACGTCGCCAGCCCCGGCGTGCGCGTCTGCGACGTGGACCCCGTCGGCGCCGGCATGGACTTTGTCTTGACGCAAGTATCCCTCCTCTTCCTCTTCCTCCTCCTCCTCCCCCTCCTTTCACCCACCAAAGAGTGCAACCCTCGAGATGGATAACCCACTAACCTGAACCCCTCCGGCCCGCCCGCCTGCCAACAGCATCGAGCGGCCGTGCCTGGGCCACCTCCACGGCGACCCCTCCAAGCCGGGCGACCCGGACGGCCACGCCCTGACAGCCTCGTCCCACATGCTCTGCGTGAGCAAAAACAGCCCCGGCAACGGCGGCGGCGGCGGCGGCGGCGGCGGCCCCTCGGCCCGACACCACCACCAACAACAACAACAACAACAACAACAACAGCAGCAGCAGCAGCAGCAGCCGCCGCCGCCCGGGACCGTGTGCCGGGACGTGCCGTCGGCCGTGCTCGAGTCGCTGCTCAGCCTCTCGTCGGAGCTGGCGGCCGAGCACGAGGTCACGCCCGTCCAGGCCTGGAACTCGATCCGCCACCGCCCGCAGTTTGGCGGGCTCGAGGTCCGGAGCCTGGGCCGGCTCGCCAGGGGCCTTCGGGACGCCGTCAAGTGTCACGGGTGCGTCTTTTTTTTTTTCTTTTATCTTTGTGTATCCGAATTCCCTCCCCCGGCAAACACGAAATACCCTCCGTCGTCACGTTAGTTTGAAGGCACTACTCCCTGCTGACAGTTATCGACACAAAAACTTAGCTTTGGCGCCGTCATCGACCGGAGAGTGTTCGACAAGCTCGTCTCGCAGTTTCTATTCGACGGGAGTCCCTTCTAGGGCCTCGGTCTCCGTATTACCTCGTTTCGAACAAAAGGTTGCGCTCCAGTTCCGAGGCTGGGCTAGCCGTGCAACAAAAATTTGGGCGCAGAGTTACATAGCTCTAACCAAGAGACACGGTTCCCCTGAGAGAGCCCCGGCCCGACTTTGAGTCCTGGGCAGCATAGAACCTACCGATCAACACGGGCTACGGTTCCCTTTGATTTTGTTCTGGAAACACGCCGGGTGGGCCCCGGGCTGCTCGTCCCCAAGTCTATATCCTACCCATCCACCCAAGGACCCAACGTGGGCCAGAGCACCTCCATGGAGGTCAGGAATACGGAAAAATCCGAGCCCATCAAGTCCGCGGCGCCGCGAACCTTGACCCACCGAGGTAAAAACCCGCCATTCCAGAACTCCGAGAGCTCTTACGGCTGCCATGGTGGCGCTACTTTGCTTCTACCCATACTTCAGCCCACCAAGTGGCAACACAAGTCGGTCTGATGTCAAGGTCGCAGGATCCCATGGTAACTCGGGCAGTTTACAACATCATTTTACCGTTCTCTCCGCCCGTTCTGGTACATGAGTAGCCCCGGCCTTCTATCGAGCAGGGCCATACCAGCCTCCGGACAGACGCCTCGAAACCATCTCTCCCCATTGCGCAAGGCGTGTTGGGGCTCAAAACATAGCCGTGAAGGCAAATTCACTGCCAACCACACATGCGATCTAGGATCAAGAAATGTTATTTGTCATGGGGAGTCCGCCCCCTAGAATACAAGGCCCATGTAAAGAAAACGTCGCATGCTCGTCCTCTGTGCTCGTACTAATTCAATATCGAAAACATTACAACACTCAAACCCAATCCTGGCGATGACCCTTTTCCCCTCCCTCGCCCGCCAGATAAGACTCAGAAGAATCAAATGATTTTAACATAGAAAACGGGTTGCCCCTATTGCTGCTTCTCAACTGTCCCGCCAACCACCGAGTGCGCCTCTAGAAAATTGCAGCAACAATCATGACCACCGACAAGGGGGCGACAACGAGCATGGCCTTGCTGACCTGACCCTGGGCGGCAGAGTCCTTCTTGGGAGCGGTTGTGGTAGCCGAAGCCGCAGTGCCCGATCCGGAGCTAGTCGTGGAACCCGTGGTGGTCGGGGTGTTGACGGGGCTGCTGCCCGCGCCGGCGTTGGAGCCGGGCTGGTTGATGGCGTCGCTGGCAAGCTGCTTGACCTCGAGACCGGACACGGCGGTGCCGTTCTTGGCCTTGATCTGCTGCTTCACCTTCATGTTCGAGATCTGAATGATCTTGCCGCTCGGCGTAGGCTTCACGCCACCGGCGATGATCTCGGCGGCTCCAGGGGGAAGGACCGGGAGGGTGAAGTTGCCGTTGAAACCCTTCTCCTTGATGAGCGAGGCCTCGCACTTGGGAGGGGCAGGCGGCGTCGTGGCAGCCTTGACGCCATAGACCTTCTTGAAGTCGAGCTTGGCCAGCTGTGCCTTCAGAGTGTAGTAGTCATCCAGAAGCGTGACGGAGCCGTCCTTGGCGACCTCGACCAGACCATAGTTGTTGGGCTCCTGGGTGTACTCGTACACGACACCGCCGCTGAAGACGCCCATCATCTGGTCGCCGTACATGGCGCCGACCTCGGTGAAGAGACGGGGAGATGGCGTGTTGCATCCGTACTCCGAGTAGAAGACCGGCACGGCCGTGCCCTTGAAGCCCGAGACCAGCGTGTCGTAGCCACTCGTTGTGAAGCTGCTATCTCCACACCACGAGTAGCTGTTCAGGGCAAAGATGTCGGAACGGCTCATGTCCTTGTCCTCGCCGGCGATAGAGCACTGGAAGTAGTTGTAGCTGTCGAAAAGCACCTCGCGCACATCGGCAGCCGAGTAGCCGACAGGGATAGGGCGGGTGCTGTGCTTGGCAATATAGTTCTTCAGATCCCTAGTGACGGCCCGGATGTAGGGGGGCACCTGGGAAGCGCTCTTCAGATCGTTGATGACCTCGTTGCCCGAAAAGAAGGCCAGCGTATTGGGATATCCCTTGAACGCCTCGACTACGGCAAAGGTGCGGTTCAGGTACGCGGCATAATACGACTCCCATGGGTTGAAGGTCTGGAGCGCCCCGCCAACCAGGGGCGAGTTGACGTCCAGAATCATGTAGATGCCAGCCTAGACAGAAAATGTCAGCACTGGAGTTTTCACATGGCAGGCCCGTGACGCCCAGAAGAGTCACCTACAGCGTTGAAGACGCTGGCACACGCGTCGTGGTTCAGGTTCGGGTCCAGGTTGTAGACACGGATGGCGTTGGCGCCAAGGGCCTGAATCAGAGCAGCATCCTGCAGGGGGCAATCTTGGTCAGCGCACATCTAGGCAGAAGGAGAGCAGGCGGACCACTAGAACTTACACGTATACAGACGTCGGCGTTGCTAAGAGGGTCCCTACCCTCATCGGGCTTGAAGCCGGCAGAGCCGCCGGGCTGGTAGGCGACTCCGACGATCTGGAAGCGGTTGCCGGTGTCGGGGTGAACAAAGTGGTCGTCCTTGAACGCCATGGGCTTCACCGCGGCCGCCAGGGTGACCCCAAGGGCAACCAGGGTTGCTTGGACCTACGTCACATCACGCCGGTTAGCATCGCACACTGTCAGCCAGGCGGGAGCAGCGGGCTAAGAGACGGCCCGGGATTCTAGGCTAGATCGGTCGAGCTGAGGTATGAGCCAGATCCGGGCCCGTGTTGTTTTGCGCGGGGAAAAGCGTGATTGGATGTCTACAACAAATCCGGGTTCCAGGAGGCTGGAAGGTGTGATCGGCGGTGCAGAGAGAGACCGGCTGTGACAGCACTTACGAGCATGGTGGGCGATCGACCGAAACACACAACCACCCCCAATCTAGAGATGTATCGGCTTCGAGGCCGATATTGACGGGCGTCTAGGTATTCCTGCTGGATATCGAAAAATCGGCGGCCCCAAAAAGCAAAAAGCAAGGGCAAGAAATGTCCCGAGGGATTCGCAGGGCGATCGTTGTCGGGGGGTTCTAAGGTCTCCTCTGGGCAAAACAAGCAAAAAAGATATGGAATCCGTGCAGGCTGTCAAAAAAAAAAAAATGACAGAACAGACGGCCAAGGAGTGACAAGAATCTCTGTCGGTCTCGATCCAAGACAGCCAAGGTCGGGCGCGTGAATCACAGGCTGCACGCTTTTCCAGAAGCTTCCGGACGGTGGGAAAAAAGAAAGAAAAAAAGACCAGTAAAGGAGTGACTGGGAAAAGAGGAATCAAGACGAGCAACAAAGAAGGATCAGACGCTTGCCTGCTGAAAAAAAAATCCGAGGTACCGCGGCGCTGAAATATTGGATGAAGGGAAGAAGCGACGAAGGGTGGACACCCAGGCGGGAGGAGCGCTCCATCGTCAAATTGGAGCATCTCAGTCAGACGTTACAGCGCCCACCCCTGTAGCCGTCCCTCCAGGCGTCCAATTAGCGTGCGCGTTGGCGTCGCATTCCTCGGAGCCCCCTGCACCAGATGCAGCTGAGGCCCCAGGTTTTCGGGGCATGTCGCCGAAACAGCTGCACCAAACGCCTGTGCTGCCTGTGGGGAGGGGGGATGGGGCAGAGAGCCCGACTGGGTTGCTGCTGCCAGATGAGGTGAGATCCATCCTGCACGAGCATTTCCTCAACTCACAGCTGCCCTCAAGAGAGGGACCAAAGTGGACGGCGCCACAGGTGCGAGCGAGTGCTGTGGTCTGGGGCGATACGGGGACGGATCCCCTGCAAGACGGTAGGGCAAGCGCACACACCAACGGCGCACACGGCATCCCCCTAACAATATGGGTCGTGGGGCCTTCCCGTCTCAGCGCCCAGGCGCGATTCAACCCGGCCGAAAATGGAAATTCACATGGGGGAGGGAACAATCGGGTTTGCCGGGTAGCCCTAGCGCAGGAATCACCCCCACCTGTCTCTCACGCGTCTGCGCCGCCGCTGTCGATGCCCCCAGGCGGACGGACATCACCATGATAAATCGAGTGGAGAGAAGTGGCAAGCCCTGTCGCCCGTGTCAAGATCAACACGAACGATGAAGAGGGCTTAGAAGGGGGGATCCGGCGAGATCCACGTGCCGGAAAGGCGGGCATCGACCTCCTCCAAACTCTTCGTATCGCATGGCTACTCCTCACTCGTAAAGCGCCAATACGACTCGTGTTGGCGATCCATTGCCGACAGCCCAATCGACATGCACACGACGGCGAGATCGACAAGCAACCGTGCAAGGGGGCAGGTAATCATGGCCGGTGTGGTCAGGAAACGTTGCGTCACGCCTGACGGGAGGGCAAAGTGCGTGGACCTTCGTGGACCTTGTCAAGCTTTGGCGGGCGTTTATTCATCCGTGACGGTTGTTCGGTTTCAAGTTCGAGAAGCCGCCACCAGCCGCTGCGGCTCAACCAGATGATCTGCAGGGTCCATCCAGCGCCCCAGTCATCGTCGCCCAACCGCAGGGCAGAAGCGCCATTTCTTTTTCTTTTTTTTCTCCTTCCATCTTTGAACCGGGTGTGTCCGTTGGCTGCCAAGCCACATCTCGCTGCAATCGCCGAACCCCACGGATTGATCGCTTAGCCCAATCTCGTATAACCAATGGCGTACGGATGCCAATTTCGGTTATTTGAGAACATGTCGACCTCGCTTGGTGACTTTATGCCGCGATTCCGTTGGCGACAAAAAGAAAAAGAATCATTCCCGGGTTGTTTGGATGGCGTTTTTATCAGGCTGTCGTCCGACCTGTTACCAGCGCGCCACTTGCGCCGCCCGAGGGCCAGCCCGTAGCCTTTGTGAGCTGTGCTCCCAACAATGCTAGCTTCGGAAAAGGGGCCAGCCAGTCGCGATTGCGGAGAGGGAGCAATGATGTTGTGCATTTACCATTCCTTGTCCATGCACTGCGACTATGTGCAGTTGGTGGCCATTGCGTCTGGTTAAGCTTATGTATTTTCGAGGTCTTGTCCGGTTCGCAAACTTCGAGAAATGGCCGGCTGCAGCCCTGAATGAATGTCATTAAAATAGGACGGACGTCTTCACCTAGCAGTTCTCGGCAGGCTGGATGGAAATCGTACCAACCATAACTAGAAAGACGCATGCAAGCGGCCTTTAAACAATTGCAGCCTCCAGCCAACACACCGAAGAATGAAAAAAACAAGCATAAAAACTAACGAGGCCCGGCAGCCCAGCCAGCATCTACACCGCAACCCAAAAGATATGACCAAAAGAAGCAGCAAAAATATAGAATCGCGAGACTGGACAAACGGGGAATCGAACCCCGGACCTCTTCCAGGAAGCCCACTTCACGATGTGCTCGTGTCATGGCGATGCTAAGGAAGCGTTATACCACTAAACCATTCGCCCCACTGATGTTGCGTGCGTCGGTGTCGTCCCTCAAGAGGCCCGCACGGGGTGGAGGGGCATCGCGATGGGCAGACCTCCGGCTCCGGCGACCAGGCCAGGCGGTTTTGAAGGTGGTCTTATTCAGACAGGCATCAGGTGTCGGCGATAAAGCATGAGGCACGGGGGGGAGACGTAACGAGGAGGGAGATGTGCCCGCCCAATCGAGAACAAGAAAGCTCCCGTGGCATCGCTGAGTAAAATAGGATATTGATCTTCATAACACATTACAATTCACGATTGTGCCTTCCATCATATTTGACATGTCGTGGAACAATTCAACTCGCAGTCTAATATAAATCTCGAGTCGATTCAATACAGTCCTAAGGGTACCACAGCCAGCCAAATATGCCGAGTATCTTACCAACGCTGAGTTGGCTAACGATGTAGATACTGCTTATTGCGAGACAAGTATCTTTCACAAAGCATCGTGATGTTTTCTAGCACAGAGATGTCTGGAACGCGACAGTCTATAAGCTATACACTCCGTTGCTCCATTCGGATGTCGCAGTTTATCACCGTGTTCGTCTAAGGCCACGCTAGAGTTAAGCGTGGATGGGCCCTTGGTGAGCCCTATAGCTGGGCAGTGACTTGCGAAAACCTTCCTTCCACCTGTATGGTGTCTTCGAATATAGCTAAGATGATCTGCCGAATTGCTCGGCAAGATCTGTGCGATGGGAGTCGTTCGTATCCAACATAAAGCGGACAGGGACACAACATCCACGCCTCTGTATCGACTGGAGGCTGTTCTTCCTCTATTTAGAATACGTACGGCAAATCGCGGGCGGCGGACAGACCAGACTCACCAACAGCCCAAGCCTTGACCCGGGTAGCCTTGGCCATCCATCTTTTCAGGCACACTCACGCAGGGAACCATGAGTGCGGAATCAGTTCACTTATCCGAAAGTTGAGCGAGAAAAAAAAGAAGTCCATTTCATTTCCCAGTCCTCCGAGATCAATTCGTGTGGTCTCGTTAGATAAAACAACAAACGCCGTCAAGACTGAGGATCCCTTTCCTTTTGCGCGATGCCTTTATTCCGCCGGTATAGGGAATCAAAACGGTTAAAACAAAACGAGATTGATGCTTGTGGTGCTCCCCCGCCATCTCTCGCTTTTCCCTGGTTCCATCCCGTTGCGCATGCACGACCCATGTTGGAAAAAAGAAAAAGAAAACGCCGGTTTACGCCACCAGCTCGATCGCGCCGCCGGCGTCCTTGATCTTCTTCTCGGCCTCCTTGCTGACCCACCGGGCGCGGACGACGAGAGGGACCTCGGGCAGGCGGCCCTTGCCGAGCAGCTTGGAGTAGCCGAACGACAGGAGGTCGATCTGGGGGATCTTGTCGGAGCTGGCGCCGGCCTTGGCGTACTCGGCCTGCTTCTCGGCGGGGATGAGGGACCACAGCTGTGGGAGCGTAAGACATGTTAGCTGCCTGTTCCGAGCGTTCCCCTCCTCGTTCATGCCTGTCTTCCGCGTATTCCATCACTCCAGAATCCACCTCTTCCATCAATTGCCTATGAATGGCTTCCAGGACACACTTCGACGCATCGTTCCGGAGCGGCTCGTCGGAGAGTTTGCATACCTTGTCGACGTTGATGATGGGCTTCCAGTCGTGGTTGTGAAGGTGGTGGAAGTGGCGCATACCGACCTTACCGAAGTAACCGGGGTGGTACTTATCGAGGTTGGTACGGTGGTGGTGCTATAGTTCGCCGTCGCAATCGCCTAGGTCAGTCTCTGATCTCATTTTTGCCGCCGAGGCGTCCCGGGCCTCGCTGCCTCGCTCCCTGTCGTTACAGGCGGCGGGAAAAAGTCGACAACTTACCTGACCACCGGCCAGACCACGACCACCGGGATGCTTTCTGTGCTTTCCGACACGTCCCTTGCCGGCGCTGACGTGGCCGCGGTGCTTTCTCGTCTTGCTGAACCTGGTAGGCATTTTGGCGAACCTGTTGTCGATGTTGTTGGTCTGAGGAACCAAGCAGAAATTGGTGTGCGCCGCAAAATTGAACCCTCTTGGATTTGGCGTGAGCAATTGTGGCCCACCGATCCACTCAACACACGTGACGCAGGTGGGCGAATGACGGATCACGTGAGCCGCTTTTGGGAAATTGTGTCGAAGAGGGCAGCCCCTCATTTCAAGGCACGGCAGAACAGGAAAAAACCCCGCTTGGTACATTGGAAGTGTCTGTTGAATTGGAGCGGGGGCTTGAACGCAAGGGAGCTGGCCTGGAGGAGGCTGCAACTCATTCGCCCGAGAGCTCCAAACAAGATGTCAACCACCTACCTCGTTTCTGGGGTCCTATTTGGTGGTGATTACCAGACCGTGGGCAAGTGAGGACAGACACATGCCGTCACCAGTCAGTCGTACGATCGCGCGATTTGGGTGCGCAAAAGGATTATCATGGCTCTGTGACACTCGCCTCGATCGGGCTGGTCGTTGGACTGTGTCAAGCAGCTGCCATCATGGAAGACCGGGCTACCTTTTGCCTCGCGTCGGAGGGATTGAAGCGGCTCGTCTTGACTGCAGTGCTGTGCGTTCGTTTCATCGTAACCTCACCCATTCGTGCCACACTTCAAGGGGGATTTCATCGTTCCAATTACACAGCTAATAAGATGAATATCTGCCCCCTGTCCTCGCCCTTTTGCCCTCACCAACGTACATCATGCAGGATAGCCTCATCCCCAAGCGGTGCTCATGGCAGTCGATTAGTAATGCTTTGGTTCAGCGCCTTGCAATTCTTCCAAAGGCCCTGAAACTTCTGTCGGTCCGTGCCACGGCAACTTTTCCCATTGCCTGGATGGTATACCGTCTATAGACTAAATAATCATTGTCGTAACGCAAAAGAAGAGCAAGTCTAGCCCTTGAACTCCTCAAAGTTGCCCTCCTCCCACTTGCCGGGGATCAGAGCCAGCGGGACGATGCCCGAAACGTGCATCTCGGGGCCAAAGATCTTGGCGTTCAGGCCCAGCTCCTGCGTCGCAGCCTTGAGGTTTCTCAGACCCTCCTGGTAGTTGGGGCCAGCGCGGCGGACCCAGATGCTGACGTTGTGCTCGTTCAGGGCCTTGGCGTACTCGCGCAGCGCCCTGATGACACCCTTGAAGGTGGATGCGACGTTGGTGAAATTGGCAATGCCACCACCGATGAAGAGGACCTTGCCCCCAGACGAGACTGGTGCCCTCAGCATGAGGTCCAGCACGGTGCGAGCATAGTGGTAGGTCTGCGACTCGGTAGGAGCACCCGAGTACTCGCCGTAGTTGGCCAGCTCGTCGGCAAAGCCTGCTGAGGCGATGGCGTCAGCGTAGACGACCGAGGCACCACCACCAGCGACCAGGGTCCAGATGCGGCCGTTAGCGTTGAGGACCGTCAGCTTGAGCGAGGCGCCCGTTTTGGCGTCCAGCTCAGCGATATATGCCTCCTCCTTTGTCAGCTCGCGACCGAAGGGGGCCGGGAACTCCATTGGCGGGCCAGCGTCGATGTTGACAGTACCGCTGTTGGCAACAGTGGCCAGGCCCAGCGCGGCTGGTGAGCGGGCGATGGCCCACTTGACACCACACTCGAAATCGGCCGTCTGGTCGAGCTTGGCAGCAAGATCCAGGAAGTGCACCGAGGCCGAGGTGGCATCCTCGTTGGGGATGACAACGAGGGGGTTGATCTCAAGGTAGGTGAACTGGCAGTCGACGTAGACAGCGTACAGGCGCGTGATGAAGTCGACCAGGACATTGAACACACCCTCGGGAACCTTCTTCAGCAGAGCGCTGGCGATCTGCTCGTTGGAAGGGTATTCTGAGAGATCCACAGGGATCAGAAGCTTCTCCGCCTTGGCATCGACATCACCAACATCGACACCGCCCTCGTGGGTGAAGAGAATCCAGTCGCCCTATTGAGTTTTACTGCAGTTAGCATCGCGTCGCAGTCATAAGCCCGTATGCCCAGCAAGGAATAGCCGCGCGCGGTCGATCAGGGGTGAGCGACAGGCTGCCTGTTATCTGTGCCCACCAGGGTAGAATGTGGCTCCTTCGAACTTCCGTTCGCCCGGATACTATTGCAGGCGAGAAACTCCACACCACATCTGCTGGGATAAATAAAAGGGCGACCGAACAATCTGACCCTCATCCCATCTTCCGCTCCTGTCGCCAACTCGGCGACTCTAACCATCGAATGACGGCTGCCACCTCTTCTCATCCCACCCCGCCCGCCACGAAAGCCAATGAGGGAAACCTTGGAGCGATGGATAACACCATCACGTGACTAACACCCCTCGTCGCACCAAGATCACCCGCTTGGAAGCAAGACAAAAAAATGCGGCAACTTACATCCCTGACCGAGTTGATGTTGATGTAGTACTCGGTGCCGTCGGGGTGGGGAACGAAAGGCTCGACCAGGAATTGCCTCAAGACGCCCGTGACGTGCTCGACCTTCTGCTCCTTGCCAGCGCGCTCAGCAACCCACGCCTTGGCCTCGGGCCAGGTCTTGTTCAGGGCCAGAAGACCGCTCTTTCCTCGTCTCTTGATCAGCTGGTCTGGCTTTGCGACGAACTTGGCACCTGGGGCCAGCAGCCAGGGGTAGGTGGCCTCGGCCTGGTCCAGAATACCAGCGATGTCGGCGTCCTCGGGGAAGTACAGCGAGGCCAGCTTCGGCGGCGGGTTGTGCTTGGGCTGGGCCGTCAGAGGCGAGGGCTTGATGAGGGGTGCGCGGGTGAGGTGGTAGTTGAGGATGGCCTTGCCATCGGCCTCGGTGATCGACTTGGCAGACATGATGGAGGAGTGTCGTGTGTCGTGAGTGGAATCTGCCTATCCTGTCTTGTTCTACTGCCGGAGTGGTGCTGTAAACGTGGGGAAGTGTTAGCAACTGACATACGGAGCTCTAGAACCGCGCAGTGCACAAGTGTGTGCTGAGGCAATTCCGAACCCGAGCAACTCGGCTATAGCCCGCGGGGCTGCGTGGCTGGCGGCGAAGGGTGCATCCGTCACCAGCGGCAGCGTGAGCTGCGGCAACCGCGAGTCGACGGCGAACTCGCGGTGCGGGCATCGAGCTCGAAGGAACGCCAGAGCAGTCGAGGGCAGCGGGGGCATCACCACTTACCAATTGCAGAGCAGTTCTCTGGTCTTGGGTCGATCAACAGGTTTGGAAGCGAGCCTGGAAGTCTACAAAAGACGGCGGGTTTTGGACGGGAGAAAGAGCAGAAAAGTCGAGTGATCAATCCGCTCCCATGGATGGGCCTCCTCAAAAAAAAAATCGGGCGGCGTTGTCAAGTGGCAGCTGGGGGTGCTGGCTGGAGGGGAAGCAAGCAGCCCAGGGGTGTCTTTGAGGTACAACGCTTTTGGCGCCAGGTACCAGCAAAATCGCTTTGGGGAAAATCTAACGTGGTGGGCGGGCCAAAAACCAACCCAAGTACCGGTACCTGCCTCCTACCATGCGGTGTGGCATGCAGAGCGGCCAGGGTCCCACCGGGAATTATTTGGCGGCCATTCCATGTCCGCTCTTTCTCTGCACGGCTGTCCTATCTGTTGGCGGCGGTGACGGCGCCCAAGGGCTTCCTTCCCATCCTTTGGATGCTTTGGACCCGGACGGCCGTCGGACCCGCGAGCCCAAGAAAGCCCATCCCCTCGGCCCCTCAACTTGCACAAGCCCCAGCCACCTCAACCGCTTTCGCCCCTCGCGCCTTGCTCGCTCGATTCTCACCACCCACCAACACTCCGGCCTTTCCTGGGGTCCGGTCGCAAGCGGAGTGTCGCTTGGGGATATTCCGATTTTCCGATGACAAGGCTAGGACTCCGGGCTGCCCACGGCTGACGCTTGGGGACTCCCTTCCTTGCGTGGTGGGCGTTGAAGGATGGTGTGGCTGCACTGGGGAATTTGGGACGGACTTGTTGAACTCGGCCGGGACCCCACCCTTGCTTGCGTGCGTGCTTGCTGCTGCCTTGGTGGGCTGCTAGGCTGGCGTGACACGGTCTAGCCAAGTGCTTGCTGGGCGCCCTCGCACCCCTCCTTCCCACGCCTGGACTTTCGAGTCTTCTTCCCATTGTTGCAGGGATAACGTAAGCCACCAAAGCTGGGTCACGTCATCCGCATTACGACGGCATCGGAGACTGCGGCCCGCCCTCAAACGATGTCGATTTCTGCGATGCACTTGCTAGCAGGCACCTTTGGTCCTGTACTATTATGTGCTTCACACTACTCATCTCAAGGCGAGAGCGGGCAGCATGTTTTCCGGGCTAGCACGAGCGACGCAATCTGTTGTTCGTTGTGGTCCTGGGATTTTCTCATCTGAAAGTGGGATGCAAAGCTGCGTGATCAGCTGGCACCCCGCCCCTCCCAAGGTTGGGCACAAGCGATGTTAGCAGGCAGGTACAGGTACCGGTACCTGACGGGACACGCAACTCGTCCAGGGTGCGTCCCAAGTGTTCAACAGGTCAACGGGGTCAACGGGCCAACACAAAAGTGACTTTCCCCAACTTTTTTCCCTGCCTCTGGTCACCCCTGCGGACATCCAATTTTTGCACCCTGGGAAGCTTGCTGGCGATCTTTGTTCAGCAGGTCCAACGGATTGCAAAGTCACGGCAAGACCCCAAAAGTGCCCTGTGCATCACCGCCGCTTCCGCCCGCTCCCAGCCCACCTTCAACCACTTCTCTCCACCACCTTGGCAATTGGCTTGGGCGGGCAACGAAAAGGAGATCCAGTCCTTCTGCAAATCTCCAGCTTCCTCTCCCACTCTTTCGTTTCCTCACGAACAATACAGGAATCCCACTCAATTGGGACGGTTCCAAGACGACCCGACTCATAAAGGTGAGAGTAAGCGATGTAGTTCAGATCACAGCTGCGAGCTTCCTATTTTGAAGTGGGCTATTTGGCAACTTTTTTTCCCCTTGACCCCCGACAGAGACGACAACTCTCGAGTCCACGAGCCCTCGTCCCGCAAGCACAACACTATCTTCCTCCCAGCCTGCCGTTGATCGTCAGACACATGCCGGGTTTGGTTGTCAGCCTTGTCGACTGCTAGATAGCTAACACGCACACCTCGCACCCAGTCTCCGGCTACGAACCACGCTCACCTCCTCTTCGCCAACGGCCGTCGCCATGCCTGCCGCCACGACCACAAAGGGTGCCAGTGGCACCAACCCGACCGGCGGGCTGTCGGCCAACGACAACATCGCCCGTTTCCCGGCGCCCAGCAGACCGCTGAGCCCGCTGCCCACCCACGCGCTGTTTAACGACAAGACCAGGTGCTTCGTCTATGGCCTGCAGCCCCGCGCCGTCCAGGGCATGCTGGACTTTGACTTCATCTGCAAGCGCTCCTCGCCGTCGGTTGCCGGCATCATCTACACCTTCGGTGGCCAGTTCGTCAGCAAGATGTACTGGGGCACCAGCGAAACTCTGCTGCCTGTCTACCAGGAGGTCACCAAGGCCATGGCCAAGCACCCCGACGTCGACGTTGTGGTCAACTTCGCTTCTTCGCGCAGTGTCTACAGCTCGACACTAGAGCTTATGGAGTACCCCCAGATCAAGACCATCGCCATCATTGCCGAGGGTGTGCCCGAGAGGGTTAGTCGCATATCTGTACTTCCCGGGGGCATATATTATGAGTGCTAACTGTCCCCACTAGCGAGCCCGTGAGATTGCCCACATCGCCAAGAAGAAGGGCGTCACAATCATCGGCCCTGCCACGGTTGGTGGTATCAAGCCTGGCTGCTTCAAGATCGGCAACACAGGTGGCATGATGGACAACATTGTTGCCTCGAAGCTGTACCGCAAGGGATCTGTCGGCTACGTCTCCAAGTCGGGTGGCATGTCCAACGAGCTGAACAACATCGTGTCTCAGACGACGGACGGTGTCTACGAGGGTGTCGCCATCGGTGGAGACAGGTACCCTGGTACCACCTTCATCGACCATATGATGAGGTACCAGGCCGATCCCGAGTGCAAGATCCTCGTGCTTCTCGGCGAGGTCGGAGGTGTCGAGGAGTACAAGGTGATCGAGGCCGTCAAGCAGGGTGTCATCACCAAGCCCATTGTTGCTTGGGCTATCGGCACGTGCGCTAGCATGTTCAAGACGGAGGTCCAGTTCGGCCACGCCGGTTCCTTCGCCAACTCACAGCTCGAGACGGCTGCCACCAAGAACAAGTCGATGAAGGAGGCTGGCTTCCACGTCCCTGACACTTTTGAGGACATGCCCAAGGTCCTTGCGGAGGTCTACCAGAAGCTCGTCAAGGAGGGCACCATCAAGCCCCAGCCCGAGCCGGCCGTGCCCAAGATCCCCATCGATTACTCGTGGGCTCAGGAGCTGGGCCTGATCCGCAAGCCTGCTGCCTTCATCTCCACCATCTCGGACGATCGTGGACAGGAGCTGCTATACGCTGGAATGCCCATCTCGGACGTCTTCAGGGAGGAAATCGGCATCGGCGGTGTCATGTCGCTGCTGTGGTTCCGCCGCCGTCTGCCCGATTACGCGTCCAAGTTCCTCGAGATGGTGCTCATGCTTACGGCCGACCACGGTCCGGCCGTCTCGGGTGCCATGAACACCATTATCACCACGCGTGCGGGCAAGGACCTGATCAGCGCCCTCGTGTCGGGTCTCCTCACGATCGGCTCCCGTTTCGGTGGTGCCCTCGACGGCGCTGCCGAGGAGTTCACCAAGGCCAGCGACAAGGGCCTGAGCCCACGTGAGTTTGTCGACACGATGCGCAAGCAGAACAAGCTCATTCCCGGAATCGGACACCGTGTCAAGTCGCGCAACAACCCTGATCTCCGTGTAGAGCTGGTCAAGGAGTACGTCCTGGCCAAGTTCCCCAGCCACAAGTTGCTGGATTACGCTCTTGCGGTAGAGACTGTCACCACATCCAAGAAGGATAACCTGATCCTGAACGTCGACGGCTGCATCGCCGTCTGCTTTGTGGACCTGCTCCGCAACTGCGGTGCCTTTAGCGCCGAGGAGGCAGAGGACTACCTGAAGATGGGTGTCCTGAACGGTCTGTTCGTGCTTGGACGCAGTATCGGTCTGATTGCGCACTACCTCGACCAGAAGAGGCTGCGCACTGGTCTCTACCGCCACCCGTGGGACGACATCACCTACCTTCTGCCCACGCTCAACCAGGGCCAGCCTGGAGCCGAAGGACGTGTCGAGGTCCAGATGTAAGGGAAGGCAGGCTAGAGTGGTTCCCTTTCCCCCTGGGAAAGCTTGGGAGTGTTACGAAGAGATTATTGTACGGTCAATGAAATATAAATCTAGGCGAGTCCGGCACCTGTGGTCTACCGGGTCGCATCGGGGATGGTATATCACCATGGCGCGGGAAGTAGAGAAGGCTGGGGTTGGTACAAGGTGCTTCAATGCCTAGCCAATTCTTAATCGAAGATTCGAATTATTCGTTACTTCGGATGTGCCATTGTCTGTAACTGCCATGGTTGGTCGCGTGCCATGTCACCCCTTTCGAGCTCGTGATCGGAGTTGGAGGAGGCCGGAGTCGAGGTCAGTGGCGGTTCAATATACATGCCACTTTCACCCCCACCCCGGGCGGGTGGTGCACGGACCATTGCCAGGGGCGGAATTTTAGGTGGAGCTTGCATGGCAGCTTGGATTTTGTATGATTGAAGGTCGGACCCCAGGTCGTCGCTGCACGGAATTTGCGCCCCGCGCCATCACCAAATACCGCCGCTATTGTCCAAACACCAAAGTCTCCGTGAGCCCCCGCGACGGATAAAAAAGCCCGCGTCGAGGGAACTGCCGTCGTGTGCCATCACCACCTGTTCTCGCCGGCAGACAGAACGAGTCGACGTTGAGCCCGGCCGCAGACCGACCGACAAGTCGTCGTCTCTCTACTCCCGGCGCCTGCACGAACGAAAAGGCAAGCCTGCCGCCATCACCACTCTCGCTTCTCCTTGGAATCGGCCGTTAGACGACAACGACGACTGCGGCGACGAAGCCACCGCTCCCGGTCGACTAGGCGGGCCCGCCGCCACGTGGACCGACCCAACAACACACTTGCTCCCCCGCCAGCAGCGGAACCGGGGGGTTAGCGTGGAGAAAGGGAGAGGGAGAAGGAAGAGCAGCAGCAGGACTCGAGACAAAGAAAACCAAAAAAAAGAAGCAAAAAAAAAAAGAGAATGGCATTCTTCGCCATCCGGCTCCACCGCAGCGCCATCGGGCTCCCGCAGCGGACGCGGGGCGTGCTGATGGCGCTGGGCCTGCGGCGGCGCGGCTCGACCGTGTTCCACCCCGTCAGCGCGCAAGTGGCGGGCATGATCATGAAGGTCAAGGAGCTCGTGCGCGTCGAGGAGGTGGCGGCCGCCAAGACAAAGGCCCAACTCAAGGCCGAGCGGGCGCCCGACCCGGGCTTTGTCATCGAGAGGGCCGTCCCGAGGTGAAGAAGAGGGCTGGAGAGGGGGAGGAAAAGGAGGGGTGGTGTTGCAAACACGGCTTGTCCGCCACGAGGTCTGGCTGCCTGGTGGGAGGGGGGATGGTGGCCTCCCAGACGCGAAGGGGAGGGGGATGGACGAGACGACGGTCTACGGAGAGGATGGGGGCTGGCGTTATTGGCGGGCTAGGAGTGGCTTGATCGGTTCTTGGTGCGAACACAGCCCAAACCCAAATATTGTTGTTGAGAGGGGAATGGCCGAGGGGGCTTAAGGGAGGATCAGCGGAAGAGGTCGGGCAGACGATCGCAGATGTCACATATTTGCTTGCCCCTGCCCCTGACCACATCTTTTGTACAATACCTGCACATATATGACATATATGCTCGATATGTATCAGCGTGCTCAACTGTTCATCGGAGAAATCGCCCATCTGAAGACGTTTCTGTGTTTGATTGACTCATTCTAAAAAGTTCGAGGATGAGTATCAAAGACCAAATAAGGGCAAAAAAAAAGACCCTATCGACTGTGCTCAAATCTCTCGTGCCAGTCTTCCCCAAGTGATTAACCCTGCCCCTCCCGTGCGCCATGCGTTTTTATCAAAGTAGGCGAGAAAAAGATAATTCCAAGAGAAAGTAAAGGAGCGTATGTGGAATGTAAGATACAGCAAAAGATGAAAGAGCGAGAAGGGGGTAATAACCCATTATTAGAGAGCGTCAGCCAAAGGGCTACAGGATGCGACTCGTCGAATGATCCCATGATTCCTCTGCTAGGCTATTCCACGAGAGGAAAGCGAGATACGGATTCGAAGGAGGGGATGATGGACTCTCGGTCGGGATACCTGGCCGAATTTGAGCGACGATATGCAACTGGTGGAGCTTTGGGCGGCTGACTTGATTGTACTTATGTGTGATGGGGGTCGTTCATGGTCATGGAGTGCCGAGTAGCTTGCGTCGATAATACGTCGGGGAGGTGTTGATGAACAACCCCTATCAACATGCAGTCCTCGACTCCTTCGCAGCCAAGGTGCTACCCCATAGCCCCCAGACAGGTAGGAGGTAGATCTCTGTGAGAGGCGGTTGTGCTAAGTGGTGTTCCGAAGGCGGGCGTGAACGAAAGTGTGGCGTCTAGCAGAACGGGCGAAGTCGGCACATCTAGCTGCTCCGAGCCTTCTCGATGTAGTCCTGGGCGGGGGTCTCGTACTCGCTGACAAAGTACTTGGCGTAGTTCTTGGCGAGCCAGTTCGTGAACTTGGAGATCTCCTCGCGGAGGCGGTTGACGGACTGCTGGTCCATGTTGGTCTGGGCGACGAGCTCAGGGAGGCTCACTGGAAGGGGGGTTAGTCGCCGAGGTAAAAGGAGGGAGGTTAGAAGGGCTGTGGGAAAGCGACCGTCTGGCAGGGTATGCCGCGGACAGTGTCGACTTACCGAGCAGACGAAGCAGATGCTCAGCGCCGTACGTGTCAGCGACGCACTTGTGACCGCCCTCGGAGGGGGACTCCCACTGCTCGCGAATCTCAAGGTACTGTGTGCGCTCGAACCTGCGCGGCGGGGTTGCATGTCAGACAATTGAGGATATCAGAGGGAGCGGAAACAAGAGCAAGACTTACTTGTACAGCAGGATGCGACCAAGAGCCTTGTTAAAGTACTCGCGCAGGCCAGACATGGTCTCCTCCAGGAGGTCCTTCTCGGCGGAGTCATCAGGGCGGTGCGGGAGCTCCCACTCGACATAGTCCTTGACGATGTTGTCAAAGGGATGCGGGTGGGGGATGGGGACGAGCTGCTGGTTCTTGGTAATGTTCTCCCAATCGTCGACCAGCATCGCCTTGAGGTGGTCGGGCATGACGAGCTTGATAGATGGCCGGTTTTGAAAATTCTCCTCCTGAACAGTGGTCATTATGTCAGCAACGAACCTCGACCAAGGAGGCGCAGGTATATCAAAAACAAACGATGCACAAAAACATCCAAATAAATACAAAAGGATGAAAATGCAAATAAAAAGGAGAACAAGTTAGAAGACGGCCCTGTGTGCCGGCGTTTTCGGAGAAAAGTACCTCGCTCGAGATTGCGGGCTGATTTTGGCTTCCCTCCTCGAGGGTGGCTGCCAGCCTTTGGCGCTGGTCCTCTGGGTGGGGTGGGGGGGATGGGAGCTGCTCCCAAGATTGGAGCAGCTCCGGCGCCAGCTGGAACTCGTCGCCCTCTGCGGAGGCAGGGAGGGCTTCGAGGGGGTCGAGCATGCGCCGACCAAGCTTCCTTATCCTCCTGAAGAGGTGGTCAGGTCGCGGGAGCCCCGCAAGCGGCACGTTGACGTGGTCTGGCAGCTCCTGCCAGTAGGCCTCGAGGAGGTCTGTCAGGTTGCCAGACTCCTTCTTCCCGCTCAGCTTGGGATGGCGTCCCTTGCGGCGCTGGCGCGGCGGAGGTCTTGGGCAGAAGCGGGTGTCGGTTCCCCAAAGAAACCGCCCGCCCCTGTCGACGTACTTGAGGTCTGGGGGTGGCAGCCTCGAGAGGTGGCTACGAGCATTGGCATTCTTCGCCAATCTCGCCTCCTTGGCCGCAAACTCCTCGGCCCAAGAGCGCTTTGGAGGCGTGGCTTTCGGTGACATGGCTTTTGGGGGTGCAAATTTATAGTGTGACTTTTGGAGAATGTAGAAAGAGCTGGTATGGTGTTTTTGGTAGAAGTAGACCAAGATTGAAGGCGTGGTGTGCAAAAGTTGCGAGTCGGATTTGTGGGAGTTGAAGAAGTCGAGGGGTGGTCAGGGTGGAGGATAAGGGAGGTTCTTGGGGGGTGAAAAACGCAGGCACCAGTCGTTAAGGAGTCTGCCGTGTGGTGCGAGTTGCCATCCCCTGGGATTCAGAAAGGGTCGAAAGGCGTGCAGAACCAAACGAACAAACTTCGGTCCGACGGGATGCAGATGTTGGCGAGGGCGGCTGCGAAGAGATACGGGGTTCCCAGAGCTTATCCCATTCGAAGGCCAAGTCCGTGAACAAGCAAAGCGTGGCATTACGCTCTTGTTTGTCACTGGCAAGATGCCCTCCCCAGACGATCGAAGGGTGTGTGAAGCGTTTCCCGCGGGCTGCCATATCTCTGCTCCCTCACTTGCGCCTGACATGGCCCTCACCCCTCTCTCAGACCGGACTCGGGGAAGCCCACCACACACCAGGCGCAACAACACAGGAACGGCGTTTTCAAGAGACTTTCTCCCTACACCCCTGCTTCCCATTGTTGCTCCCAGCCCCCCCAGCAGCCAATGGAGAAAACAAAAAGAACAAAGACAAGACAAAGGTAAAAACAGAGCAGAAGCCACAAACACCACCCAGAAAGAACGAGAAGAAAAAAACGCCCACCAAAAAGCAACACAGGAATATGCATCAACTTTTTTGCGGTCAAAAGTCAAAAAACTCACCTGCTCGAGATCATAGTCGCGCGCCCGCCTCGGTCCCCTGCCGCTCGAGGTGGTGTGGGCGGCGGTCCTCTCCTCGCTGCCGCGGAGGGAGCTGAAGTCGGAGCCTCCGTTCGCGGCGGCGGCACCCGTGGCTCCGCGGGCCGCCCTCTTGGCGCCGGCCGAGGCGGCGGCCTTGGAGCCCTTCTGCTGCGACTTCATCTGCTCGCGCAGCTGCGAGGCCAGCTCCTTGTTCTCGTCATTGAACTTGCGCACGCGGTCCTGGGGCACCCAGTCGTCCCACGTGTTCTTCCAGCCCTTGTAGTGGATCTTGTACTGCCAGCCGCCCGCGGGGCCCTCGCCAGCCTCGGCCGCCTGCACCTCGAGGATCCGCGCCTCGTAGAGCATGTCCATGTGGAAGCAGAACACCCGCTCCTCCTCCTTGAAGGGCGGTCCCGTATTCTTGACGGGCGGCATGTTGACTGTTGCTTTTCCTTCCTTGTTCCTTTTTTTTTTTTTTTTTTTTTTGTGAATGGCTGGGTTGATCGCGGCGGCGTGACAGAACGGAAGGCGAGACGCGTTGGGTAGGTAGTCCACGCGTCAGAGGCCAGTTTTAGAATGGGTGCTTGCGGCCTGCGTTGGGCAATCAAGGACGACAATGCGGTTTCCGGCAACGGGCAGCCTAGTTTGCACCGGCGGGGCTATCTCTGGTCAAATATCGATCCCGAAAGTATCCGTCCGAGCAAATTGCGGTCGTGAGGTCAACGAAGGGTGTCACGGGATCACGCTCGGTCGGGAGACGCGGCCCACTCAACACGTAACTCACGACGCGCTTGCGTTTAATAAGGCGCCGCCAACGCGTGCAGCGAATCACAGCTCGTGCACTTACGGTCCCTGCTTGACTGTTTGACATGTATTGTCAGAAGGAGCAACCTACTCAGGCTGAATATATGCATATATCATTCAATTCTCATCAAATTCAAGCAGAGGGGAGGCGTATTCATGAGGAAGGAACTCGACATTTTATGACATGAAATCACAAACAAGTGTCAAATAAGACCATCACTCGCCATGGCGCCCACCGAATCAACAATCCTGAGCAACTACCTGCTCGTCCCCGCCCAGCTCCCCACCATCATCTCCCTCGACGAATTCAGGTCCTTTTTCCCGCCGGGCCAGCGCTCGTCTCCCCAGGTGCGCACTCTGTATCGGGACCTGCAGCGTCAACGTAACGCTATCGTCGACAATGTGGCCGAGAATATCGATGCCGAGGCCGGCCAGCGCGCCAGGGCCATCCGCCGCCAGGTCGCCCGCGTGAAGTTGGGCGCTGCGGCCGACGAGATAGACCCGGAGGACGAGGTCGAGAAAGTTGTAAGGTTCCTTGCGTCCTCAAGTCTCCTCCTTGTACGCGCCGGCTGTTGACAGCCATCTTCCATTAGCTACTGGCCTCCGACCCCAATACAAGGCCTGAGGCATCGCAGCACACTCTCGCCTCTGTCGTGGCGGACATGGAAGCCGCCGCTACCGCTCTTGAGCGCCAGATCCAGGATATTCAGTCTGAAGAGGCCGAGATCCTCCAGTCGATCCAGCAGACGATCGGCGATCTTAGTGATCTCCGATACGGCCGCCTTGCCAACCCAAGGTTGTCGGAGCAGGTCCTGGATGGCCTGCGAAACATGGAAGCCATCTGCAAAAGAAGCCCCGAATCAAGATAGTCCCGAACTCACTGTGCCATTCCGCTCGCAACAGTACAAATGTCCTAATCGGCCAATAACCTATAACCAAGTGCCTAGCAGACAAAGAAACCCGCCTATAGAGGCATCCTAGGCAACGAGACGCCGAGCTGGCCTGCACGCGCCCTCGAATCCAGCCGGAGTTGCCTCGCCTTAATCTGATATCCAAAATATAAAATGAAGCACCTAGCCGGCCGCACAGACGACCTCATGCGCCCCAACGTTCACATGAACATGGTGCTCAACCATACCACCCACAGCCACACCAAAGACATGCCACAGGCGCCACGTGACAGGCTCATCACGGAGTAGCATGGCTTACCTGGGGCCGGCGGCATCTCCCGGAGCAGCGCCACGACGGGCAGCCTGCGCATTAGGGGGCGGTTGCATACGGCGGTTCCTGTTGGCGCAGTGTCAATCAGCAAAGGGCCGTTATGGGATGGAGCTGACGATCCATGGCAGGAAGGTTGCTGTAACTCACATCATGCTGCGGCTGATAAAAGACACGACCAGCATCACGGCCCAGTTGGGCACAACGGTGAAAAACCAGATGACGTAGGCGAACGGGACGCTGAGGCCAAACTCGGCAAACTTGCCGTTGAAAGGGTGGAACACGCTCTCGTTCACCTTCCAGTCCTCCTTGTTGCCCTTGACGTATCCCTCCTCATAGAGGTCCATGATGGTCTGGGGAGTGGTGGTGTTATGGGACAGACGCTTGATGACGATCTCGACAGGGGCGGGGGCCGGCAGCATCTTGAAGGTCCAGATGGACGGCGCCGAGCACGACCACACGGTGCACAGCAGTGCGTTGTCCTCGCAGTTAAGGAAGCCAAGGTGCGGCGACTTTTCAAGGGCGGCAATCTTGGGTGCCGTATCGTTCCACGCAGCCTCGGCCTGTTCGCATCGGCCTGGGCGACGAAACCACACTTGTTAGCGCAACTGCCCTCGGACAAGACAGAACGCCGCGAGGGCTATATGAGGTCAGGAGTTCAGACACTACGTACCCCAGCAGGTCTTGTTACGGCCAGTAACCATTACCCACCACTCCTCGGGCTCCAGCGCCTCGGGCCTGACCGGTCCGTACAGCGTGTCCTTCCAGTTCTCCATAGTGAAGACTTGAATAGGCTTTGCAGGAACGGCTACCTTGGGTGCGGCCGTGGCATCTTCTGGCTGCACCGTCTCGGCCGCTGGGGCGGAGCCCGGAACGGTGGCGCCGAATTGGCCCATGAAGTTCTGGAACTTGGCCTTGTACTGGTCAAAGGCGCCCTCGGCCGAGACGCCGAGCACTGGGAGCGCCAGGGCGAGGGATGTGGAGAGGCGCATGATGAATGAGCTGCAGGACAACGATGAACAAAGAATGGGGATCGCTCGACAAATGGAGTGTTGGAGCGAGGGATTTGGAGCTGTTGAGTTAAAAAGCAACCCGCGGATGATGTAAGGCAGCGTGAGGGGTTCGGGGTTCAGCTGCTAGCGGACAAAGCTGGCACTGGTGCCTGGTCGAAGATCCGGGGTCAAGCGGTGCAACCACACTACCCTCTTCGTCCGTGAGACGATCGAGCGACAACGATCGATACAATTAAAAGATTTCTTAGACTCAAAAAAGCGTCTGCGGCCGTGAGTGATACAAATTACCGTGCTGAAAACGCCGGGAAATTAGACAGCCGTTGGAGAGTTGGCCCTGGTGTTGTATGGATCGCAATCCTGGGTCTGGGGAAATGGACAGCACGACTTCAACAAACCATGGGGTTGTCCAGGGAGCCACGCAGTCCTTCGGGGTCTGGCCCGCGGTTCCAGGGATGGTGTCGAATCAAACTGTTTCACCAGCCACAAACGCCACATTTGTGGCCATAGCTTCAACAGCTGCGTTGCGACGAATCTCGGTTGGCCCGCTTTGAGTGGAGTGAGTCCCTAGCCTGGCTGATGCGGCGGCGGTTTGACGCGAAGAGCTCGCGGTCCAACAATTCGCAATGCCGATGCTGTTTCGCTGCCGGTCACCTAAACCATATTCATAGCTGCACGTGCTTTTGCTGCGATGGTGAGTCGTAAATACCATCCCGCCCCTACTTTGTTGCAATTCTGACCCTTAACCTCCTAGCCACCAGCTTCGCGAGCTCAGAAGCGCAAACACGAGCCGCCAGACGCGTCGCAAGATGTCGCCGACGCGTCAATTGCCCGGGCTAGGCGCGCGATGAGGCGCCAGCCCACCACTGCCCAGACTGCTCCCGCCGAAACGGAATCCGGAGACACAGCGCGCTCCCACAAGCGACATCGTTCGAACCAGACCGTGGACCCCGCCCTCGACGATAGCATAGTTGATGCCACCAAGCCGAGGAAGAGGGGTAGGCCATCCCGCGCCGCGCCTGTTGTGGATGATGATGTAACCCCTGCTGCTGCTGCCGCTGCTGCGCCAAAGAGAAGAGGCAGGCCATCAACGAAACCCACCACCGCTACCGAACCCGAACCGCGCCCCGAGCCTGACCCTCCCCCGCCGCACGCAAAAGAGCCGGACGATGTGCCTCGCGGGGGCAAGCAACGGGGCAGGAAGAAGGCGTCGGCAGTGACTCGGGAGGAAGCGGAGGAAGCTGATGTCTCCCAGGAGGCTGGAAAGGCCGGAGCCCCGTACAGGCGATCCAAGAGGTCGTCCCAAACGTCGGGCGCCAACACCTCCGCCCCGGGACCAGATAATCCAGCCGAGTTATTGTCCGCCGAAGCAGCAGGCGCCTCTAAGAGAAAGCGCGGCCGGCCCTCTCTCTCTAGCCTTGCTATACAAGAGACCCAGAACCAGAGGCCCTCGTCCCCAGGACCACAACAAGGTCCAAAGAAGAAACGCGGGCGTCCATCCTTGATTGGACAGCAGGCTAGGGAACCGCCAGAAGCAGAAGTGGCAGAAGGATCTCAGACAGCGGATCCTGATGCGGCGACCGCGCAGGACAGACAGCCCACTCGCAGACGCCAGCGTCGATCAGAACCAGAGGCCGCAGGCAACCAAGAGCAGAGTCAAGGGGCGGCGGAGGCAGATGCAGAGCCAGAATCCACTGCCCGCCCCAGGAAAAAGCGGCCATCAACACAGGCCGCAGATGCGGCAGAAGAGGAGGCCGGCGGGCACCCAGGGCCAACATTCGACTCCAAATACCAGTACATCCAGGAGTGCATGCAGCTGGTGCCACGATCGAAGATCGCCGCCAAGTGGGGCCCGCTTGATGCGGCTTCCATCGACGCCGTGCGGGCCATGTTGCTTGATGCCCAGCGCCCCGTCCTATACCACCTCCGCGACACCCAAAGACGCCAAGAGGCTGCCTCCTCTATCCTCTCGGCGGTGTGCGGGAGGATCCAGAGAAAACTGGGGAGGGGTTTGCCATTCCCACCACCTGCGTTTGCCGCAGGAGGGGCTGGCCGCGGTGCATCCGCGTCAGCAGGCCAGCTCAGGTCCGGCCATGAGATCGAGCTGGATTACGAGCGGGCCGTGGACGCGGCCCAGGCGCTCGAGGATCAGCTCAATCCTTCCCTCCATGCCGTGGAGCTGCTCAAGGCCGAGATAGAGAAGGAGGAGCGCCTGCTGGAAAATGACTACAAGGTCCTGCGGCAGCTAGAGACAAACGCACGAGACGAGGCGCGAGAATGGAAGAAGAACCTAAGAACGTCTCACGTATTGGCGCCAGACGTTCAAAGCCGCGAGCCTCCCACTATTGGCCTGATCTTGGCTGAGAGACAGTCAGGCGGGCTTTACAAGGTTTGTGCTGCATCATCCTCCTGTCATCCCACGTGTCGACAGCTGATATACTGACAGTTCATGTAGGATCTGGACGACAAGGAGCTTCTTGGGCTCTCGCAACAGATGAATAACCACCTGGATAGCATGAGGGGGAACCTGCAGCAAATCGGCCCTCTTCTACCAGCCATCACGAAAAGCAAGGCGGCGCTCCACGAGGTGCTGCTGCGGCATTTGGATCCGGGCCAGTGTGATGCTGTTCTACTCGGTTGAAGCGTATCAGGGGTGTATGCTTGCTTGGATAACTCTTGTTCTTGCTGTACTTTGTTTGTATCTTAACATTATGACCGGGAACGATCGTCCACGAATCTATGTCTTGACGATTAGCGAGGTCGAGGTCGGGTGGGGGGGTCTGTCTGGTGGCACGATGAGAAGCGCATCGACAAAGGAATGTTGCCAGAGGTGCGCTTCGGCCATGTACGCGTTGTTTCTGCAGAGCCCGCTGCCCGGTGGCACCACGTCAGGCCCTCCACTGCAGCAGCATTGCAGAGCCGGACTGGAGACCTGAGGGGCCTGGGCGCTGCAGCAATCCCTGCCTTGGCAGACACAATGAGCGTCTCGCCTCACTCCCACACCGATCCTCAATCCCAGGCGGCGGGGGGAAGTCCGCCATGGTACCTCAAGGGACCGCAGGCATCCCCGCCAGCACGCAGCAGCAGCCGCCCCTAGACGGCCACAGGCTTGCCTTCCGTGGTAGCTGCGTGGGGCATGCGGGGGCCCGACCTTTGCTTTTTTTTTTTTCCCTCCTGCTAGTTGGCATGTACGAAAATGCGCCGGCACGGGTTGGGGGTTGAGGGACTTGATCTAGTCAGTAACCAGTCTGTCGATTCCGTAGCCCCACAGAGACTAAGCCGTATTGCATTGGATCGACCAGCCTCAATATTGGATGCCCAGCGGATGGTGGGTGGTGGGTGGGAGTGGGAGTGGTGGGCAAAGTTGGGGTTGGGGGACGCATCTGCAGCTGCACCTCTTTTCCTGACAAGCTTCAGTCCGTGTGAATATCAAGTGCAGGAAACGGCAGAGCTAGCTTCTGGTTTACTGTAGCAGCTGCAACAATGCCTGCAACAATACCTGCAACAATGCCTGCAATAATGCAAGCCACCAAGCCTATGCGTGCATCCCAAATGCTGGACTGCTAGCGACACAGGCATCGTGTTTTGCGCAGATTTCCCCCACAAGTCAGTCCTCGGATTCCGCGGCGAGGAGGCTAATATGCAGAAGCCAGCACCAAGCTAGCACGTCCTGCCGTTGAGCATTGACGCCATCGGCCCCTCCATGCTAGAAAGTTTACCTGAGGCGAGACGTCTAGACCACCATACGGGACCCTGCCCCACCATGCAGCACCGCTGGGACCAAGCTGGTGAGGGGCAGAACGAGAAGAGAGAAAAAAAAGAAAAAAAAGGGGAGAAACCTGGGAAATATTGAGGATCTTCACTGATTGAGCTTATTCTCGCTCGCTTTCCGTGGAAACGCAAGCTTACCCCACCCCGCTTTCGGACCTCTGTAACCACCACCATCCCACCTCGCAAGCTCCCCTGGTCGCTTGTCTCACAGTCGTCCAGTCTTGCGCCCAACCATTGTAGCTCTCGGCCATCCGTTAGTCGTACACCGCTCTCTTTCCCGGCCCTCGCCATCCCATCCCAACCACGCCTGCTGCTACCTACCTGGCCTCCGTGCCTCCCTGGTGGAGCCGAGAAGGCCGTGTGCCTGGTTGGAGCTGGCTGTGCCCCACTTGCTCTGTGCCCGCTGAGATACAAAACTGCCCTTCCACCTCGATCCCAATCCCCTTCTGCCTCTCGTCTCTCGTCCCTCATCTCCCTTCTCCTCTTGTTTCTTCCCCCGTCTTGCTCCATCTCACTCCGCCGGGGAGACTGAACGCAAAGAAAACACCACGTACGCAATTCCCCGCCTAGACCCGTCTTCCACAGCAACACCCGCCCATAGTCTTCCCCTACTGACATCAGCCTCAGAAAGCTACCAGTTGCCGGACAACAAAACTGCCCAGCATGGTTCAGTCAGCAATCCTCGGTTTCCCCCGCATGGGTGTCAACCGTGACCTGAAGAAGGCCACGGAAGCCTGTATGTTATAGAGATACACCCTCTCGCGGGACAGGTTCCTAGAGCTCGGGGCATATTGCTGACGACAATTCTAGACTGGGGTGGCAAGATCTCGCAGGATGAGCTCCTGGCCGAGGCCAAGAGGCTGAGGCTCGCACATTGGAAGATCCAGAAGGATGCCGGTGTCGACAGCATCCCCAGCAACGACTTTGCCCTGTACGACCATGTCCTTTCCCACATCCAGGACTTTGGTGTAAGTATCAATGCCCCAAATCTGTCTTCCGATGCGTCTAGAGTAAGCCCTAGCAGCTCCCGGGTTCAATGACGCTAACGCAAGCGACTGGATCAACAGGCTGTCCCCGAGCGCTACTCTAGCTCCAAACTGAACCCCGTCGACGAGTACTTCGCCATGGGCCGTGGCCACCAGAAGGACGGTGTCGATGTTCCCAGCTTGGAGATGGTCAAGTGGTTTGACTCCAACTACCACTACGTCAAGCCGACCCTGCAGAACAACCAGACCTTCAAGCTGACGGCCAACCCCAAGGCCGTTGCTGAGTTCAAGGAGGCCAAGGAGGCTGGCATTACCACCCGCCCTGTCCTGGTTGGACCCGTGTCCTTCCTTCACCTGGCCAAGGCCGACCGCGACCAGACCGTCGACCCCATTGACCTGCTTGACAAGCTGGTCCCCATCTACGAGGACCTGCTCACTCAGCTGAAGGCCGCCGGCGCCGAGACGGTCCAGATCGACGAGCCCGTCCTCGTCTTCGACCTGCCCGCCAAGGCCAAGGCTGCCTTCAAGCCCACGTACGAGAAGTTTGCCAGCCTGGGCGACAAGATCCCCAAGCTGGTCTTTGCCACCTACTTTGGCGACATCGTTCACAACCTCGAGGCCGTCCCCAAGGACATCTATGCCGTCCACGTCGATCTCGTCCGTAACCCTGAGCAGCTGGAGGCGGTCGTCGGTGCCCTGGGCTCCAAGACTATCCTGTCCGCCGGTGTCGTTGATGGCCGCAACATCTGGAAGACCAACTTCAAGCGCGCCATTGAGACCGTTGAGAGCGCCATCCAGAAGCTCGGCAAGGAGCGTGTCATCGTCGCCACCTCGAGCTCTCTCCTCCACACACCCCACACCCTGGCCAGCGAGAAGAAGCTTGACGCTGAGATTGCCGACTGGTTCTCGTTCGCCTCGGAGAAGGCTATCGAGGTTGCCATCATCGCCAAGGCTGTGACTGACGGCCCTGCTTCGGTGCGCGAGCAGCTTGAGGCCAACGCCAAGTCGATGCAGGCCCGTGCCACCTCGGCCCGCACCAACGACCCAAAGGTCAAGGAGAGGCAGTCAAAGATCGTCGAGTCCGACTACAACCGCAAGTCGGAGTTCCCCGTTCGCATTGCGGCGCAGCAGAAGAAGCTGAACCTGCCCCTGTTCCCCACCACCACCATTGGCTCGTTCCCCCAGACCTCGACCATCCGCGCTCAGCGTGCCAAGCTCACCAAGAAGGAGATCTCGACTCAGCAGTATGACAAGTTCATTGAGGAGGAGATCGAAAACAACGTCAAGATTCAGGAGGAGCTGGGCCTGGACGTCTTTGTTCACGGTGAGCCCGAGCGCAACGACATGGTGCAGTTCTTTGGCGAGCGTCTTGATGGCTACGCCTTCACCACCCACGCCTGGGTTCAGAGCTACGGCTCGCGCTGCGTGCGGCCTCCCATCATCGTCGGCGACATTTCTCGCCCGGCCCCTATGACTGTGAAAGAGAGCAAGCACGCCGTAAAAGTGTCAAAGAAGCCGATGAAGGGCATGCTGACGGGCCCCGTCACGTGCCTGCGGTGGTCGTTCCCTCGTGACGACGTTCACCAGTCGGTTCAGGCCGAGCAGCTCGCCCTGGCTCTGCGCGACGAGGTTGTCGACCTCGAGAAGGCCGGCATCGATGTCATCCAGGTCGACGAGCCGGCTCTGCGTGAGGGTCTGCCGCTGCGCTCTGGCAAGGAGCGTGATGCCTACCTCAAGTGGGCCGTCAAGGCCTTCAAGCTGTCGACCTGCGGTGTTGAGGACCCGACCCAGATCCACTCGCACTTCTGCTACTCGGAGTTCCAGGACTTCTTCCACGCCATCGCTGCCCTCGACGCCGATGTTCTGTCCATCGAGAACAGCAAGTCGGACGCCAAGTTGCTCAAGGTCTTCGTCGAGGAGGCCTACCCCCGCCACATCGGCCCGGGTGTATACGACATCCACTCCCCGCGTGTCCCCAGCGAGCAGGAGATCAAGGACCGCATCGAGGAGATGCTCCAGTTCCTCAAGCCGGAGCAGCTTTGGATCGACCCCGACTGCGGTCTCAAGACGCGCCAGTGGAAGGAGACCAAGGAGGCACTCCAAAACATGGTCAACGCCGCCAAGTACTTCCGCGCCAAGTACTCCAAGTAAATAAGACTTGGTTAAAGCAAGGCTTGCCCCGCTTTCTTCTCTTCGTGTGTAGAGATTTTTCACGTTTTCTTAGGGCGAGGATACTACCCCCTTATTTCGCTTCTCTTTTCATGTCTTCTTTTTGGGATTTCGGCAAACGACTTCAACAGCGGCGTTTTACCATTTCATCTTTGGGACTAGCGTTGGTCAAACATATGAGACAAAAGTAGAGGGTCTCCGGGAAATCGGTGTTTTGGCGGTTGGGAGCGGTTTTAACAACGGCGAAAGGGGAGGGGATTCAACATATCAGAGGGATTACAGAAAAGTCCGGAGACCTCTAGGGATATCGCCCATCAACCGGGCATCCCGCTAACGATCATACCCGCATTGCTTTGAATTTCAATCAATAATGCAACATTACGAATGCGTTTCGCCAGAAATATCTTGCCCGGATTTACTGAGTTGTGCTGGTCGTCAATTATGGGTAAAAGTGAATGAGGTGTAGGGATGGCCTGTTCCGCTAGGGTTGTAAACTTGGATGTAAATGCGCAGGCACGCCCGTCACAAAAAAGCGGTAATCTTACAGGTCCCAGGAATGACGATTGTTAGTGACATGGCCTTTCCTAATCTTTTTTTTGTGGTGGGCGTGGCAGGACACAATATCTACAGCGCCGTGTCCAGTTGGTGACGTTGACTCCCTCGCATACCCCTAGTTTGGATATAACGGGAAAACGGACCATTAACCACACCATATGACACACAATGGCAACATGCTACGAGTAGATTGGCTGAGGGCAGCTGGTTTCTATAGCGTAGCCAAGGCTACCAGGTCAGGGAAGAAGGGATTACGAGTGGCATGTAAGATGAAATATGATGCTTGGTAGGCTCTCAAAAGACCACGGTGGGTGAAATAGGTAAACAAACATGCATACATACATACAGCAAAAGGACGACAAAACCAAAATAACCAACATCTCAATGCAAACCACTCCCACGTGGTCACACACACACCCTTACTCGGCCGTCAGCTCGGCAATGCGCCTCTCAATCTCGGGCACCTGGCGCAGCTTGACCTCGAGGTCCTCCTTCTCGTCCTCGAGGCGGAGGCGGGCGTCGGCGTCGAGGCCGGTGAAGACGTAGTTGCCCTGGCCGTCGAACTGCAGGATGCGGCTGTGGTACTTCCACAGGCTGCGGCGGTGGCTGACCGTCATGAGGGTGACGCCGAGGGCCTTTGCGTTGTCGTACATGACCTTCTCCGTCTCGAGCGTGACGCTCGAGGTGCACTCGTCCAGGATGGCGTAGCGCGGCCGGTGGTAGAAGAGCCGGGCCATGGCGACGCGCTGCTGCAGGCCGCCGCTGAGCACGTCGCGCCACTCGGCCTCGGCGTCCCAGCCCTCGGGGTACAGGTCGACGAGGTGCTCGAGGTTGAGGATCCGGAGGATGGCCAGGAGGTCCGCGTCCGAGACGCCCTTGGCCCGCACCGCGCGGAGGCCGTCCGGGTACGTGATTTGCTGCCGCAGCGAGCCGCGCGACAGGTAGGGGCGCTGCGGGATGTAGAAGATGGACGTGAAAGCCGGCTTGTGGACAGTGCCACCGTAGACGGGCCAGAGGCCGCCCAGGATGCGGAACAGCGACGACTTGCCGCAGCCGTTGGGGCCCACGACCAGGAGGTGGTCGCCCTGCTTGAGGGAGAAGGACAGGGCCTTGACGAGGACGTCGCCGTTGGGGGAGATGATGGGGCTAGCGAGGCTGGGTCAGTATCCTAGGGGGTATCTAGCAGCTGGTGGTTGAGAATAGAATGCACTTACACGTCGATAAACTCGATATCCTCGCTCTCCACAATCTTGCCGCGGCCCTTGAGCACGGCGGCGTTGTCCTCGGTGCCCGAGGCCGAGACCAGCTTCTTCTTGAAGTGGCCGGCCTGGATGTCGTCCATGACGCCGAGCAGTGAGGCGACGCGCGACGTGTAGCCCGCAAGCTCCATGACCTCGCGGTACGAGAACATGATGCGGCCAAAGGCGTCCGAGGCAGACAGCAGCATGCGGCGGTTGGTCACGAAGCTCTCGGTGCGGTCGCCCATGTTCATGGAGACGTGGCCAGGCAGCTTGACGAAGACGGGCACCGAGCACAGCATCAGGCCCAGGGCGCCCCAGAAGTACTTGATGACAAAGTCCTCCATGAAACCGTGGTAGAAGCGGCGCCGGAGGATGTAGTTGACGTGCTTGATCAGGGTGAAGTAGCCCTTGTCGAGCGTATTCTTCTCGGCCTCGTGGCCCGCATAGAGCGCCACCTCCTCGCAGTGATCGATCAGGCGCGAGTGCTGGAATCGGAACTCGCCCTCGAGCCGGGCCTCGTCGGCCACGTATTTGCCGAACGGCGGCGTCAGTGCCCTCATGACGCTGGCAGAGAGCTGCACCAGAAGCGACATGAAGACGACGCCCTCGCCACCCACGCTTCTTGATAGAGAGTGAGTGTAGATTGTCTGTTGGTTGGCACGTTAGTATTTGTACCAAGGAGTGGACAGCAAGGTAGAAAATGGGAAGCGGAATACGAACCATGTCTAGGAGCGGCTTGGCCAAGTTGCTGTATACCTCTGCCAAACTGTTGGAAAACTTGGCAACATCCACAGCAATCAGCTGGTCGGCGTTCTTTATCCTGTCGTCCAGGGCCGAGATGCCGTAAAATGTGAGTTTGGACAGATACTTGTCGTGTATGTGCTGCGTTAACCTTGTCCGGTACTTGAGGGAGAGCTCCGCTTGGTGATAAGAGAGCTGTCGACACGATATGGTTAGCTGTGTGCGCCATCCGTCTTAGTTCCTGAAGAGACAAGAAACGCACCATGGAGTTGGTAAAGGTAGCCGGCACAGCAATCAACATCCACCACACGATTCGCTTCAGGAACTCCTTGCCGTTTCCCTTGACGAGGCTCTTGACGATGGCGCCGTCCATGGCGGCGACCTTGAGGCTGATGAGCGTGCGCACTACCAGGAAGAAGCTGTGGCTAATGAGCAGGCGCGTCTCCTTGCTACGCCAGCCGGGCACCACGATGCGGACCAGCTTGAGCAGCGAGCGGAAGAACTCGCGGTTCAGCTCCACCTTTTTGCGCTTCTTGCCCGCCGCCGCCGCCGTTCCTCCTCGCCCCCTCTTGCCGCCCTTTGCGGCGGCGGCGGCGGCGGCATCACCACCACCTTCCACGTCGTCGCCCTCGTCCTCGTCGTCGTCGGCGGCCAGGCTCGACGTGCCCGTGTCGGCGTCGCGGGCCTCGCGCTCGCGCTGCGAGGCGGCCTTTTGCTCGGCGACGGCGGCGCGCACGCGGTGCACGAGGGCGACGAGAAGGGTGAGGTAGACGGCGCGCGAGATGCGGGTGCGGTGCGACAGGTACGTCTGCGTGAGCTGGGCCACGATAGCGCGCGCCGTCGCGCCGGGCGACGCCGACGCCGCCGCGGCCGCCGCCCCCAGCCGCGCCGAAAGCTTGGACTGCGCCGCCATCTAGTGTCTGGCCTTTTTTTTCCTCCCCACCCGCCTCTCGCTCTCTCTCTCTTCCTCGCTCTCGCACTGCTACGCGCGCGACCTGTGGCTTCTAGGCCCGGTCAATTGCCGTTGGGATTCGCGCGATGGTGGTTTGAGATGAGGCGAGGATCAGGTGGGAGGCTCGTCGGCTGGTGGGAGAAGGAGGCGGGGGTCTCCCGAAAGGTCCGGGTTCGACGGTGAGCTAGGTGGTTGGGGGTCAGGAGGTGTCGCTGACGGCCGAGGCGGGAGTTCTCGGAGCTGGCGAGGTGGCGCGTGGCCGTTCAACGTTGGCGAGATTCAAGAGAGAAGAAGGAAGAGGCGCGCCAGCTCCCAGCATGGTGGTCTGTACAAGGGCGGCGCTACGAGCCAACAGTCGAAACGGAGCAGCTCTAGCAAAGGTCTCCCGAGCTGGCCTGTGTTTTTGTTGCGGCTCCCAATTCCGTAATTCGTCCACCATTCCCATTCCCTCGGCAGGCGGGTTGGCGTCAGCGTGCGCCCTCCAACCGGGGGGTAGGCTGCTTCCACACTCGTCCCCACACAACCACAAAAAAACGGAGCCGCACGCTTCAACCGTCTGAGCCGCGGCGCCGGAACGCATGTGATTGTCTGGGGGCGCCAAATCCGGGGGTGTGGGCCGTGCGTGCTGCATTGGGCGGGCTGTGATTGGCCCGTGCATGTGTGGCTGGTGGCCGGTGGCAGCCCGCACTCCGTTTTCAATAGTGGCTTGCGTGCTCGTCACCGCACCACATGAAATCGCCCTCCGCCTCCTTATCCTTATCCCCCCCCTTCAGCACTAACACCGATGCGCCGCCAGCCATGCCCGGTCTTTTGAGTCTTCTGCTGGGCGCCCTCGCCCTCACGCGGCAGGCCACGGCAAATGTGGAAAAGACGATATTCCTGGGCCCCGAGACCATCAACATGCCCCAACAGGGCCCGACTTTTGGGAGCCTGCGCCTCGACGTGCTGAGCCCGGCTGCCGACTTGACCGTCAGGACCCACCTCCAGGCCGAGTTCCCCAACGGCACCAGCGGCAGCCGGGGGAGGGCCACATGGCTCCTGCTCGACGACCTGACCCCTGGCCAGCGCTACGAGGTCAGGGTGTGCTGGGCCGCCACTGTAGGGCACATTCGCTTTCTTCTTTTTAGGCGTATACATGACTGGTTGTCCTGCATGACATGATCTGACATGCGAACCTGTAGCAACCAACCGCATTCACCCTGGAAGCGTATGAGATCCCGGTGGTGTGGGAAACCCCAGCCCTGATCTCGTCCCTGGCCGAGTATTCCTCATCACGCATACAAGAGGACGAGGCCGAAGATGATGTTGTGGACAAGCAAGGCAGCAAGCCCGGAAAGCCGAGGAAAACGAGCCCGCAATCCAGAGGCAAGGAACACCAGGCCTCGATGTTGCTGCTCCAGATCCTTGCGGCCGCCGACTACTACACCGACAACCAGACCCTGATGAGCAACGTGGCGCCCGTGCACGTCGACATCATCCTGGACCCATTTATCCTGAACGTCTTGCCCCAATCCCTTGCCCCGACCGTGGTGTACGTCCTCTTTGTCGCGGCCATCTTTTGGTTCGTTGCCCAGCGGGCCGCGGCCTGGGTACAGAAGCTGGCCGTCGACGGCTCCCGGCCGCAGTCATCCAAGAAGGAGCAGTGAGCCGCCACGCCCACCACAAAAAAGATGGCAGTCGCACCTACAAGACGGGGGGAATAGGAATAAGAATAATAAGAGAAATAAGAATAAGCTTAAGCTTATATAGGAAAGTTACATAAGAAATCTCACAGAGGAAAACTACATAGGAAATGTCACATAAGAAAGTTCAAGGCACTACATTGCCACCTTACGAAATTTTATTGTTCCAGAATTTAATCCATGTTTAACCAGCGAACTCAAATTCGACTCTTGACAGAACCTCATGGTCAAGTGGCAAGCTCCCAAGCAGTATCCCCCGCTGTTTTCGCTCTCTTGCCACCGATGCCTCAAAACGTGGTATATTGTTAAATAACGTCCCTGCCGATAGAACGCTGGGTCATATCTCGATTACTAGTATGGTGGACGACTTTGATAACCTGGCTGGCTGGGCGGAGGAGGGTGGCCGGGGTAAGCAGGCTGGTGAGCGTACTGATGCTGGCCGCCATAGGGAGGTTGAGGTTGAGGCTGATGGTGTTCGTATTGCGGCTGACCTCCGTACGTGGATCGTTGCGCGTAGCCTCCGTACGGGGCCGGCGGCTGTTGGTGCGGAGGCTGCTGGTATGCCGGTGAGTGCTGTGGTTGTTGAAACGACGGCGACTGCTGCGGCTGATGGTACGACGGGGAAGGCTGCGAGTGGGGGGCCGGGGCGGAGCGGGCAGTGGGCGATGTGCCAGGTTGAGAGGGTGGCTGGTAGGATATCGGAGGCGCAGTGCCCGAGTAGCTAGCAGGCCCAGCATTGGAGTAGCCAAAGTTTCCGCTCTGTTGTTTTGCAGCTCGTCGTCACCGGTCAGCCCAGCCGGCGCATATCATCACTCATGATGCGACATGCAAAACGTACCGGTTTTCCCTGGCTCCCACCAAACATGGTGGCGACGCCTCCCATGACAGCACCCGCGAGACCGCCTGACGAGTGCGGCCCCGTCTGCGGCGCGCCGTGGTAGCTTTGGGGCTGCGGCTTGTCCCCGCCAGACGAAAACAAACTCGAGGCAAGGCCACTGACGAGTTTGCCGCCGAAGTTGCCAGCGCCACCGCCGCCGCCGCCGCCACCTTGTTTACCGGCGAATGAGTTGAGAGCGTTTTGTGCAAAGGACTAGAGTGTAGATAAACCGTGTTAGACAGCCCGCATCCAGGCGATACCGGATCCCACCAGAAGATGTGAGACGGGCAGGAGAGAAGCTTACGCCAAGGCCCCTGTCACCACTAGGTCCGTCCATTCCGCGGGTGCCCTCGAGTGCTCCGGCGGTGCCTGGTGGGAGGATGGGTTCCAGCCTGCCGTCTGCGTGCTGTATGGTCTGACTACCGTCGGGGTGAGTTATTATGCGCGGCTGCTGGGCGGGGGATGCGCCCGAGGGGGGGATGCCGTAGGGGTGATTGACGGAGCTGTTGGCCGGGGTGCTGATGGCGGTGGGCGCGGGCTGCGTCGGCACGTCCCACTGCGAGCGACCGGTGCCAAGCTCGACGTAATAGTACTTGCGCGTGGACTCGTCCCACTGCGCGATCCAGCCTGACGGGAGAGGTGGTGGGGCGACAGAGGGACCTGGCGCGCTGGGTGACGCTGTGCCGGCCATTTATGTGTTTTCCGGAAGGGGGCTGGCGGCTGCTGCGTGTCTCTGCTGCTGGGCGGGGGAGAGCACGGGCGTGCGGGAGGGCAGGAGCTGTGGTGTGCCCCGAGGCTCGGTGGTGGCTGGGCACCTGGGTCAGTGGCTTCGCCCCAACCGGAGGAATGCGGGCGCGGTCGCAAAGGGGAAATGATGGCGCCGAGCGGCGAGTGGGAGGCAGCAGCGTCGGGTGGCAAGGACCCCGACCCTTGGCTGTTGGTGCTGGCTGGCAGGATCTTAGTTTGGGGTTAGAATTCGAGCGAGCGCGCGGCTGGAGCTGGTGGCGGCGCGCGCACTGACTGGGGGTTAAATGTATTTTTCGATTTGCGTCAAATCAATCTTTCAGCTCGACAGGCGGGGTCGCTCTTGCCGGGGTCGCCTGGCTGGGGTGCTGGGGTCAGGTCTCACTTGGGCGCCGCCTAGTGGCGATAAAAACACGCGCTCAGCACGACACCAGCCCCCAGGCGAGATGGAGACGACGCGACCGAAGTCTGGTCAGATTGGGCTGCCACGCTGCTTACCACCTTGGGCAGCCCGCAAGGTCCATGTTGCTCGCTGACACGGGCATGAATGAGAGCATGAAGGCTGGTGGAGGCAAGTGCGAGTGAAGCTCACGCCTGCCCTCATCAGCCCCGCCCACGCAATTTGATCAAGCCCTCCATCTCCTAGCGGGGATGGCAGATGGAGCAGGCTGTGGATTTACCCCGTTAAAACAGGATCGAGGCCCAGTGGCATGATGGGGAAGGTGGGAAACCGGCACAACACCCTGCCTGACTGCTTTTCGTAGTTGTTTCTGTCCCATTGATGCTGTCCCATTGATGCTGCCCCCGCCTGCCACTTCGTCCCATGTGGTCTTTCCATCGTTAGTGTTGATGTCAGACAGAGTCGTGTAAGAAGAGCGGAGAGCCATCACTATCGGTTCATTTGGCCTGGATAACCCCTTTTCATCACCCAAACACAAATCGAGTCGCCATGGCGCAGGACGGCAGTGTATTGTCTGGCAAACTCGCCCTCATTACGGGTGCCTCTGGAGGGTGTGTTTATATCCTGTGTCTTCCCAGAGGTAAAACAAGACCCCCGAATGGCTGACCACCCCCAGGATCGGCGCGGCCGTCTCCAAGGACCTCTGGGCGCTGGGCGTCGACCTCGCGCTCACGTATTGGTCGTCGCGGGACAAGATCGACGCCCTGGTGACGGAGCTGGAGGCGGCGCCGGCGCGGGCCGACGCCAAGATCTCGGTGCACCGCATAGACATGGGCACCAACGACGACCCGGACTTTGACTTTCTGTTCGACGAGATCGAGCAGCTGCAGGCGCGGAGGCCCGACATACTGGTGGCCAACGCCGGCTACGGCAAGCGCAAGACGTACATCGAGGACATCGACCTGGACGAGTTCGACTACATGGTGCGCGTCAACCTGCGCTCGCCCTTTGTGCTGGCCAAGCACTGCGTGCCCGCCATGGCCAGGAGGGGCTGGGGCCGCCTCGTGTTCGTGTCGTCCATCGCCGCCGTCGGCGGCGGCATCAACGGGCCCCACTACGCCGCCAGCAAGGGCGGCCTGTCGGGCATGATGCGCAACCTGGCGGCGCGCTACGCCAAGGACGGCATCACGGCGAACGACGTCGCCCCCGCCATGATCGGCGAGACGGGCATGATCGGCGGGCCGCGCGACGTCGAGGGCACGCCGGGAGACGTCAAGAACATACCCGTCGGCCGCCTCGGCACGCCCAAGGAGGTCGCAAACGTGGTCACGATGCTGTGTCAGACGGGCTACATGACGGGGCAGAGCATCCTGCTTAGCGGAGGGCTAAAGTGATCTAGATGCGCATGTATTTAGAGGCCGTCTACTATGTATGAGCTTTGTTGTGTTCTTTTTAGGTACCAGCTCATCTCTACCATGATATGAAAAGGAAGCGCGCCACCAGTCTAATTTTACAAGCACCACCGAAAGTCGGGCGACGCCGGCCCGTCGCGCAGCTTCTCCGTCGGCACGTCGATGGGCCTGACCTTGACGCCCTGGGCCGCGTCGCGCCTCCCGTTGTCCCACATCATGTACAGGCCCAGCGCGACGGTGAGCAGGCCGCCGAGGCCGCCGAAGGCGGCCGTCGTGGCCAGGGCGGGCAGGTACTTTGGCGCGTCCTTGTTGAGGAAGATGTTTGAGCTCACGACGCCCATGAGGTTGGCGACGGGCACGGCGATGCTGGTCAGGACGACGCGCTTGCCCTCGTGGGCGATGTTGTTGTTGTACAGCACGTCGAGCAGCACGCTGGGCGCCGACGTGCCCCACGTCATCATGAAGGACGCGAAGTAGGCCACCATCTGCTGGCTGCCCAGCACGTCGTCGAGCCCGGCGTAGACGGCCATGCCGACAAAGGTGAAGAGGAAGCCGAGGGCGACAAAGGGGAAGCGCAGGCGCGTGTAGTCGCTCGCAAAGGCCAGGACCAGCAGCATGACGGCGCCCGTGACGTTTGGCGCGACCGTGTACAGGTTCGTCTTTGCGGGCCCGTAGCCGAGCCGCTGCACGATCTGGGGCAGGAACAGGTTGACCGACTGCAGCGGCACGCCGAGGCACATCTGGATTGCGAGGATGAGCCACGAGGTCCAGTGCTTGAAGATGGAGAGCGACTCGCGGATGTTGAGTTTCTCGTTGACGACGGACGAGCTATCCATCTGCATGCGGTGGTGGGCCAGCCGGCGCTCGTCCTCGGTCAGGAAGCGCGCCTCGGACGCGGACAGGGGTAGGTACCAAAAGGCAAAGACGGAAAATGCCACGGTCCCCGCCCCTTCGATGACGAACAGGTAGCGCCACGGCTCGATGGCGCCGCCCTGGATCTGGAAGACGCCAAAGGACAGCAGGCCGCCAAAGGCGGATGCGATGCTCTGGGCGGCGTAGAAGATGGCCAGGCGGCGGGCCAGCTCGCCGCGGCGGTAGAACATGGTCTGGTAGTAGATGACGAGGGGGAAGAAGGCGCTCTCGGCCATGCCCAGGAACCAGCGCAGCGCGAAGAGGCCACTGAAGTTGTGCGTCACCACGACGAGCAGCGTGGCCATGCCGAAGCAGAACATCATGCACGGCAGCACGCGGCTCGGCCCATACTTCTTGCCGACGATGCCGAGGAACGGGGCCGTGAGGACGTAGGGGATGAAGAATACGGAGAGCAGGATGTTGTAGTCGTTGCCCTGCAGGCCCAGCGACTTCTCGAGGCCGTTGGTCTTGGCGTTGCCCAGGTTGCTCTTGTCGAGCGAGTTGAAGAGGTACATGACGGATAGCACCGGCAGCAGCCGCAGGTCGAACTTCCATACCAGCGAGCGCTCCGCCTTGGGGTCGATGTTGAAGGGGTCCGAGGTCGCGGCGGTGGTAGCGGCGGGCCCGCTTAGGACGACGCCGACGCCCGTCACACTCTCGGGCTTGCTGTCGGTTGTTGCCTTTTCCGCCGCGTCCATATCGGCGGGCGTCTTGGATGGCACAGACAGCCCGTCCACCTTGTCCCGGGGGTCGGACATTGCGATTGCTGTTCTTGTCTGCTGTGACCCAATTTACTGTGAGGCTGTTGTGTGGATGAACTTCCTCTGACAGGGGAGACGGCGACTAGGGAGGGTAAAAGCACAGCTTTGGAGGGCAGAGGCTGGGTGGGATTCGGAAAGCCTCTTATACGATATGCGGGATGCCACCCACACTCCCCGATCGGAATTGCCATGCTCAGAGTAACCAAAGCCTCAGGGACTGACAGGACCTGAATGGCAGGGTCCGACCATCGTTAGCCGGCCCCTGCCGCCAGTGTTCACAGGCATGCTCGCAGCCGTGGGCGACATATCCCCGATTCGTGTCTAGGGTGCTACGTGGGGTGGGGTCGCGCTGCCGTCGTCCGGGGCCGCGCGAGTCACTTGGCGAGCGATGTATCTGCGGCTCGATGGGGACTAGAGGCCGGGTTCGGCATCCTCTAGGCTGTAATTGGCGGGCGAGGTCGAGGGAGAGAGGGGGGAAGAGGGGGACAGGTCGCTGGCGTCGGAAGCCGCGTGGTGTGCTGCCATGACGGATAGCGGGGCGGTCATGACGACGGAGATGAACGCGGTGTAGGTGAGATAAGAAGATGCCCGGGGCAATTTCGTGGGAAAGAACTCTGCCGAAAAAAAAACACGGTTTCCAGTGTTTCCCATTGTCAAAAGCGTTACCCAAACGGCCGGGTTTCTGCTATCGGTGCCAGTGGGTCCCGCCAGCCCAGACCTGCCCGCGCTCCCAAGGCCGTTATCACCTACGATCTGGGTACGCAACACTCTACCTCGTTTGTCACAGTGGGCTCTCAGCCTGCGCTCTCCGGTCGCGGCCAATCGGCGAGGCCTCGTGGGAGGGGGCTTCTCCGCAGACGCCCCGCCGACCCTGCTTCTCCGCATTTCCCGATACGACAAAGAAAATCCGGCGGCCGGTGTCGTTAATGACTGGTCCAGATGACTGCCTGGATCGACTTGTGGAGGCAGCATTTCCGAGGGGCCAGTTACTCACTGGGTCACGGGAAATGGGTGCTGGCCGGAGCCTGCTCGGAGCATGCCCGTCACTCGTGGGAATAGATCCTCCCATGAAAGGAATGCGCCCAAGCGCCGTTTGTGGCGGCCTTGGCGCTGCGAGCTCGTCTTTGATCGATTTTTGGAGGCGCATTGATGAACTCGCGTGGCAGGCAGCCCGGCTTTGTACTGTTCAACCTCTTTACCGGCCTCGGGGTTTGCGATTACTGATTACTCAGCCCTTGCATCCCAAAAGCGACCATGTTCCTGTAGACGACACCATTAGTGACTGGGCAAAACGTCGAGCCCCCATCGTATGTGCTGTGATGATGTACAACGGCGGCTTGGACCACTCACCGGCTCGCCCTCGTATATCCCCACGGCAATTGAGAACAACCGTGGACTCCAATTGGACCATTTCGCTTTCCGAAAACTGGCAACATTCTACATGGCGACTTTTGATTCGGCTGTGCGTAAAAATCCCAAGCTATTCCCCAGGGTCAACTGCGCCCAGCTGGCCCTCCAGGTGTAGCTATAAAAGATGCCGTACAGGACATGTCAGCACAGAAGCCTTCTCTCGTCCCCAACATGATACCACCGAGACCGACATAGGGCAAAACAGCCACAGCCACAGCCACAGCCATGGATCTCAACGTCATAGCAGTCGTTTCGGCGCTGCAGACAGTCGTCCTATTGCCCAAGGATGAACTTTTCGGCTTATCAGCGGTCAAGGTTTGGCTTGGGTTGATGTTGGCGCAGTGCCTTCTTACCAAGATGTACAGCATCTGCATATATCCCCATTTTGTCTCGCCGCTGCGGCATCTCCCAGGTCCAAAGGTATGGATATATGGAGGAGGCCTGCCGCGGTTATGCCCGGCTGTCTGCGTGCTGGAGGTACAGGGTCTGAGCTAACCGCCAGACCGCTCGACTAATAGGACAACCACTTCTTCGTCGGGCAAGCGGCCAGGCTAATGATGGCGGCAGGCCCGCATGACCTGTATGAGGAATGGGCTCGGAAATGGCCCGACGCGCCTTTCATCCGTCAGCTCAGCGTCGGCAACCAGGAGCTCCTCATCGTCAACAGCCTTGCAGCGCAGCGGGAGGTCTTGGGAACCCACGGCAATGATTTTGTCAAATCCGACCTCTTCAATAGGCTGTTTGGCGAGATCATCCCGGGCGGGCTCCTCTTCACCAAAGGGGAAGAGCACAAGAGGCGAAGGCGGGCGCTGGCTGGGCCCATGTCCCTACCCAAAATCCGCAGGCTGGTGCCTGTTTTCCAGGAGAAGGCAAGGGGCTGGGTCAACTCTCTTCAGTCTGGGCTGGACGCTGGAGGCGACGGTGTCTGGGAAGGTGAGTGCAATTACAGGCTATCCCTTCGGTCCAAGACGACGAGGCCTGCTAACGTCAGAGTCCTCACCATTTTACATCAGTCGAGTATAGTATGCACGAGCTTCTCCTAGAGATGATCGTGGTCACTGTCCTTGGGGTGGAGCTGGCACAGATGGAGTCGCCATCGTCGATGGGCTTCGCCGAGGCTTATCATAACCTTCTGCAGCCATCGAAGCTCAGCATGATAATATGGTTCGTGAATGCCATGGGGCTTCCAATGCGCTGGCTACCCCTTAAAAGCAACAAGAAGTGGCTCGAGGCGAACTTTACGATTCAGAGCATGATCAAAGACGTAGCGCATCGGAGGGCCGAGAATCTAAGGGCGGCCGGTCGCAGGCGTGACGCCGAAGATGTGTCCGATACGCGCCGTGACCTAACGACCTTCATGCTTGAAGAGTCGCTTTTCGGCAAAGGTGAACTGAGCGAGTCCGAGATCGCAAATGGCGTGAGTCTTCGTCTTGTCCTTTTCCAAAGCGGGATGCTGGAGGTGTCTGGCTCGACGCTGACCAGACCCCTGAACAACACTAGCTTCTTGAACTCGTCGGCGCAGGTAAGTTATTGTCAATACAACATGTCCGAGGCTTGCTGTTCGTTACTAACATGGATACATTTTTGCTTATAGCACATGACACGTCGTCTTCTGCCATTACGTGGATTATATTTCAACTAGCAGCAAGACCAGAGATGCAGGAGCGATGTAGGGTCGAGGTGTTGGCGGTTACCGACGATATCGACGCGGGGATGTTGGAGAACTTGCCCTTTTTGGACAAATTCATCAAAGAGGTCTTGAGGATGTATTCGCCAAGTAAGCTCCTAGATTGTGTCAGCCCAGCTGAGGCGGCCACTCTGCTAACAGCTTGACCGCAGCGATTGTTTCGCTCCGAGAAGCAGCAAAGGACATGGTGATCGAAGGCGTCCCGATCGCAAAGGGCACCTCGATTGTCATCTCGCCGGCCAATATTGGACGCAACCCCAAGGTCTGGGGTCCTGATGCAGACACCTTTGATCCAGACCGCTGGAGTAGGCTCGAGGGGGACGCGGCCAGTCCCTATGCGTTTGGTGCTTTCAACAATGGGCCACGCATCTGCCCTGGCAGGCAACAAGCAATGCTCCAGATGAAGGCCATCCTGTGCGAGCTGCTCCGTGCCTTTCACCTCGAGCCGGTGGACACTGCCCTGAAGTTCCAGAACCCGACGGTGATGTTGAAGCCCAAGGGCAAGCTGAGGGTCAGGGCGAGGCGGCTGGAGATGTAGCCTGCAGATGGGGAAAGAGGTCAAAGCAAAGCAGGAAAATCATTGCTGCCTTGAGGCCAGCTGGCCTGATGCTTTTGTAGTATTCTGGGCGTGTGGGTGAGGCCGCAAGGCCAGGGAATTCACGTAACAAGTGACTAAAAGAATCCCATCGATCTGTCTGGAATTACATGATGCCGAGCCTGAAGCAAGTTGATGCACCGTGTCATGTCGGTGCTGGCACAGTCCAGCCGCGCCTCAGCTATTTTTGATGCATCGAGGGGCGAGGTGGATCCTTTGATCCGCAGCTTCCGCCAATCAACATCTTAATTGGGGCACCTCGGAGGCAGTCTTTTGTGACCACAGGTGTCCTTTTGGGCTGGACAGGGGCAGGCTGCGTGCTGTACTTCACTGTAGCGCACGCATTGCACCGCACCGTCCCACCGTCCGCCAGGCACAGCAGGGCGGCTCAGCTTGAGGCCACATCACAGCTTGGCGGGCCATCGACGAGACGCCCTATTTGGACCTCCGCCCGCCGCCCTCGACCCATTTGGCATTTTCTTTTGGCTTCCCCTTCACCGGTGAACTCGAGCGAGCAGTTGTTTTTGGTCCGCACCAGCGACTGCACTTTCCAATCTATGGGCGCGCAATTGCTGGCCCAATAGACCCTGCCCTTTTCCTTGCCTTTTCCTAGCACTCAATTTCCGACTCCGCGGGGCGGCCCTGCAAACACAGATACCCCGCCGGCCGCCGCCGCCATGGCGAAAGCACCCATAACGCCTCTCTTGAGGCTGCTCTGCTCCGTCTTCCTCTTCTCCTCCAATGTCCTGGCCGTGTCCGCCGTGCTGGGCATCGACCTGGGCACCGAGTACTTCAAGGCCTCGCTGGTGAAGCCCGGCATCCCCCTCGACATTGTCCTGACCAAAGACTCGCGCCGCAAGGAGGCCTCGGCCGTCGCCTTCAAGCCCCCGCAAAATGGCCCCAAGGCCGGGTCCTACCCCGAGCGCGCGTATGGCTCCGACGCCATGGCCCTGGCCGCCCGCTACCCCGGCGACGTTTACCCGAACCTGAAGACCCTCCTGGGCCTGCCCACGGACACCGCCATCGTCGCCGAGTACGCCGCCCGACACCCGGCGCTGCAGCTCGGCGCCCACAGCCTGCGGAAGACAGCCACCTTCAAGAGCCCCGGCGCCTTCACCCCGGATGAGGAGCCGTTTCTCGTCGAGGAGCTGCTGGCCATGGAGCTCCAGAGCATCCAGAAGAACGCCGAGGCCATGGCCGGCTCCACCGTCCGTTCGACCGTCATCACGGTGCCGCCCTTCTTTACCGCCGAGGAGAAGCGCACCGTCGAGCTCGCCGCCGAACTCGCCGGCCTGCGTGTCTTGTCCCTCATCAGTGACGGGCTCGCCGTCGGTCTCCACTATGCCACCAGCCGCACTTTCCCCAACATCAACCAGGGCGCCAAGCCCGAGCATCACATGGTCTTCGACATGGGCGCCGGGTCCGCCAAGGCCACCATCATGAAGTTCCAGAGCCGGACCGTTAAGGACGTCGGCAAGTTCAACAAGACGGTCCAGGAGATCCAGGTCCTGAGCAACGGCTGGGATCGCACTCTGGGCGGCGACGCCCTGAACTATCTGATCCTGGACGACATGGTGGCCCAGTTCACCGAGTCGCCTGCTGCCAAGAAGGTCTCTGCCACCGTCTCCGACGTCAAGGCTCACGGCCGCGCCATCGCAAAGCTGTCCAAGGAGGCAGAGCGAGTGAGGCACGTCCTGAGCGCCAACCAAGCCACGGGCGCTAGCTTCGAGGCGCTGTACGATGACGTTGACTTCAGGTACAAGCTCACGCGCACCGACTTTGAGACGATGGCCCAGGAACACGCCAAGCGCGTCGTCGCTGTCGTCAAGGAGGCTCTCGGCAAGGCCGGCCTCGATGCCGCCCAGCTGGACTCGGTCGTTCTGCACGGCGGCGCAACTCGCACGCCCTTTGTCCAGCAGGAGCTGGAGAAGCTCTTCGATGCCGACAGGTTGCGGACCAATGTCAACGCCGACGAGGCCGCCGTGTTTGGCGCCGGCTTCAGGGCCGCCGAGATCAGCCCGAGCTTCCGTGTCAAGGAGATCCGGGTCGCGGACTGCAACCCTTACACAACGGGAATGAGGTGGCAGAGCCAGTCCGGCAAGGCTCAGCACCAGCGTCTTTGGTCGAGCGTGGCGCAGATTGGCGGGCCGCCCAAGGAGCTTACCTTCACAAACAAGGAGGACTTCACAGTCGACTTTTATCAGCAGCTCCCGCCCCTGGCGCCCGAGACCGGCTCCGACGTCGAGACCATCACCAAGGTGCTTACGACCAAGAACCTGACGGCCACTGTCGCCGAGCTCAAGGAGAAGTACTCGTGCGAGCCTGCCGATGTCCAGTTCAAGGTCAGCGTGAAGCTGAGCGCGGACAATGGCGAGGTCGAGGTGGTCAAGGCCGCTCTCCAATGCGAGATTGAGGTCCAGGAGAAGGAGGGCTTTGTTGACGGCGTCAAAAACCTGTTCGGGTTTGGCAAGAAGGACGACCAGAAGCCGATTGACGGCGAGGCCTCTGGCAGCTCCTCCTCGTCAACCAAGTCGAGCTCGTCATCCGCCAAGGGATCTAGCAGCTCGTCGGCCGCGGGCTCTTCTGCGTCTGTCGCTGCCGACGAGGCTGCAAACAAGATTGTGAAGAAGACGGTGTCGATCCCCGTCCAGCACGAGCTGACCAAGGCGGGTATCCCGCAACTGTCCAAGGCGGACGTGAAAGCGCTCAAGGACCGCCTGAAGGCTTTTGAAGCATCGGACAAGGCACGCATGCAGAGGGATGAGGCTCTCAACCAGCTCGAGGGGTTCACGTACCGCGCCAGGGACTTGCTTGAGAACGACAACTTCATCAAGGCCTCGACCGCGACTGAGCGTTCTAGCCTCGAGAAGCTGGCCAGCGATGCTAGCGAATGGCTTTACGGCGATGGTGTCGATGCCAGCAAGGAGGAACTCAAGAAGCGTCTCAAGGAGCTGACTGCCATTGCCGACCCGATCCAGAATAGGATCGATGAGAACCAGAAGAGGCCTGAGCTCGTCGCGGGCCTCCAGGATGCGCTGGAGCAGACGGTCAAGTTTGTCGGAAACATCAAGAAGGAAATTTCCGACTACGAGGCCTTCAAGTCGGCAGAGGCCGCCTCGTCATCGACCAGCTCAGAGTCTTCCTCGACGACGCTCGCCCCGTCACAGGGCGATTTTGACGATCTGGAGGATGATGACGCCAAGTCAACAACCAAGACGCCAACCATGGAGGACGTTGTCAAGGAGCGCGGACCCGTCCCGCCCCTGTACACGATGGAAGACCTCGTCGAGCTCGAGGAGCTGCACAAGACGATCAAGTCGTGGCTGGACGGCAAGGAGGCGGAGCAGAAGAAGCTGGCCGAGACTGACAACCCTGTCCTCCTTGTCGCCGACCTGACCTCGCGGCGGGCCAAGCTGGATAAGGCCGGTATGGCTCTGACGATGAAGGGGGTCAAGAACTTTGAGGCGAAGAAGAAGACATCGTCCAAGAGCAAGCCCAAGAAGGCGGCCAAGAAGGGCAAGGGCGGCGACAAGCAGGATCCGGTCAAGATTGAGCTCGGCAAGGACGGCAAGATGCCGACTCAGGAGGAGCTTGAGGAGCTGCTGAAGCAGATGGGAGTGGACCCCAACGCCGAGGATGGCAAGGCGAGCAAGGAGGAAGCACCCAAGGAGAAGACGAGGGTTCACGAGGAGCTATGAGGGGCGGATATGTGGACAATATGGAAGGGAAGGGGAGGGAAGAAAATGGGCAAGCGTGCGATGATGCATTTCTCTCGATAACCCACGGAGTTTATAGGCATACAGGAGGTAGACCTGGAAGAACCTGAATGATACAAGACCATTTCTGTTTGACTTTAGGGTGCAATATGATATATGGACTTGGGTCTCTCGCGTGAGGCAACACACCATGTTTTATCGTGCCGACGGCTGTTGCGGGTGCCACAACTTGGGCCGTTTGCTTTGTTCAGAGGATGAACGAACCTCTTCACTGACAATCGGACTTTCCGCCTGCCTCAGTCTGCTATACAGTAGCATGCGCCCCTTCCTTTAGAGAGACTCGCCAAGAAACTCAGCGGTAAAGTTGCCAGACTGTTGAGCCAACACGCACATGTGTGGGCCACATTGGGCGCTATTTATGTCTACGCGTGGCAGTCCGTCCTGGTAGGGGTATGTGTGTGTGTGTGGAACTTCCAAGGAAGCCGAGCCTCCTCCTGGGCAGGAAAGGGGTCCCCTAGCACGGCACGTGAAGCATCAGCCCATGACTTTTACAGTATGCGGTCAGCTCCATGGATCTCTTGGTTGAAGTTGTCAAAGTGTAGTCCATTATCAGCCCTGCCGTCTTTCCCAACAGTTTCGGGGAAGATGGTGGAACCCGAAAAGAAAAAAACCGAGGCATCAAAGGTCCGGCCCCACCGTCCAACTCGGCTAAACTGCTTTTGGATAGGGCGCCGCAGAAAAGGGTGGGAGAGGCGACCCGGGGAGCCCGAACCCAGGCCGCGAGGCGTGATTGGGAGAAGTCGCGTTGTGGGATGAATCCAAAGGCCCGGCGAGCAGGCAAGACGCGGCGTGTTGCGTGATGCCAATGCTGGCGGGAGGCCGAGAGCACTTGGTACGTACCTGGTCGTCCAGATATAAGATGTGCCCAGCGCTGTCCGCAGTCCCATAGGTATCCGGCTCTTGTGGTTGTTGCCAAGAAAAAGAGGGTAAAGACTACATATCGACGAACCATCGCGACCCCTCCGCGCGCAACTGTCCCACCCACCCCCCGTCTGTCGGTAGAAACCGCCCCCGTGACGTCTCCCACTAGCTCACCAGTGGCACTTCCTTCTCCCCCCCCCTCGCAAACATGGGCTTCAAGGCCATCATCGTCGGCGGCGGCGTCGGCGGGCTGACGCTCGCAAACGTATTCGAGCAGCTCAACATCGACTATGTCCTCCTCGAGGCGTATGGCGACTTCACGCCCGAGGTCGGCGCCAGCATCGCCATGCTGCCCAACGGCCTGCGCATCCTGGACCAGATCGGCTGCAGGGCCGCCTTCAGCGAGGGCGTGCACCCCATCCAGACCGTCCGCGTCACCCGCCAGGGCGTGCTGGCCGCCACGGTGGAGGACTGGAGCACCAGGCTCATCCAGAGGTAGGTTTTACCGAGCCTGCTCCCCCCATAGATAGGCAGGCCTCCTACTAACTCCGGTGCTAGGCATGGCCAGGGTGTCGAGTTCCACGACAGGCGCATCCTCCTACAGGCGCTCCTGGGCGGCGTCAAGAACAAGGAGAGGCTGCTCCTTAACAAGCGCGTCTGCAAGGTCACCACTGACGAGGACCGCGCGACCGTCGAGACGGCCGACGGCCACAGGTACGAGGGCGACGTCGTCGTCGGCCTCGACGGGATCAGGTCGACGGTCCGCAACGAGATGCGGCGCCTGGCCGCCGAGCAGTCGCTCGGCTACTTTCCGGACGACGAGTGGAAGCGTGAGAGAATAGCCACCCCCCGGCCACCCCCTGAACGAGCATCCGGCTTACGATTTACCCCTCCGCAGGCGTTCCGATCGAGTACAGGTGCATCTTCGGCATAGGCAAGGGCAGCAAGTACCTGCCTCCCGGCTCAAGCACCCAGGTCATCCACCAGGGCTGCTCCTACCTGGTTCTCGGCGGTCCTCCCGGGAAGACCTACTTCTTCCTGGTGGAGAAGCTGCCCGAGATTATCTATGCCGACAAGACGCCCAAGTACAGCGAGGAGGAGACCAAGGCTTTTGTCGACAGCCACCGCAACGACATGATTATCGAAGGTTGCAGCTTCGGTGACGTGTTTGACAACCACACCTCGTTCGGCATAACCCCCCTGCACGAACACGCCTTTGAGAAGTGGCATTACGGGCGGATAATCACGCTCGGTGATGCGGCGCACAAGGTGAGATTTGTCCGCCATCAGATGGACTGTGATCTGTGTCGGAAAGGAGGATGTGCGGGCTACTGCTAACACTGCGCAAAAAAACAGGTCAACCCCATCGCAGGACAGGGCGGCAACGCGGCCATGGAGAGCGTGGCCGCCTTTGTCAACAACCTCAAGGAGCGCCTCGACGCCCTCCCCAGCCCCTCGGCCAGCCTGTCCGCCGCCGACATCCACGCCGTCTTCCGTGACACGCAGGACCAGAGGCTCGAGCGCGCGCGCGAGGTCGTCACGTACTCGCGGACGGTGCAGAAGACGTACGCCAGGGAGGGCAAGTTGGGTATGCACATGACGCACCTACTACCGCTACTGCTCAGCCAGGAGAAGCTGCTGGAGTCGTGGGCCGCCATCCACGCCAACGCTGTCAAGGTCGAGGCCCTCCCCGAGGTGTTCCGGCCGCACTACGTCCCCTTCACGTCGGAGCTGCCCGCCAAGCCGATCCGGAACGCCAAGGCCGAGAGGGCCGTGACGGCGCTGGCGCTGGGCGGGCTCACGTGGCTGGCGGGCCACGGCGTCAGGAAGATGGGCCCGCTGCCCGAGGCCATGCTGGGGCAGCCGTTCAGGAAGACCTTTACGGGCCTGGGCGTCGACCGCATCTTCAGCCTGCTGACCAAGATCTTCGCCGTCAGCCTGGCGAGCCCCGTGCCGGAGCAGCGCCTGCAGCTAGTGTACTTTGTGCCCATGCTGGCGCCCACGGTGCTCATCTGGCTGGTCGAGGCACACCGGAGGGGCAACTCGCAGACGCTTCTGGGCCGCCTTTTGACCTGGTGAGTTTTTGAGTCTGTGTTGATGGGGGAGACTAAGAAAAGCTGGGAATGGCATGCATGACTGACAAACTTCTTTACCCTCCAGGCCCGGATTCACGGCGGTCCTGTACCAGCTCCTCACCGTCGCCCGCGTCGGCCCCGCCTACTTCCTCTCCACCCTCCTCATCACCCTGGGCCCGCTCTACCACCGGACCGGCGCCCGGTCCGTCGACCCGGACGTGGCGCGCGCCCTCCTCCCCGCCGTCGCCCTCGGCTACGTCGTGCCCTCGGCCCTCATGCTCCTGCCCGCGAGCATTACCGGCGCGGCCAGGTGGCAGGACTTTATCACGCTGTGGCAGGTGGCGCCCGTCGTCGTCGGGCCCATCACCTCGCTCATCGCCTCGGGCATCCGCCGCGTCCGCCGCGCCTTGAGCAAGGCCGACGAGCCCAACCCGGAGCTCGAGATGTACAAGAACAAGGACGTGCCGCACCTACTGACGGCCTACAAGGCGGCCGCCATCGGCACGGCCGCCGTGCACGTCGGCTTCCTGGGCTACGTGCTCTCGTCGCCGACGCTGTCGCTGCCCAAGATCTTTGGCGAGATGCCGTGGCCGTGGTCGCCCGCGGGCGCGCGCTGGGAGGTCGGGCTGGCGGCCCGCGAGGTGGCCTTCGCGCTCTTCAAGCGCGACCTGTTCGGGTTCGCGGCCGCCAACCTGGTCTGGTGCCTGCACAGCGTCTTCGACATGCGCCGCCTCGGCTACGTGACGACGGCCGAGGCGGCCAGGGCGGCGCTCGCGGTGCCCGCGTCGCTGCTGCTGCTGGGGCCCGGCGCCATGTACGCCGGCACGTGGTACTGGCGCGAGAGGACCATTGCCGGCCTGAGCAGGATGGAGGCTGGCGATGAGAAGAAGAAGCAGTAGGGGGGTGCTTTTATTACGTCTTGAGGGGGATGTACAAATACCTGGAACCTAGAGCATGGATGGTGCATAAAATTTACTTTGTAGCGAGTTCGAATTGTGCCCAAGATACGTTTCTTTCCAATGCTCCAAGTATCCAAAAGGTGCCGTTCCTGTCCGCCCATCACATGAGGTTGTCGGCCAAGTCCATGATATCCATCTTTGCCCCCACGTCGTTTCCTCGTCGGCGGCACCTTGCGCCCTGTAGTCCGCTCGTCCAGCCGCCCGGCGAGGGGAAGCGAGTCCGCCGTGAAGCTGAGGACGCCCGACCAGAGAGGCTCTTCACTCGCGGCCCACCCGCGGCCTCGTCGGCGCCCCAGCGCGGCCTGAGTACGGGGGGCACGATGCCCTCGAGGTGCGCGGCCGTCAGGGCGTCGAGGCGCGAGTCGTCGTAGACCCCGACCATGTCGCCCCCTTGCTTCGCCGAACGCGAGAAGCCGCCGCCGCCGGGCCGCTGTGTGACGTAGTCGAAGGCCGAGCCGCCGTACACGAGGCCCCACGAGAGGGCCCCGTCGCCGCGGCGCGGGAAGTCGGCGCCGGGCCGCTGCGCGCTCATGTGGGCCAGCACGCCCCGTGGCCTTGCCGCGCAGGCCCGAGACGAGGTTGCCCGCGTGCGCGTTGGTGGCGTGCACCACGTGCCTGGCGCGGACGGCCCCGCGAGGCGTGGTGATGAGGTAGGGGAAGTCTGCGTCTGGCTGCCGAGATTCCGGCGGTGATTTGGAAGTGCTCATCCCGCCGAGGACGTCGATCGAGGTCGCTGGCGTGTTGGTCTCGATGGAGAGGGCGTCTGGGGACTCCTCCAGGAGGCCCCTTCCGTACTGACGATACCAGCCGGCACGGCCACAGGGCGCCGGCCTTGTACGAGATGGCGCCGACGACGTGCTGGTTGACCTCGAATTTCTAGATGGAAGTCAAAAGTTGAGGGAGCACATGCGGTCAGTAAGTAAGAAACCACTCCCGCCAGCAACAGGACCCTACCTCGCGTGCCTCCTCGGCAGTCCACGTCCGCACCTCGAACTCGGGCACCCACTTCCCGAGCGCCTCGACGTCCTCGAGCGCGGCCCGCAGGCCCTGCTCGTTGTCGACAAAGAGATCCACCGTCTCGGCCTCGCGGCACTCGGCGGCGCCGAAGCCCTCCGCCTCGCACAGCCCCGTCTGCAGCGGCAGGTGGCGCAGCTGGAACCGCACCAGCGCCGCGGTGCGCCACCCTGCCTTGGGGAAGAGTCCGGTAGCAAGTCGGCGTTGGAGTCGCGGTGGTGGTAACAAACTGGAGCAGAAAAATATGATTCGTATCTACCTACAAAGGCCCCAAACGTGAAACGCGGTTTCATGAAACGGCAAGCCTTATCTTGCTTGCTTCCTTTTCGGATTTAGTGTAACTTGCGCGGCCATTATATCACCAAGTGCCTTGCTTTATTTCTCTTTGGAATGCCGCCTCCAGGACTAACATTATCGCTTTCCCTCGCTGTGGATGGGTGCGGGCTATAAAAACTTGCAAAAAATTAAGTTTGCAAAAGCTTACCAGGCTACCTATCGGGTGCCTGGTTACGAAACCCTTTGTGGGTTTACTTCGATCCTCTGTCCTCTTTCGGGGTGCAGGTAATTTACTCCCTCCGGTGGGATACCTGGGCAGGAAATTTACTCCCTCGGCGGGATACCTGCGACAACACTCGTACTCGAACTCGAGACCTACAGGATCTGGGCTTCACAAGTGGGAGCTCGGCTCTTACCACTAGACCACGCCCTGTAGGCCTGAGGAGGTGGAAGAACACGCCACGGGCCAGCCTGATAAACCCATGCCTCTGGTGTTTGGCGGCGGTGCTGACGTCACTGCAATCTTGCAGCAGAGTTCGGACGACAAGCGTTTCTCCGGGCAGGCAACCAGCCTCGAGTCCGCCTGGGCTCGCCGGCTGGATTATCCGTCCTATTCCCTTTAAGTACAGTTACCACCGAGGCACTCGGTTCAAATATCTTTCCAAGGTCCTAGGAGGGCCACTGGACTACGCTCACGGTTTCTCACCATGTGCCACTCCAGTCTAAGGGGGCCATGACAGGAAACGTAGTTAAAAAGAAAGGAGAGAACACGCTGCTCAGCCTGTCTGCTATGATGTACCAGCCGGCGAGGAGTCTACAAAGTGACGAATAGTCTCTGGTTTTCGTCGGACCGATCTGCCTCCGCTGTTTGCTTTCCCACTGCGTTTTTGTGACACAGTCTCGGTGCATCTCAAGCTGTATCCAGTTCCACACGGAAGCAAGCAGAGAATGTAGCCGTTCGACCCAAAGCAGCGCGTTTGCCTGCAAGGGCAGCGGCCGGCTGCGTCGGCTGGGAATTCACGGGAGTCTTATTCGAATACCTTGGGCTGGGAGAGGTCGACGTCTCCACCGTCTCGGCCGGTTCAGATTTTGTGCTTGTGCTTGGCCACATTGATGTCACAACAACGGCAGGAACGCTTCAGAACAGAGGAAGCCACGCCCGATGGGACAGTGAATTGGGGGTCCCTCTCTGTGCGCCGACCAGACCAAGAAAAGAACGGGGCTGGCCAAACAAAACGCGCCATAGGCCCGCCTGACTTTGTGCTCTCTTCACCTTTTCATCTTCCCACCGCCACTCCAGTCCCCCCCTCTCACCAGTTGCTCTCCTGCAACCACCAAGAGCCTATACTCACTTTAGCGCTCTCGAGGTCGTCGCCGAACCACCATTCGTTTCCTGCCCTGCAGCGGGTCAGCACCTTCTCACCCCGTCCTGACATTGCCGGAGCCACTTACCTCTCCGCCCAGGAACCGGACCGTCGTACGCCTTTCTTGGTCACCCGCTTCACCTGCCTTGGCGTCACCACACGCGTGACCCGGACGCGTCTCCTTGTCCTCGACCAAATACAGCTCCGTACCTGGCACTCGGGCTCCCTGTTGCCTTTCGGACACTTTTCTTGTCGGTCAGGTGTCCGTCTCTACCGGGCCAAACTTCCTTGTTCCCACTCTCTTTTGATCCCGACCTCGCATCTTTGCCCATCTCCTCGCCCGGCTCGGCCCTTCTGCCATTCTCTTCAAACACTATCCTCTACGTCCGCAGTCATGCTACTCCACTCCTTCGTCTGCCTGGCCGCCTTTTGCGCTCTGGCGGCCGGCTTCTGGACACCTTTCGCCTCGGCAAAGACAAAGCAGAAAGGTCATTTCAAGATCGACCAGGTCCCGAACGGTGTTACCCGTCGCAATGGCCCGGCTGAGTATGCCTTTGCCCATCTCAAGTACGGCCTTGAGGTGCCCGATGGTCTCGCCAAGGCCGCCTCGCGCTTCTCTAAGCTGAGCAGCGCGGACGGACCTGGAGGAAGTAAGAATTCCGACATCCCACCCAGCTCTTCAGCCTCAATATCTGACTATGAACCTCACAGGTAGCGAGGTCCCTGCATGGGCCCAGGAGTTCGATATCGAGTACCTTAGCCCCGTCATGGTTGGCGACCCAGGCCAGTTGGTGTTTCTCAACTTCGACACCGGCTCTTCCGACACGTACGAAGCAACCCCGAAGCTCTGCGCCATGTCCCCGCTAACTAGTGATGCTCGTATAGGTGGATGTACAGCTCCGAGACGTTTGTCGGGCACATGGCAGGCCAGCGTTTCTATTCTCCCGAGAAGTCCAGCACGTCCGAGAGGATCAAGAATGCGACCTGGTCTATCCTATACGGTAGGACGTGCTCCAACAGACCGCCCCGATTTAGGAACATGTACTGATGCGCAGACAGGCGACGGAAGCTCCGCCAACGGGATTGCCTATCGGGATCTGATGTCGATTGGTGATCTCCTCATTCCCAACATGACAATCCAAACGGCCTCGTACGTTTCGTCCATGATCATGCAAGACCTCAACATGTCTGGCCTTGCCGGATTGTGCATCAACCACCCCAGCACCGTCGGCCCCAGGCAGCCGTCGCTGCTCGACATGCTCGAGCCCATCCTGGAGGAGCACGTCTTCACGGCAGACCTGCGGCACCGCGACACGGGCCGTTACCGATTCGGCAAGGTCGACAAGGAGGACTACGTGGGCGATATCAAGTGGGCGGCCATGAACAAGACGTCCAAGTACTGGCAGTTCGACCTCAACGGCATCCACGTGGGTGACGACCCGAACTGGTACTTTGCCACCTGGCCCATGATCCTCGACACGGGCACAACCCTGATGCTGGTGCAGCCGGACTTGGCCGAGATGTACTACTCCAAGGTTCCAGGGGCCACGTACGACGATTGGTTTGCCTCGTACAGCTTCCCGTGCAACCAGTCGGGGGCCCTGCCGGACTGGGAGTTCGACATCGCGGGCCTGCGCGGCAAGGTCCCGGGCCGATACTTCAACTACCAGAACATATCCGCGACGGAGTGCTACGGCGGCATCCAGCCCTTCCCGGTGGACCTGGGCTTCGGTATCCTCGGCGACGTCTTTCTTAAAGCGGTGCTTGCCGTCTTTGACGTGCAAAACAAGACGGTCGGGTTTGCCAACAAGGAGCTCAAGGCTTAGGGACTATGTAGCTGGTGGGAGGGAGAAGAAAAACGCACGTGGCGTGCCTGCATCGGAGGCGAAAACTTTCTGCCGTCCAGCCGTCATGGAGTTGGGGCTGCGTGGGGTTGTGGGTTTAGATGATTGCTTGATGGGCGAACGCTACGAAAGAGGACGGTTGGCTGCAGGCAGAAGGTTGACAAGTACTATAGTACGCTCCTCGTATTAACAATTGATACGTCAGACTTGACGGACACACCGGAACCAATGGAGGGACACCGAACAAAGCTTAAAAAAAAGGCCGAGCATGTTCCAGAATGCGCTTCTGGTGGGTTTGGTGCCTGAGTCCAAGGCCAACGGCGGATGTGCCAGCCGCACTGACACCGCCCGGACGCTCGAGCCGACTCCTTTTCCCCTCGACCTGACTCCTTTTCCCCTCGACCTGACTCCTTTTCACCTCGACCTGACTCCTTTTCCCCTCGACCTGACTTGCCGTAGCGCCGCCGCCTTGCAGAGAAGAATCTAGGGCAACTCTGACGCGGGGTCGCGCCCGACTAGGTTACCTGAGCAAGGGTCGTTTGGCGCCGGTTTCCGACAACTGATTTGCCTCCTCTACTCCCTCCCCCCCCCTTCTTTGTGCCTGAGGACCGACCGAGACGACGACAAGGCATGCCCGGAACCCGGCAGATAATCCTCACTGCGTTAGGCGGGGGGGCTCGCCGCCCGGTCGACTTCCCTCCCATCCCAGGAGCCAGTCATCGCCCCGCCCCGCAAGCAAAGCCCTTTGGGACGAATCTCAGATGATGGGACGGCAAGGCCCGGGATTCCCCCCCCACGAGCGTTTGTTGGCGGTTATCGGTCCCCGCGCAGATGTGCGGTCTAGAAGCTCTCGGCTATCTGTGCTTGCTGCTCTCAAAAGTCACACTAAGGCGAGGCGAAAAAAGGCCGAGCAACATGGTATCTGCAACCATGGACAAAGAAACAAGGCAGGCAGGCGGCTCCGACCCAATGAATATCCCATTTCCGATTCCAAAACAATGGCAAGTCTGCCAACTGCCCTTCCGCCCTAGTGGTACTGAAAGCTGACTTGTATTTCTCCAAGACATGGGAAATAATGTCATGGCAACCAAACCCGATTCTCCCCTCCTCCTCCATTCCCTGTGTTCCCTCACTCTCCCTCCCACATACTGTGTACGATGTGGTAACGGTATGGTGTAATCAATTCTCTGAAACACTTTCCATGATGATTCAACGTGGCTTGTGTTAAACAGATGCAAAAAAGGTGACGGAAAAGCAGACCCAACCAACAAGCATATAAACAAAAAAAGCCAACAATAACAAAGTCCCAAAACAAAAACCACCTCTCCACATTAGCATCTGGCGTCCCCGTAAAAAGCGACGAGAAGACATGCAGGCAGATTCCACATTGGGTGGGGATGGGGAGAGGAAACAGCGATGACCCATCGACGGAGATGCCGGCCGACGGCAGGGTTGGGATGGAAAGCTAGTCGTGCTGACAGGAGTGGGGATTTCGGATGAGCTCGAGTCGTGGGGCTCGGACCGCATTGATGAGGGGGGCTCCTGTCGGGGAAGAGGGGAGATGGTGTCGGGTGTCCCGTGTGGCGAGCGAAAGAGCGTCGGCCTTGCTCTGGGCGGGTGGAATGAGGCCGCTCGTACGAAGAAGTAGACAAAAAAAGTATCCAATCCACGCCAGCCCGCCCAGAGTTTGGGAGAGTTTATTATAAGGTCGTATGAGTGCACCGCACGCGCGTGCGCGCACGCCAGGGCTTGTCCGATCGAGAGTGGCGGGGGAGAAGGTTGTCGAGACAAGCCGTGCGTGTGCGTTGGTAACATAAAGACATCACGGAGAGGAAGGTGACGAGAAGGTGGCCAAGCCTTGGACAAATGGACCCCAAGAGAATTGTCCCGGGTCCCAAGCAGTCGACAGGCAGCGGTGTGTTCAAGCATCCCTCTCACGATCACCGTCTGTATTGACAAGAGCAGGTTAGCAAATGGTAGCTCGAGCTTGCAGAATCGCACCGCGACTATTCTTTCTCCTCATCGCGCCTTCGCACACCGGGCGTACTCACCCTCGCTCTCAGTCGGGGTGGGTGGGAGTGCGCCGGGGACGGCCTGACGCGAGGCCCTGGCCGTCCCTGGGCGGGAGCCGTACTTGCTGCTGGCGTCCTCCTGGACCTGCTGTTGCTCGCCCTGCCCCTGTTGGCCCTGGGCACCGTCAAAAGCACCGGGGGCTCGCAGGTATTGGCTCGTGCTGGCGTTACCGGTAGCGGCGCCGCTGGTTGGGCTGCCGCCGCTGTGGAGAAGAGCCTCCATCTCTTTGATGCGGGCCTCGAGGGCTTCGAGCTCGGCGGTCCGGCTGTCGATCTCTTGCTTCCTGCCAAGACGAAAGGGGCGAGTTAGAAAGCCGAGTTCGAGAACAAGGTGCGTGACGAGGAGGCAGCCTGATGGGTGGCCATCTGATCTGATGTGCTGGGCTAGGCTTGGTATGGCTGCAGGGTCTGGAGGTAAGATGCTCACCGCTTCACCACCTGCTCGTCCAAGTCTGCCACGCTGTTCTCCAGGCGGAAGATGTCGGCCAGCTCGGCCGAGAAGGACCTCGCAATCGTCCTGTGTTGGGTAAAAAAGGTGCTTTGTTAGTAAATGAGGCGATTCCAACATGACTGGCAGCTAGTCTGCCAGCTGTTGAACGGCCCATGCAGGAGGCGACCCCGCGGTTTTGGCCCCCAAATCACGATGGCCCAACAGCTGGTCCAGCTCGCAGCTGCCTGGTCCGAGACATGGCGGGGAGCAACTCACGATAGCGGGCGGCGTCCGTTGGGCTTCCAGTCGCGGTCGAGCTCCTCGTCGGTGAGAGTCATGATGTCGAATTAAGAGGGAGAGAGGATGGGTAGGTGGTGTTGTGGTTGTCGAGGGGGCTCTGGTCTGCGGTGGTCGGTTGCACAGAACAACCAAGAAGGAAAGAAAAGGATTGGAGTGTGTGGTCGTGGCTTTTTGTTACTGCTGTGGTTGGTTTGGAGCCTTTCTTTCTTTTCGTTCGATTCGACAGCTGGGAATTGGAGTCGGTCGGGGTCTTGGTTCTGGGCTGGCAGAAAAAAATAGGGGGAACTGGGGCGGGCGGAGTTCCCTAATTATTTGGGTTTGGGTTTACCGTTTCTGGCGCGTCTCCCCAAGTTCGGGCGGTCGATGCAGGGTGCACCTGGCGTGTTACAGCTCGCTGCAGGCGGTGCCAGGGGAAATGGGGGAAGTTTCTACCCAGAGAGGCGAGGAGTCTGCCACAATGCCACAAAACTATGCTGTCACTGGACAAAGCAAAAACGGAGGAGGGCTGGCATGAACGGGAGAGCGCCGGCTGGACGACTGATATATAAATTGGCCTTTGTTAGAGACACCCTCGTGTCCAGCCGCAATCTAAGGGATGGATACCATGCCATACCCTCTGCTCACTCGCACGAGACCCGAGGGGTGGGAGTGACGGTACAGGCACAATACACGCCGCACAAGATGCTGGGATGAGGAGGCCAAGTGTCAAGTGCGATGTGCATGCACTGCATGTTTTGCTTCACAATCAGGCACACGGCTGAGAGGACCTGCACAGGACCTAGCGGCTTCAAGTTGGAAAAGGGTGTGGTGTCTGTCGGTGGGCTGCGAGCTGTGGCTCATGTGGGTGCAGATTGTGGGCGTGTGGTGCCAGCCGGTCAGGGGCTGTGGCCACCAGGGTGTGGTGGGGTCGAAGGAGGTCATCCCGGGCTGGAAGACAATTGGCCTTGGGACAGCTCCAGCTGACATGCCACCGCTATGGTTTCGTCTCAACCCGCCGCCCGTGGCAGGTCAACACAAAGTGCATTTTTGATTTTTGGTGCACTGAACACAACTTTAGCAAATGTCCGGGCAACAGCCCAGGCCAGCCAGCTAGCGCCGTCAAACGATCGGTCGGCTTGTCCTGAAGCAGAAATTTGTGGCTGGCCGCCCAGGAATGCTGGCGGTTGCTGGATGACCACATAAGCCAACCTTGAAAGGCATTGCGGCATCGCCTAGCATTGATGGCGCTCCATGTGGGGTTGATTGGCCGCTAGGGTGCGGCCGAGTTTATGCACTCCTCAATCGCTCGATGCTGGCCAATGCACAATCGGCCTTGCCCGTCGATCTGAGTTGAGGCCCATGCGGAGAACCCATAGAGAACCCATAGAGAACCCATAAGGATCCAATCTCGCGCTCGGCAAGAAAATCCTCGGCCCCCAAAAAATGAGGACCCTCAAAGGGGAGGGACCGACCTGATGTCCCGTTCCCCTTTTATTTCCCTACCCCTTTGCCTCCACCCGATCCGAATGCCGTTATTTTCCCATTGGGCAGCCCCAGACGGCGTGTGCGGATGGCAGGCGAGGGACAGGAAGAGTCGTGACTGCATGACGGCTCCCATGACGGCTCCCGTAGGGGCCACAGGGGTCGCTCGGCTCGATCTCTTGACCCCGACATCGTGTCAGCCACATTTCTGGCGCTGCTGGCAGCACTACTCTGGCTGTCATGGACTCGTGCCGTCGTCAATCGGCTGGCCCAACAGACCGCCAAATCTTCCCGGTCAACCATGGTCGAAACAACTGGTAACGAGATGGGGATGCGACACCGTAATGTGGCTACCGGCTAGCGTTCGTTTTGGCGGCCAGGGAACCAAACCTGCAGACATTACGACGTCGTACCTTCCCTGTCTGTCTAGATGGCGGAAAATAAAAAATTGAGAGAAAAACCCTGGGCCCGCCAGAATGACGGCAGCGTCGCCTGGCCGCTGGCTGACGAGGCTCTCGCCCCGACTTACACGCGTATGCCCAATCTGAGACGACCGAGTCATTAGGATCACCAAGCCTCACCCAAAGCCCGGTCATTTCCTTGTGACCACTCCTCCGACAGCCACCCTTCCAGGTTCCGATCCTCAGGGGAAACCGAGCATAGGTGTGTTTTGGGTCAGGCCGCGGTGGAGCTTGATGCACGGCCTCCCGTCATTGCTTTCTTGCATCCATCTTTGATGCCGGCATTTCGATTCCACGAACCGTCACTGCTGATCGTGTGGGCCTGATATTGACATGTTCGACTGACATGGTCGCCCGCAAATGACTGTGCACCGAGAAATAAATAGCTGCATACCCGCCACCTCACACATCACCAGGCGCGTTAGACTCTCCCCAAGCATAGAGAACAGAGAAACAGAGCACGCCATCAACCTGGCTGCAAGGCGTCACCACGCAAGTTGCCGTGTGCGTTGCTTCCGCAGGGTCGGCACATACGCGCAGGGACGACTGCAAAATCATCTTGGCCAACCTTGGGATGCCTGAGCAGCCACCCAGTCCTCCTTATACCTCTTGTCACTGCCGGCCTACGTATGGCCCATCTTGGTTTTTGTTTTGCCATCGCGTTTCGTGCGTGTGTTTCCGCCACAATCTCCCAATATCATGCTGCACTCTATCTCGCCGAGCTATTATATCACGCCGACTATGGCGCACCAATCAAAGCTCCTCTTAATTTCGAGGTGTCATTCTGGCTTTTCGTAAGAACTGTGTCTCGATTAATGGCGATCGACATGTGTTGCATACGCTGCCAACGTTCCAAGGGCGTAATAAACGAGTTGGCGGCAACTGCCAATCCTCCACAGTATTGCTTAGGCCGCCAGTCGAGATAGTTTGTACAATACTCCCTATAAACATGCTGCAGGCCGGAGATGGGCCAAGGTGATTAGATGGCCGCGCATGAGGCTGCGGAGGTAGTCAGTGCCGAGTGAAAGGGGAGGCTTTCTTGGCTAGAGCACGTATATCCTAGGTTGATGGGCTGTCCTACCGCTTGCGACAAAGAACGTGGGCTTCATTTGAAATCTACCCGGTACTAATGTGAGAGGCAAGACTTTCGCATCCTGAGAAGGCTGTCGCCTGCCCGGCGGCTTGACAAGAAGTTTGCATTATGCAACTAACCTTGGCTCCCAAATGGAATTTTCGTTTGATTGGTTCAAACACGTAGCCTCAATACTGAGCCTATCAAAAAGCCCGGCTCAGCGTTTGCCCATGGGTCTGCGTTTGTCCATGGGGCTAAGACCAAACAACGAGACCGGTCTGAAATTGGGCCGTGAGGCCAGGGCCAACAACCTCGGGCCGTCAACGGCCACGTCGGACACATTCGAGAGGGGCCCGAAGTTGAGAAACGCAACAACTCATTCTCAACATCACCACCCTACCTACGTTCGACTTGTCTGGCAACGAAACAGGGGAGGCGATTTTCTAATATCCCGCCCTCTACACGATCAACCAAGCCGCTTCCCCGCAAACCCGCAAAAAAAAAAACTCTAAAAAACTGGAACCTTCCGCCATGGCCGATTTCCTCAACAAGGCCGGCGCCTGGATCATGGCCAATCCGAAGACTAGCGTAGCCGTGGGCAGCGGCCTGACCGTGGTCGCGGCGCCCGTCGTGGTCATGGCGCCCGTCGTCGGACCCATCCTCGGCGCCGTCGGCTTTGGCAGCTCGGGAATCATCGCAGGTGAGTGCGGGAGCAAAAAAAAAAAAGAAAGGCTGACACCCTTGGAAATGGCTGGTGCTGTCGCTTGGGAAATACTGGATATATCCAACTAACCCCGACTTCTCGGTTGTCAAAAACCTAGGCTCCTTCGCTGCGACCGCCCAAGCCGCCGTCGGGAACGTCGTTGGCGGGAGTTTGCTGGCCGGCCTCACGAGCGCCGGCATGGGCGGGTACGGGGCCGCCGCCATGAGCGGGGCCGTCCAGGCCGCGGGCGGAGCGACCGCTGCCGGCGCGGCCATCAAGAAGGGAGCAGAGTGGCTCTGGAGCAAGTGAATCAGGAACGCCAATTCGATGTTGCAGCGCGTCCGGGGGGACGGGGGATGGGAATCTATGCAAAGCCGAACTTCGATATGGGCAACCTGAGGGCAGGGGGAGGACTGGAGAAGAGCAAGATCACCTCAAGTCGGGGGGTGACGGATGATCTCTTTTCCATGTGAAATAGTATCAGAAGCAGTAATCGTCAACCCCGCCTGTAGGCACGAATCAAAATGACGAGGTCAGAATGCCATTTGTGGTTGTTGATCCTCCCGACGGCAGATGTCGAGATATCTTGAGTGACAACGGACTCCCCGATGCCCCTTTACACGCACTCACTTGTTTCAGCTCGTGTGAGTATCAACGTTTATCGGGATCACGGCTTGGGTCTGACGATATGTCATGGCTAACTACTTCAGGCGGGGGCGATTTCTGACCCGAAGCGGGATGTAGATCCATGCCCGTAGGCAGCGTCACTGCTTCGTATATATATTGCTATTGATAAATGTCTTTTTAACTATCCAGCCCTCCCCTTCAACCTACCCCAGCCTTGCCCTCCCCAGCTCCCGCACCCGAGTGGCTACCACGGCACCCCGCGCCCCGAGCCGCAGCGGATCGCGCACGACCTCGGCCGCCAGCGCCGCCCCCGCGACGGCCGCGAGGCCGAGCGCGACCAGCAGCCCCTGGGCCTCGAGCAGGAGGTACGCCGCGGACCGGAACGCGACCACGAACCACGT